GTAGCTTGTCAACGAAAACAGCAATAAATATAATAGAATACTCTATTGATAAGATAATTTCCTTCCTTTCAATTTTAGTCAGACTAGCAAAAAGTGTTTTCGCGACGTAACGATTCCAGACATAGGAATGCGTGACAGGAGCCGTCAAGGATATCAGTTTTGTGTACACAGCGAAGACGACTCGATCGGATCAAGCGCTGTAAACAGGTACACCTGTAGTATTAATGCGTTCGGCTTAAAGGCTTTCCTTTCCTACATGATGTTCTATTGTGTCAAAAGTCACAAAAAGTTTAGAATACTTGATACATTTGATGAATTATTGTGTTATTCGGGCTTTGCATTAAGACCTTCCATCGTGTATTGCAAACAGTCATAACGGAAAATAGGCATATTTCGTCGATCGGCTGTGCTGATAAATCGTTAAAATCACAACATATTTTTATGTTTCTATGTTTTTGGACATTCCCTTTGTTGGTCTGAAAAGACATTTTGTTTAGAAGATGTGGGGATTTTGCACAGTGCTACGACGAAAATATGCATTTTTGAGTCATTTCCTGCGTACGGCAAAGTGGGTGTAAATCAAACAATATTTAGTAGACACGAGTTGTTTTTGAAGGACCAAAATTGTCTCCTTTACATCATTTAAGGACCAATTTAATCCTAGGAAGTGAAAAAAATCGTTGAAAGTGCAAAACTTTGAAGTGGTGAACTCGGCAATATGCGCTATTTTTACTCTTTGTCACTGCAAAAATTTGGCCTCCGAGTGCTGAAGTGATTTTTCTCCCGAAAACTTTTATTTTGAAATATTTTCAAAAACTAATGCGGTTTCAATTACTTTTGGACTAAGATATATTCATGGGCAAAGTTTAAAGGAAATTGATTTTCCGACCCGAAACGCAGTGGACCGGTTTTAGGGAGACTCACTCTTAAATCCTTGAGCACTTGCGGCCCACCTGGGTAATACCTCAAGGAAACATTTGTAAAGCTCACGTGACCGTCACGAGGCCAGTTCATTGGGGGCATGCTTTCTATTTTGTATCGTGGCTCTGCGTCGAGGTTGGTGTAGACTTTGACTCGCTCAAATGACGTCATGAAGTTCTCCACATCCGAAAATTTTCGCACCGCGTATGAAGCTACATTTGTTGTTTCAATTACGTAGGCAAGAGAAAGTCCAATCAAAGCTATAAACAAAAATAATTAAAAAAATGCACTTAAAATGAGTGTCAATGTATTAAACACGAAAGTACTAATTGAGGACACTAGTCTTTTATACGTCTCCTTCCGGATACGGGACCGCCTTTTTACGTGGTCATCGGAGCCACTCGAAGGTCTAGCCGTTTGTAGGACAAGGGAGGTACCTTCATTTCTTCCTCCCGCTCTGCAGTCAAGTGCTGTACCGACTGAGGTAATCCTGCCGCGCTTAAATAATTTAATTTTTACGATGTTCATCGAGTGCCCACGGAATGCGTGTAATCATGAGTAAGATTCATCAAGAAGTCTGCTTTACTGCTATCAGTAATAATACTTTCAATCTGTTCTTTAAAGCAAAGAGATTTAAAGAGAATTTGTGGGGAAACATGACTAATGCCCCATTCACACCAACTGAACATGTTTAAATCAAACGAGGTTTTAAAAAATAAAAAACGGACATGCAAAACTGGTTTTAACACAGGATTGAAATGAAATTCAACCTGTTTTGTAATTAATTTGCACTAAATTTGCAGGCTTTTATGAAGGAAACAATTTTAAACCGGGTTTAACTCAGTTAAACACGGTTTCAAATGCTGTTTAAATGCTGTTTAGTACAACAGCATTTAAACATGTTTAACTTTGATGTGAATGGGGCTTAAGCTCGGGGGGGTACTCCTTATATAGGCTATTGAGGTATGTGCGGCACCAAAGGGTATGGGTTTTTGGCCGTTTTGATCTGAAATAGGGTATGGTTTGTGCACCCTAGTCTTGAATTGGGTATGTTTTTTAGAAGAAGCTTCTTCTTCGTCATTAGATGATAAGACCATTTCCCTTTAAGCTCGAAAATTTGAAGATTTTTGTATCCTCCTTAATAAAAGCGTATAAACATTGCCTTTAACATTGGTCTGACCTAAGGAACTGATTATAAGGCAGGTCTGAAATAGGGTATCAAATTTGATCAGGTCTGTAAAAAGGTAGGGAAAAACACAGATTTTGGTCTGAAATAGGGTAAGGGTTTAAGGAAGAGTGCCGCAAAACCCGACCCATTTTTTCTGGAAGTACCCCCCGGGGGGGGGGCTTAAGGTAGTTACTTATCAGGAATGAAATGAGCTGGAGCACTAAATGACCTCCGGCGGAGCTAGGCACATACGTTGTACTGAGCTTAAACTACTACGAAAAAATCTTTGATCTGTTGCAGCGGGTTTTCAGCTCTCTCCTGTTTACCTGGTTCCTCGGTGACAAGAACTGAAAGTGTAGCCACTGCTGCAATAAGCGGAATGAACTTAAGATGTCTACTCTTACACAAAGCCATCGATTGCTGGAAAGCGTCATAGAAAATACTTGATTGTGTACATCCTGACGTCTGCAAATGAGTGAAATGGCTACAATGAGTCATTAGAGACCTTACAAGGGCGAGATTTAACGTCATTTTTATTGAAGGCTATAGGTTAAGGCACCCGAGAGCAGAGTTCTAAAACTTCCAACATTTGAAAAATTGTTTTAGCCACTAAGAAATCCTCAACAAATGGTGGTACTCAACAAATGTTTTTACGGGGAGGCTTCGCCCCGTGGTCCAACCCTTACCCTTTTATATACCATTTTTCACAAAAAAGGTACCCCTTTCGTATACCTTCTATTGATAAATGGTACCCTTTTCACATACCTTGTTTAGAACTTTGCATCCCTTTTAACTTCTGTAAATGCACTGTCTTTTAAATAGGAATCAATCACAAAATTGAATAGGACGTTTTCTCGACTTTATAAAGCGCGCCATAATTTATCTGTTAGCCCTTTTGGGCCCTTTCACAGGCCCAAATGACAGATTTCCCTTCCCTTTTATATACTTCAACTACTGAAATGTATCCCACCCAGTTTCATATACCTGAAGCCTGAAAAAGACGCCCCTTTCGGGTGGAGCCTCCCCGTATAGGCCATCATAGGGAGTACCCCCCCGGGCTATGACCCGTCTATTGGTGGGTCTAGCTGCTGAATGGCCGGACTTGAGTTGAAACTCTTCATACTACAATCGGTTAATCGTCTTAAGCAGCTTGCAAGCTTGAAGGTGTTGGATTCCGGCGATTGACTGTTATGGACATGGATTTTCTTTATGTTCATGTTAGACATTAACAGTTAGTGTCAATTGTGATAATTTATGCTAACCAAATATGCCAGTATGACCAACATGACTCAACTTACCGATAAAATTGATCAATGAAATCCCTTTCTCTTTTTCGAGTGCGAATGGTGTCCAAGCCAGCAATGGTCTCTGAGAAGTGAGAGAAAACATGACTGCGACATATTGACTGCCACCTCTTCAATTCTCTTGAAGTCTTTAAGTAATACCACGCTAGACACAAGAAAACACCAATAACAGGGAAACAAACAAAAGAGAGCCAAAAATTCGTGAACGCTGGTAACATAGCGGCTGTCAACATTGACAAATTTAACTGCATAGACGCAGCAAACAGTGCAGGTAATAGTTCGTCCAGGCAACCAATGTCTTTGGAAAATCTGTTTAAAATTCGTCCTGCTGGATTTGTGTCGAAAAATAACACCTTTGCTTGAAGAAGGCTGGATACCATTTTGTTGTGGAGGTTTTCAGCGGATCGGAGGCACATAAAGAAGAATTAAAAAAAGCGAATGGCAGCGACAATCAATGCAGCGGAGACAAAACTGTCGTAAATATAATAGGTTTTTGATTCTTGCTGGGCTCTCCAACTCATCTTGGTCAAATGCGAAAGCCATAGATCAGGAGACACTATAAGAGCTTTTTGATAAAAGAACAAAAAAAAAGACAATACACGTCAAAATTTGTTAGAGCTTTATGCTTATGTTTTGTTTTTAACTGCTTTTTTAAACTTAATTTTTTAAAGAAACTATGAAATTTGGTCAGAGTTTTTCGGTTTATCTGCATGATATCTTATTTATTCGAGCAAACACGGGTCCCCCGAAAAAAACGCCACTCCCTGCAATAAGGTCCCTGGGGCCCGTTTCTCGAAAGTCCCGGTAACTTTACGGGCCCGAAATCAAATATTCAAATCGAAATATAAAGAATAAGAGCGCCGGTCCTGGCTAGCAAACTGCTCCATTTTGTTTCATTAACTGATAGTTTTATCATGTTAGATGCAAAACTGTTGAAACCTCAATCTTTAATGTAAACGGAAACAGCTTACCGGGCACTCTTAACTTCAAGAAAACCTCCTGAGAGCGGTTTTATAAACTATTTGAAGCGAAAATTAATACTGACTCCAACCGCCATTATATTGTACTGAAGTTGCTATCAATTTGATTGACTTCATTCAAAACAATAATAAAATTACTCGGGATATCTAATCAGTCAACTAACGCCAATTTTATTTGAAACTTAGTTGCCAGTAAAGATCTCAAACGCCTTGGGATAACTTATTTTATGAAATGTGTAATGTTTGTTGAGAAGTTTGTTTAAAAAACTCAGCTCACTAACCTTGCGCGACCATGAAGAAAGAGAGAATGAAAATCACCACTGCAGGGTGTGTTCCTGCCTTGAAATATTCCCAGTACATTGTCGCTGAAATTTTTCCAATAGCCTTTTCTTCCTCTTCGATCTCCAAATGCTCATCAAAGCTACCAGTGGACTTCTCAAAACGTGAATGCGCAATGCCATCTTCCGTACCTAATGTAGGAGGTGTCGGCTTTTCCTCGTTGACAGATGCATCGATGACGGCAGCGATTTCTTCTCTGCCTTGCAACTCATTAAAACTACCTTTTCCAAGCAGGGATCCTTCGTGGAGAACCACAACCTGGTCAGCTGCGATCGTGTGTGTCTTTGCTTATGACACCAAAATCGTAATTTTATTCTGCAGTAATTTGCAAATGCATTGATTAAATATGTGTTCGCAGACTTTCGCGTCCACGGCACTTAGAGGGTCATCCAACAGATACACGTCTGCATCAGCGTACACTGCGCGTGCCAAACTAACGCGTGCACGCTGACCGCCACTGAGTGTAACACCTTGTTCACCAACGAATGTTAGGTCGCTATTTGGAAATCTCCCGACGTCCTCTCTCAGTGCGCAGGCGTCAATAACTTCGGCGTACTTCTGTTTATCATATGGCTCGCCAAATAATATGTTTTTTCTGAATGTTCCAGAAAAGAGCCAGGCACTTTGTGGGACGTAAGATACATTTCCAGGGCATAGAACACTACCACGTGTTTTGGCCGCCTCACCAGCAATGGCGGCCAGCAGGGTTGATTTTCCACTGCCAACTTGACCAGTGATTACAGTTAGCCTTCTGTGAGATGAATCAAAACTGACATCTCGAAGAAGATACTTGTCACCTGATTTACAGGTAAGATTCGAAACTGATAAACTTTCATCCCGTAGTTTTCTTGCCAGTGGCTGCTCATCACCGTCATGTAAGGAAACCCTTTGACTTATACAGCGGTCTTTGGGGCATGACTTTCGGATCAATAATTGATTGCTTGCGCCGTCATTGTAGTCTACGGGATCCAGGGCTACGTTATTTAAAAGGAGAAATCTCTCTATTCTTTGAAAGGAGACGAATAACTCGAATGCTAGTGGGGCACCATCAGCCAGCCTGAGAGACACTGAACGAAGAGTTTTCATGAAGGCAAGTATCATAAAGGCTCTTGAAGGCGAACGATATTCTCCTGTTAGAACAAGAGCTAGCATAGACAAAAAGGTCGCTGCTGAGCTTGCGAACAGAAAGCTACCAATGATCGACAAAAGGAAGCTCTTTTTGGTGAGCATCCAGATTTCATTCCTAGAAAGTACACATATAACAAAAGTTTTGCAGACCAAGATGACAGATTTCCCTACCCTTTTATATTCTTCAACTAGTAAAATCCCTACCCCTTCTTATACCTGAAGCCTGAAAAAGGTACCCCTTTCGGGACGGGCCTTCCCGTGTAGGCCATGATAGGGAATACCTCCCAGGAGTTAAACATCATGATTCGGGAAAAAACGGCAAAGATAACTCATGTCGGGAAAAATAATCAGATGTTGATTTTTGCCATTGTGTCCCCCAGGGGTACTGCCTATTAAGAGGTTGCACCTCGGAGCGGAGCCTCCCTGTATGAAATTTTGTTGAGAACCCCCTGGGTTTCCCCTTGAACATAATGTTTAACGGCTTCTAAAGCAAACCGATGCGATTTAGCACTGTAACAGAACATTTACCATTTTCATGTATTGCATTCCTAAGCCTGCTTCCCCATAATTGTCACCTCTCTGCAATGACAGGTGCAAGTGTTATATTAACTTGATATATACGTAAAATTATGGTCAATCATTTAGTCAAGTTCAATGAAGTGCTCGTTTCGTTTAACCCTCATTATGCTGTCACGTCCTCATGATTTCCCGCGCATTTTAGTTCATTTTGCGTCCAAAGGGCGAATTTCTCTGTATTCAACGCCACTTTAACTGCTTCTCATAATTTTGTCAGGGGCTTTATCAGCTAGAAACTGATATCTGCGTTGTCCCTCACTAAATCACCTTAATAAGTATGCGGTGAAATCAGTTCCAACCTCTCTCCTCTCATTCCTTTGCTATTTTTAAATTTCTTACTTACCTTCTTACTTCCTGCACCTTATCCTTGTAGTTTTCTTCCCAAGCATGTGCTTTCAACGCACGTATTCCACAGACCACTTCGCTCATTTGAGAAATACGTCGGTCCGTTACTTTAGCGGTCCTCTTACGAAGTTTAGCACAAAAGTATGAGATCATCATACAAACAGGGATTAACATCAGTATAAATAACACTCCCATTAAAGGCTGCCGGCCGATTAAGTACAACAGTAAGCAAACGACAGCAATAAGTTCCAAGGGGGTTTTAAAAAGTAAACTGGTGAAAGGTACAGGAGCCTGTTCAATTCTTTGGACATCATTCGATATCAAGTCAAAAATGTTGCCTGTTATTGTTTCTAGAAAGTCTTGCCGACTGACAAGAGGGATCTGCCAAAAAAATTCAGTTAAAACAAACTATGAACAGCAGCTTACAGTATAAGTGGAATTGTGAGTGATCTGATCAGGAATGAAACATTTTATAACTCTCTCCTTCGCATAGGCTCGTAGGAACAAGGCGAGCTCCATCGAACCTCTTCGGAGGAGAGAAATGTTATTATAAAAGTCAAAAAAGAAGAAAGGAAAAATTCCCGTATGATGTGTGGCGCTTAGATGGTGGTGAGGAGCCAGCCCATCACTAAGGTTGTGACCTTTAAACACAAATAAATTAAAAGAAAAAATAACCCAAGTTCATGGGCTCTCCTTGGCCTTATGGTAAAGTGGCAAAAGCAAATGATTTATAGACAAGGGAGAGTGATTGGGTTAAAAAAATCATCTGAAGGATAAAATTTGCAGTTTTATCAGCTGATAAAACTATAATATTTGTATTTGACTTCCTCATCAATGAAGAAACAAGGTATCTGTTAAAACCAACCCCCTTATCAAAGATATTAGTTCAATATAAATAGCCTTCGTTGGTGCTAGACCGAGTATGTGAGTTTTAATCTGAACGAAATTCTTCGACGTTTTCAGTGTCGTTTCAACTGTTTCAACCGTCAATTCGAAAAGGGAGGGTATGTGGATTTAAACTGAAAATCATCCTAAGTATAAAAATAGATACTGATATAAGCTGATAAAAATATAATTTACGATTTTGACTAGGTCTCGTTTGAAACCAACTCCCTTATCTAAGATAGTTTAAAAATATTTAAAAATATGAAATAGATATTTGGCATAAATACGAGTGATATTTGGAAATTGTTATACGTAATTTCACGAGCCGTTGTTTTTGAAATTAAATACTACGAACTACTACCCGCAAAAGGTTTGTAATTTTCATGTAGGTGAAATACCACTGCTTTCAATCAGATTGCACCGTCATGTAGTAGTATAATTAATTAAATACTACGAAATTTTCGGTGTCGTTTCAACCGTCATTCCGCGTAAGGTAAAGGCCTATCTTCCATACACAAAAAGATTTTTACTTCGAGATAATTTTGTTTAATATGTGAAAGTATATACGAAATGAATTGAACAAGAATACGCCTTTGAACTTTGTCATTGCCCTTAAAACATATTTTTTTTTTGTTATAGAAACAATGAGAGCGTGAGAAAAGTCTAAAGCAAACACAGTGAAATGCCCTTAGATAGTACAACATGCTGCGAAAATTGGCAGATCTGGAAGTGTGTCTTCCAATCAGATTTTAAGCGGTTATAGCCAGAAGTGGCTTATATGACTCAACAGTTTAAATACAGCTTTTATTGCATTCGTGGGTTTTGTCCAATTTGCCAAACATTTTGGACCTTTCGCGGTCGTTCTTTTTAATCTCAGAGCAGTATGATGACTGTTTATTAAGCAATGAAAGTTTATCTTAAACGATCCTACCCTCCAGAATCATCTCTATATCCCCTGGGCAAGTCTGGCGTTCAACAAAAGCCGGGAAATTAAGATCTTTGCTCTTACAGGGCCCTAATTTATACATGCTGGCTCTTACGTCTGTTTCAGGTGTTCAGATCGTAAGGACAACGTGAAGAGATGTGATCCTCTCTCCACATTATTTTGCCACCTACCACTCCCCTAAGCCAGCATTACCACTTGCTTCAAACTTAGGGCAAAGTGATGGCTTAGGGGAGGGGTAGGTGGGCAGTTTCCCAGAAACGTAAGATGATACCTTATTTTTTCCCGCAATCTTACTTCCCGCCGCACTCCACAATCCGAACGCCTGGAACAGGCTAAGGCGGTGGGAAGGATATCACCTTCAAGTATTACACACACTACATGACCACTTATCATCTTGACTGTGAAACTACGTAACTGAAAGCTTTTTAATTAGCGAAAGATGATTGTGTTTTATGGTGTGGGTGGGTTTTTTTCTTCGGCTCCTTCATCCTAAAGTGAATCGTAAAATCGGCGCTCATTAAAAAGGCCAGCTTTGCAGGTCATGACTTGAAGGCAGCTGCCAGTGATAATAATAAATATGTTGTTTTAAACTACAGTGAATTACATCATCCAATTTTTATGGGTCTGTTGTAAATCACGTGTGGTCAAAATATGGATAAAACGGATGATTTACCACGATTTACAACATGGAGCAGTTGCACTCAATGTATTTTTCAGTCCAGCTTTTCCAGACATCTCTCTCTTATTAATTTTTTTGCTGCACACGTACGCGAAAGAAGACGTCAGTGTGTCACGAGACAGTCCACGCCTGACAGCATTAATACAGATGTTCCCTTTATACTTTTCACTAGAGAAAAATATAGCAGAAATTCAGAGCGATTAATCCCTTCTATGCGTAACATGGCAGCTCAAATAACTTTTAACAATTTCTTTGTTTCTTTACAACTCTCTCCGACAACGTATTTTGTGAATTATTTAACCAATCCTGTCACAGTATGGTCAGCGTGATCTTGAAAATTTTAGTATCCTGTTTTACAGAGACTAAACAAAACGTACATAGGTTTTTTAACAGTTTGTCGGCCAAAAGAACTTTTAAAAAAGAGATTTTTTAAACATTTTTTTGCTTCTTTTCTATACATGCAATTTTTCCGTCTCGCCAAGAAAAAACCTGCTCCTCCTCGCAAAAAAACAAAAAAAAACAAAAACACAGAATCTCCCAAACTCCCAAACAAGGCCTATGTCAATGGATATTCAAAAATACGTTTCTCAGATCTGTAGGTTTTGTTGACTGCCTTCTTGTAGCCGCTGCGCCTTTGCAGCGGAAAAAATTAAATCCCCACCCTATTCAAGATACGTAAATGTCAATTTAGCCGATTAATCTCTTTATTATTGATAACTTCTACACTACCAATCGCTTACATTAGAGTGCATAAACTTGTATAAGTAAGTACCAAATCCCCACTGTTACTTCATAACAGCAATAACGCCCCAGCTAGTGGTCTATTATCAATGCTGCATTCTGACTGGTTGAGCTACAACTAGGCTATATGTTATAGCCCACTACTAGCGAAAAGCGCCGGATTTTTGGCGGCAAAAAGGATTAAAGTCTTGCTTTAAGTTGTTTTGTCTCGATATTTTTGACCAACTAGTTGGATTTTACTAAAACAATTATTCCTTAACAATTATTCGGCCTTATTGGCTATTGACTCAGAGCCCATTCTAGGGGCTTGATGAATAATTAACAATTAATGAGGAGGCTGAGTATCTTATGAAGAATTATGGAGATCGAGAGATCTCCATAATTCTTCATATGATATGAAAGCCAAATTTAATAATTGTTTTATTATTCATTCAAAATAATTCCTAGTTTAAAAACATAGCTAAAACATGCTTACCTCCATCGATCAATCGATGTTAAGTTCATCTTCGATAGTGGACGTTTAGGGTTGTTCAGCTCCGCAAATATTCTTCAAATAGCAGATGTCGCCCTTCGAGTTGTCTTCTTGCTCTTCTTGCCATGTTTTTAGCAATTATTTCGCCTAGTTCATACTCTTAAAACGACTGAAATGTCCGCCATTTTTGTTTCCACAACCAAAACAACTCAACCTCGTCCCCAGGTCTTCTCGGTTAACGGTGCACTAACCAGCAAAAACGCTGCATTTTTCACGTCATTTCCTCGCTAAACACAAAATTCTTCCAAATTTGGACATTAGTAACTGGTTATAGTGAATTATGCTTGTGCTTTTAGCCAATCAGAATCGGGGAAATATCTTGAATGAATAATAATTGTTAATTATTATCCATCTCGGCATTCCGATCCAAAGTTTCGCACAATTTCGTAATCCCGATGGTTGTTTTCGGCATCCTGCGTCTCGTGCATCCTTTTAATCCCAAATATCACCCCATTTTTTGCTTTAAAATCCCGAATCCCAACCTTCAAATAAGAGGGGCGGGGGGTGATCCTATTGAGGACGCTTGAAATAGAAATCATTTATAATGTGCACTAATGCCGTGAACTGTGTGCTTGCACTGCACAACTAACAAATTACAATGATCGAAATTTACACTAAGGGCGCTTTCCATTTGTCACTACTGGCCGGCCGGACCAGTCAGATGGCAAATGAAATCGGCTTTTTCTATAGGGTTTTTGCTGAAAAACCATTTCCTTCGAGCATACTATTTAGGATCTGACTGATCTGGCAGGATAGTTTTGATTAAAGGTGAAATTCTCATTAAGACGGGAATGGTCTAGCCGGTCAGTTCGGACAAATGGAAAGCGCCCTAAGTTTACGGTTCACTTCTCAAATGAAAAGATTAATTACGTGAACAACAACACAACGTAACACACACTGTCAGGAAACTGGACTAACGATTGATTTTTAAATATAGACGAGTTCTCGGAAAGAGCACAGCGTTTGCATTAATTCCCGTTGACGTCAGGAGCCCTGTTGTAGATTGCTGTCACTTATCAGAAGTCGAAAAACTGACTACACTCTTTCAGTGACATACAGTCATGTACCTTAAAACAGGGGCACCCAACGACAATTTTCGGAAAATATCTGTTGGGAAGACGATTTGAGATCTAGAATTTTCGGAACAATTGTTGTAAAATTTCTTGTTTGCCTGCCTCTACTAGGATTTTCGAACATCTAAAAAATGGTATAATTGCTCATTTTTAACGGATTTTTTACTCTTAAAAGGTCACCTAGAATTTTCGGGAGCCTTTTTTCTGGCTGAAATTTTCGAAAAGAAACTTTTGATCCCTATAATTTTCAGATCACTAGACTTTCAGCTAGGAAATCCGAACAGATGAAAAATTTTTAGGGGATAAAAATATGCCTATATCTACCGTTTAAATACTAAAATACATTTAACAATGCTATGTTTAAGTGGTTTTGAATTATATTCTCGTTGGGTGCCCCTGTTAAAAGCTTATGGACCTATCATGTATCACAGCTATTAGATATAACCACTAGAAAATGGCCCAGTTAGCAAGAACGTTTATGGCATATTATTTTACGGGAGGATTAAGATAGGGTTCCAAGTGGTTCATGCGCCCTTATATCCGCCCATGTACTTCTTTTGACTAATATGCCATGAAATATTTTCAAAAATTAGATCTCCTACTTTCCGAAAAATCTCTACAGCTTTTTTCCAAATGAAAAGTAGTCCATCAGCAATTTATCGCTTAAAACGACTTATCATTAAGCTTGTTATTTCCGATTTCTACCTTTCTGGTCAGTGGCCATATACTCGGCCAATAAATGAAACAACTCGAAAATTGTTAGAGAAATCCTCATGAGGCTTAAACTGAACTAAAAGTACCGATTGAAGAACTTTCTCTAGATGCCAGTAGTGAAACCTGTATAGTCGAACACCAACGGGCGTTGTTGCTATAGTGTCTGCTTAATGTTATATTTTTTTTTAAAACAAAATAATCCTATTATTTATACGGGGAGGCTCCGCCCCGAGGTCCAACCTCTTAGCTTTATATATCAGTCATGGTACAGTTTTTGACAGAAATGGTACCCCTTTCGTATACCCTCTATGGAAGTGGTATCCCTTTCACACACCTATAGTTTAGAACTTTGCATCTCTTTTAAGTGCTGTAAATGCTATGTCTTTTAAATATGAATAAATCACAAAACCAGAACGTATTCTCGACTTTTTGACAGCTATACAAAACATCTGTTAGCACTTTAAGGCCTTTTTACAAAACGAAATGACAGATTTCTCTCCATTTCATAAACTTGAAGCGTAAAAAGGGTACCACTTTCTGGCCGAGCCTCACCTTATAGGCCATTATAGGGATTACCCCCGAGCCCTATCAGTAGTACCCGCTTCTAATGGGCATTTTGAGTTGTGTATTTTCTACAAGCTATTATCCTTATAAAGGCCTTACGATAGAACTTACTCATCATTCCGTAACACACGGGATGCAGGGCGCTTCGCAGACAGCCCAGGCTAAAAATAAGCCTCCTAAGAATGAGACGAGGAGGCCAGACCATAAATGCTTCAACTCGGAATTCGATTAGAAGGAAATAAACTTGATATGGGACGCAACAAATTACAAAGACTAGCACCAAAGCATAAATCATTTTTAAATTTAGGAGGTCGTTTTCAAGCTCAAATGCGCTGTTGTCGTTTTTCGTAACTGTCCGAACGTTTGGTGAGCTCTCAGTTTGGTCAGTGTCTTCTTTCAAGGTCACGTACTTGTCATGGCTTTCCCGTTGTTGTCCTCTCTCGTCGTCTTTGATGTTGCTGGTTGCACTATACTCGAGCTGTATTTCTTCATGGTTTTCGCCACATGATTGGCTAAAAACCATACTGCCTCTTTTCGTTGATTTTGGCTCCTCTTTACACACAGAATTCTGAGTAACAGTTGACATAGCCTTGTTTTGCTCGTCCCGGAGCCGTTTTTTGACAAAGATGTGTTCTCTGATCTTCTTATAGACCAGGGAATAAGAAATTGCCATTATTACAAATGCCAAGGTAAAGTTCACTACGAATAGGACGATCGAGTAAATGTCCTGATAGTGTTCAAATCCATGGGGGAATTCTTCCGCACAGAAACGCAACTCGCAGTTTTCGCCCCATGATTGTAAGACGCGAAAATGCCCCGCAGGAACCGACAGACCAATAGATCCCGCCCAACAGATAAGTATAACACGACACGTTTGTCTGGTTGTTGGCTTGGTGATCATGGGTTTAATTAGCAAGACGCATCGGTAGACAGCAAGAATGGAAATGGATGCTGAGATAACCAGAGAACTTGTTACCTGAAGAGGGGGGAGAATCTTGCACATGGCACTCCCAAGCTCCCAAGACCATGGTGGTTCATATGCGTGGAACATGAACACTATACAAACCACATTGATAATTTCAGCAAAAGCCAAATTACTGACAAGGTAATGTGCAGTCGGTTTGGCTCCGGTAAATCTCCAGACAGCTCGACACACCACATAATTTCCAACCAAGGCGAGAGCTGCTATCAGACTGAACAAGAACGTGCGGGTAATTCGTAATGCTTCGGGTTCAGGAGTGAAAGAAACTGAGCTGTTTGAGGCGTTGAATGCTGAAAGGCACTGCATCTTCGGAAGTGAAATACGGTGAAAGCGTAGCTTTTTTGCTCTAACACTTCCGTGGTCTTTTGGCTATCCTTTTGCTCTCCTGTGAAGACTTCATAAAAAGCAAAAGTCTTATGAGCACCTGCATAAGGGAAGTAGATGTATTGAGTGGTCATTTGGTGTTAAGTACCGGATTCTTTGATCAGTGCCTCTGAGTAAAAGCTCTGTATGAGGCCCATTTGTATGCCATTTAAGATTTTACAAAACCTTTTTGTATTTTACTTTAGGTTGTAAAAAAAAAAGGTTTGTTTACTGAGATGAAATGTCATTATTCTGCATCGAAAACGCAAAAGCCCTACTATTAATAAGGTAGTTTTAATCAGCCGGTGCGGTGGAAGGTCTTAAAAATGACAGAATACATTTTATTTTCGCCTGGCTCGCCTTCGAACCAAGTCATTTAGTTGGTTGGCTCATTTGACCTCGATCAAATATCTTTTTAGACTATATTTTCTGGCTTTTTGACAACAAAAAGAACTTTGCAGTTAGTGCAACCTTGAAAAGTGGTAGAAATTCATAATAAAACATGGTAGCTTTTTACCTTTGGTTCCCTTCATATCGTAGATGCTGATGTCACGGAAGCATTAAATATTCCTTGAATTTTAAATAGAAACCAAAGAACACAATTTCTAGTTAACGATAGTCGTTTCGTTAAAACATCTGCATATCATATTATATTTTTCTCACCTAAGCTTCGGTGACCATTGTTAAGATCTTGGGAATGATATTCCCGATTTGAAAGTGAAAGCAAAAACTGATGTGAAAATGTCTTTTTAATATGTTAAATAAAGTTTAAATAAGACCCCAGGGGTCTAGAAACTTTTTTGTTTTGGTAATCAGAACGAAATTTGGATATGTATAAAACCTTTGGATGTGGTGTTAAAGTGGCGAGCCAATTTATATTTTACTTAAGTACGTATCTAAACTGACTACAGGTAAAATTGTTTACACTTTTCGGTCAGGGCAGTTTTGATCTTCCTTTAGTTTTTACATTAAAAATTCAGTTTTCAATTCTGGGAATTTCAAAGTTTTTTTAAATAGATCGTGACAGCATTTACTGCCATCATAAATGACTGTTCGTGGTCTAGCGAGTCTACAATAACAGAATTGCTTCAAAGTAATTATTTTTATTTTAAAAAGCAGGTCTTTCGACGCCTCCAGGACGCCTTTTAAACAGATTACTATTATTTATTCTGGAAAATTCGAGTGATTGAAAATTTTATTTGATGTGTTTCAGTTGGAAATTTTTCCTTAAATGTCAAAAATCCTACCCAAATATTATAACAGCAATTGACCCACCAACGTAAACCTCTATGGTTACTTTCTAATCTTGACAAGGCGCATTAAAACCCAGGGCTTACATGCATTACTTTTTGAAAGAATATAGTTTTTCTTGATTCTAAAACCCTTGACTAAGATGACAGTCTCCTTTTTATTCCTTAAAAAAAAAGAAGAAAAATAAAACGCGTAACAGGTGACCTGTTTAGAAAAAAAAAGAAACTAGATATAATGAAAAAAAAAAAATTGAAATAACGAGCCAACACTTCATTTCGAACAAGATTAACAAGGTTAAGAACAGTACCATAGCAAAGAATTGCTTCTAAAAACAATATTTTTATTGGTCACTTTGTAATGTACAAGTAAATTTACTTCCACAAACAAATCTTGTAAATAACTTTACGTGAGTAAAGAAGGGTTGGCGGAAGAAGTGTGTTTGATATGTGTCGTCCTAAAAAATGAGCACTTAAGTTTTGTTTTATACTTAAACACCTATTAATAGCAAAAGGACTGTAAGATCAGGAAAATAAATTTACGCCAAAAAAAAAAGAATTATACATCATACGATAAAGCTGCTTAGATCAATTTAGATTTCTGGGAAACTGCCCACCTACCCCTCCCCAAAATCAACATGTTGGCTTAGTGGAGGAGTAGGTGGGTCGTTTCCCATAGACGCTGTCTTCAAAAAAGACCGATTTTGACTGTTGAGTGGAAAATAACCATACAACCAAAATTTCTCACAGATCTTGGAATTTGTTATAGAATTTGTACAAGTAGTTTACACTAACGCGTTAAGTTCTGTAACTTAATTATTTTTCACTTAAGATTAACATTTTACTGATTTATTGACTACGTTAAAACGATGAAAGGGTTCACTCTCTATAACAACTTGGCGAGAAAAATATTACTTGGTGGCGAGATGATATGTAGTTTATGTTCGAGTCAGATAGGTACAGTGGCAATTTCAATTTTACTCACGGCAATTTCAATTTTTAACGGCAAATAACGCTCACGGCATTTTTCGCTTCGCTCACCACCTGTCAACTTCGGACAACTTCGGCGGTCGACAGTGGCCACCAAAAGTCAAAACGCAAAATCAAAAGTCGATATTTAAAGTCGATCTTCAAAGGGAAAAGTGAAACCAAAAATCGAAAGTCGATTCACGAACACTTATGCCAGTAGACAGTGAGTAGACAACAGAAGAGTTTACTGGTCCCAGAAAATTATTATCTAAGGACCAACTGTACTATCGCCAAGCTATTATGGCCTTCAAATGCATGACCGGTCAAGCCCCTGAATATCTTACATCCCAATTTATTACCCGTGAGCAACTTAGCGAACGAACAACTCGGTGTAGCCAAAAGCTAAACATCCCTCTTTTCAGAACTGCCTCCAGACAGAGAACCTTTTATTACAGGACTGTTAAACTTTGGAACAATTTGGAATCTCTTCTTAAGTTAAGCCCATCTTTTGAAATTTTTAAACGTTCCTTAACGAGCCAGCTTTTAGATAATTATGTAAATACTTCTTAGTTAAGTTTAAAACATTGTAATTAGTAATTAGCTAACATTGTAATTAGTATTGGATTAGGGACGGACCATTAGAAAAGTTATGGGGGGGGGAGGGGAATTTTCGAGCCACAGGAAATTTTCAGTTCCGTTATCAAATTCCTTGTTGAATTTTTTTTCAGGCCATAGCATGAATATTTTTTAGGATTTATTGGCATGCATGAATTTTTTTTCATTTAATTTTCCCCTGCGCGAATATTTTTTTTTGTACTTCGCCCGCCCCTTGCCCCCTTATAAGTTTTCTAATGGTCCGTCCCCTAAGTGTTGTAATTAGTTAAATAATGTAATATAATTATTGTTCCTGAAAAGCCCCTTTGGGGAGGTAACAATATAAAAGTATGTATGTGTCTGACACTCACCTGGTGGCCTGTTAATCAGTATTTACTGCACAGCATCTCAAAATGGTTCAATCCCTCACATTAATCTAAGCATTGAAGCTACTTCTAAGTCTTGTTTACTGATGTTATTGGTAGCAGTGTTCCTATTTTTGCTAAGAAAAAGCAAAAATGGTGGAGCCATACGAAGGAACATGCTATTTATGGACCCGGTCTGAGATTCGTTTTTTGTTTTATCATGAGAACGGTACGGTCTCAGACCGGAACGAAAGTAACTCGTGTCGGGTCAGCGACCGAGATGAAGTCAGACCGGTCTGAGTCCATTTTTAGGTCGGTAAACGCATGAAAAGAAATGTATGGCAACAGATACGAACTCACACCAGTCTGAGTTCGTCCCAGTCTCATGTAAATACCCCCTAGTTCTGCTAGTTCGTAAATCGACTTTTGATTTGCGATTTTCACTTTTCTCTTTGAAGATGAACTGTAAATATCCACTTTTGATTTTATGTTTTGACTTTTGGTGCGTGGCCACTGTCGGCCGCCGTAGCTGACAGGTGGTGAGAGAAGCGAAAAATGCCGTGAGCGTTGCTGTGAAAAAATTGAAATTGCCCTGAGTAAAATTGCGAAATTGCCGTGAGTAAATTGAAATCGCCGTGAGCAAATTGAAATTGCCGTGAACAAATTGAAATTGCCATGAGCAAATTGAAATTGCCGTGAGTAAAATTGAAATTGGCGTGAGTAAAATGAATTTGCCGTGAAAAAATTGAAATTGCCGTGAGCAAATCCCGGGGGCGGGGGGACTCCCATATGAAAGGTGCGGGGATGCTCGTCGTCTCGCTGGTAGGAGTGTAAATTTCAGATTTTGGTCTCGCTTAGGGTGTTCTAGGCAAAACACCATTATATTTAGCCCTAAAGGTCTCTTTTAGGGTTGCACTCGAAGAAATGTTAAAAAATTATTCGTTTCATTTACTCGATTCATGTAATCAAAGTTCAAAATGATCGCTTTTAAGGGTCAAAAAAAGGTTGGGCCACGCCCAGTTCGGTCTCCTTTAGGGGTTTAATTCAAAATTTCCGACGAGCATCCCCGCCCCTTTCATGTGGGAGTCCCCCACCCGGAAAGCAAATTGAAATTGCCCCGAGTAAAATTGAAGTTGCCGTGAGTAAAATTGAAATTGCCGTGAACAAATTGAAATTGCCGTGAGTAAAATTGAAATTGCCGTGACACTTTTGGGCCGCCGTAGTGCGGAGACGTGTAATGTTCTTTTTCTTAAAGAAAATAAATATACTTTGGAAAATAAATATACTTGCTAGAAATTGAAAAGCTGGACCAAACGTCGGTTTCCTCTGAAAACATTGGAAACAGTTTTAAGGCTATCCAGTGTATTTTAGATCTCTAGAAATTAGTTCTAAGGGGCGCCATAAATTTCTATTTGTTCGGTAGGGCAAACCGAGTCTTTTCGAAATTTCAAGGGCTTCAGTATTTTTTCCCGAAAAAAATGAAAAAAGTTTTAAAGGAGATTATATTCTCCCCTCATTTTCGAATCCGAAGATTTTAGTTCCTTTGTCTAAGAAATATAGCCTAACCTGGCAGGGTTCTATCTAGAATTTATCGTTTGGGAGAGAATTCCCGGGTGGCCAGAGCTTATTAGGCCACTGAGCTTCCAAGGGGGGCCTGGAGGCATGCTCCCCCGAAAATGTTTTGAAATGAATATGCGCTGAGACGCAATTAATCTGGTGCATTTTGAGACACAATTTTGAGAAATGTTACAGTGTGTGCACTGACCTCGTCGCGTCTGGATGATTTTTCTGATACAGTTACTTATATAATGTAATGATAACAATATTTTGGGGGAAAGGTGGGTATTTTTTTTGGGGGGGGGGCGCATCTATCCCTCAAATACCCTAGATAGAGCCCTGCCTGGGGAACGGAAGGGTGAAAAATTAAACTTCAGAAAAGTACAGATTTGTTACAAAAAGCTCCGAAATTTGTACATGGATGGAACGGTCATTTCGAGATTTTTAGCGGAGCTCAAGCTACAGAAAAACGTAGGCACTGAAGAGGACAGGCGATTGGCTGAGTACAGAGATGCACCTTCGCGATTCTTGCAGTTGGACGCTGTTTACTGAAACTTCAGAAAAGTACAGATTTGTTACAAAAAGCTCCGAAATTTGTACATGGATGGAACGGTCATTTCGAGAGTTTTAGCCGAGTTCAAGCTACAGAAAAACGTAGGCAATATTTGCTTCTTCGAGAAAAGATATTTCACATAAAACAGTCGTTGGATACCCCTGAGTTAAGGATAAGTGCTTGCTATAAAACCAACGAAGGTTATAACTGAACTTATTGAAGCCGCACTCTATGGTTGATGAGTAAGCCTGCCGGAAATGAAGAAGCAAAACTAAGAAAGTAATCCCTGAGACGCAGCCAAACTTTGAAAAATTCCTCCCTGTTGCCGCATAAGTGCATTGAATGTGTCCATTTCGGCCACCTGGCCTTCTCTTAATACCAAAATTAAATCACAGTCTTTGACGGTATTAAGTCGATGAGTTATGGTGATGATTGTAGAGTTCTTAAGTTTCTCCTTCACGGTTGCCCAAATGGTCCTTTCTGTGTTTGGATCCACGTGCGCAGTTGGTTCATCTAAGATAACGATCTTACTCTGTTGTAGTAATGTGCGAGCTAAGCAGATCAGCTGCCGTTCACCAACACTTAGGTTTTCGCCTCTCTCTAAAAGCTTGAAGTCAAGTTGCCCCTCGAGGTCTTCAACCAGGCGATTTAACTTGACCTCTTTAAGGACATTCCATAGCTCATTGTCGCTATGTTTATTCAAAGGATCAAGATTCGTCTTAAGCGAGCCACTGAAGAGGACAGGCGATTGGCTGAGTACAGAGATGCACCTTCGCGATTCTTGCAGCTGAACTCTGTTTACTGAAACATCGTCAATGAATATTCCCCCCTCAGCTTCAGGCATGCGCAAAAGGGCTGCCACGATATACGACTTTCCATATCCTGTTCTGCCAACAATTCCCAAATTTTGTCGTCCTTTAATATTAAAGGTTAAATCCTTGAGCACTTGCGGCCCACCTGGGTAATACCTCAAGGAAACATTTGTGAAGCTCACGTGACCGTCACGAGGCCAGTTAATGGGGGGCATGCTTTCTGTTTTGTATCCTGGCTCTGCGTCGAGGTTGGTGTAGACTTTGACACGCTCAAATGACGTCATAAAGTTCTCCACATCCGAAAACTTTCGCACCGCGTATGAAGCTACATTTGTTGTTTCAATCACGTATGCAAGAGAAAGTCCAATCAAAGCTATAAACAAAAACAATAAAAAAATGCACTTAATATGAGTGTCAATGTATTTAACACGAAAGTACTAAATGAGGACACGTCTCCTTCTGGATAGGGGACCGCCTTTTTACGTGGTCATCGGAGCCACTCGAAGGTCTAGCCGTTTGCAGGACAAAGGAAGTAACTCATTTCTCAGTTATTTCAAGACAGTGTTATTGGTCCGGCCCTGGGAATCGAACCCTCGACCTTCCGCTCTGCAGTCAAGTGCTGTATCGACTGAGGTATTCCTGCCGCGCATAAATAATTTAATTTTTCCGATGTTCATCGAGTGCCCACAGAATGCGTGTAATCATGAGTAAGATTCATCAAGAAGTCTACTTTACTGCTACCAGTGATAATACTTTCAATCTGTTCTTTAAAGTGAAGAGATTTAAAGCATCAACCTCGCATATGGTAGCGAGATTACTTAGTGGATTTGTCTAAGAGTCATTGTCTGAGAGAATTTGTGGGGAAACATGACTAATGCCCCATTCACACCAACTGAACATGTTTAAATCAAACGAGGTTTTAAAAAATAAAAAGCGGACATGGAAAACTGGTTTTAACACAGGATTCAAATGAAATTCAACCTGTTTTGTAATTTATTTGCACTAAATTTGCTGGCTTTTATGAAGGAAACAATTTTAAACCGTGTTTAACTCAGTTTAAATGCTGTTTAGTACTGACAGCATTTAAACACGTTTAGCTTTGATGTAAATGGGGCTTAAGCTCGGGGGGGGGGGGGTACTCCCTTATATAGGCTATTGAGGTATGTGCGGCGCCAAAGGGTATAGGTTTTTAGCCGTTTTGGTCTGAAATAGGGTATGGTTTGTGCACCCTAGTCTTGAATTGGGTATGTTTTTTAGAAGAAGCTTCTTCTTCGTCATTAGATGATAAGACCATTTCCCTTTAAGCTCGAAAATTTGAAGATTTTTGTATCCTCCTTAATAAAAGCGTATAAACATTGTCTTTAACATTGGTCTGACCTAAGGAACTGATTATAAGGCAGGTCTGAAATAGGGTATCAAATTTGATCAGGTCAGTAAAAAGGTAGGGAAAAACACAGATTTTGGTCTGAAATAGGCTAAAGGTTTCAGGAAGAGTGCCGCATATCCCCACCCCCACCCATTTTTTCTGAAAGTACCCCCCCCCCCCGGGGGAGGGCTTAAGGTAGTTACTTATCAGGAATGAAAAGAGATGGAGCACTAAGTGACCTCCGGCGGAGCTAGGCACATACGTTTTACTGAGCTTAAACTACTACGAAAAAATCTTTGATCTGTTGCCGCGGGTTCTCAGCTCTCTACTGTTTACCTGGTTCCTCGGTGACAAGAACTGAAAGTGTAGCCACTGCTGCAATAAGGAATGAACTTAAGATGTCTACTCTCACACAAAGCCATCGATTGCTGGAAAGTGTCATGGAAAATACTTGATTGTGTACATCCTGACGTCTGCAAATGAGAGAAATGGCTACAATGAGTCATTAGAGACCTTTAGATTCGAGAACGTGGACGACTACAAGGTCGAGATTTAACTTCATTTTTATTGAAGGCTGTAGGTTAAGCTCACACCCGAGCGCAGAGTTCTAAAACTTCTAACATTTGATACTGCTTGTTTCAGCCACTAAGAAATCCTCAACAAATGGGGGTACTCAATAAATGTTTATACGGGGACGTTCCACCCCGAGGTCCAACCCCTTACCCCTTTATATACAATTTTTCACGAAAAAGGTACCTCTTTCGTATACCTCCTATTGACAAATGGTACCCCTTTCACATACCTTGTTTATTTTTGCGTTTAACTTCTGTAAATGCACTGTCTTTTAAATAGGAATCAATCACAAAACTGAATAGAACGTTTTCTCGACTTTCGAAATCCATAAAATTCATCTGTCAGCCCTTTTGGGTCCTTTCACAGGCCCAAATGACACATTTCCCTACCCTTTTATATACTTCAACAAGTGAAATCCCTACTCTTTCATATACCTGAGGCCTGAAAAAGGTACCCCTTTCGGGTGGAGCCTCCCCGTAAAGGCCATCATAGGGAGTACCCCCCCGGGCTATGACCCGTCTATTGGTGGCTCTAGCTGCTGAATGGCCGGACTTGAGTTGAAACTCTTCATACTACACTCGGTTAATCGTCTTACGCAGCTTGCAAGCTTGAAAGTGTTGGGTTCGATTGACTGTTATGGACAGTTTCTTTACGTTCATGTGAGACATTGACAGTTAGTGTCAATTGTGATAATTTACGCTAACCAAATATGCCAGTATGACCAACATGACTCAACTTACCGATAAAATTGATCAATGAAATCCCTTTCCCTTTTTCGAGTGCGAATGGTGTCCAAGCCAGCTATAGTCTCTGAGAAGTGAGAGAAAACAGGACTGCGACATATTGACTGCCACCTCTTCAATTCTCTTGAAGTCTTTAAGTAATACCACGCTAAACACAAGAAAATACCAATAACAGGGAAACAGACAAAAGAGAGCCAAACATTCGTGAACGCTGGTAACACAGCGGCTGTCAACATTGACAAATTTAACTGCATGGACGCAGCAAACAGTGCAGGTAATAGTTCGTCCAGGCAACCAATGTCTTTGGAAAATCTGTTTAAAATTCGTCCTGCTGGATTTGTGTCGAAAAATAACACCTTTGCTTGAAGAAGGCTGGATACCATTTTGTTGTGGAGGTTTTCAGCGGATCGGAGGCACATAAAGAAGAATAAAAAAACGCGAATGGCAGCGACAATCAATGCAGCGGAGACAAAACTGGCGTAGATATACCAGGTTTTGGATTCTTGCTGGGCTCCCCAACTCATCTTGGTCAAATGCGAAAGCCATAGATCAGGAGACACTATAAGAGCTTTTTGATAAAAGAAACAAAAAAAAAAGACAATACACGTCAAAATTTGTTAGAGCTTTATGCTTATGTTTTGTTTTCAACTGCTTTTTTAAACTTAATTTTTTAAAGAAACTATAAAATTTGGCCAGAGTTGTTCGGTTTCTTATTTATTCGAGCAAACACGGGTCCCCCGAAAAAAAGGCCAATCCCTGCAATAAGGGCCCTGTCCCGATCCCCAAACTACATTCTTAACTTCAAGAAAACCTTCTGAGACCGGATTTATAAACTATTTGAAGCTAAAATTAATACTGACTCCAACCGCCATTATATTGTACTGAAGTTGCTATTAATTTGATTGACTTAATTCAAAACAATTATAAAATTAGCTTAAAATTACTCGGGACATCTAATCAGTTAACTAACGGCAATTTTATTTGAAACTTAGTTTCCAGTAAAGAACTCAAACGCCTTGGGATAACTTATTTTATGAAACGTGTAATGTTTGTTGAGAACTTTGTTAAAAAAAACTCAGCTCACTAACCTTGCGCGCCCACGAAGAAAGAGAGAATGAAAATCACCACTGCTGGATGTGTTCCTGCCTTGAAATATTCCCAGTACATTGTTGCTGAAATTTTTCCAATAGCTTTCTCTTCCTCTTCGATCTCCAAATGCTCATCAAAGCTACCAGTGGACTTCTCAAAACGTGAATGCGCAATGCCATCTTCCGTACCTAGTGTAGGAGGTGTCGGCTTTTCCTCGTTGACAGATGCATCGATGACGGCAACAATTTCTTCTCTGCCTTGCAGCTCATTAAAACTACCTTTTCCAAGCACGGATCCTTCGTGGAGAACCACAACCTGGTCAGCTGCGATCATGTGTGTCTTTCCATATGACACCAAAATGGTAATTTTATTCTGCAGTAATTTGCAAATACATTGATTAAATATGTGTTCGCCAACTTTCGCGTCCACGGCACTTAGAGGGTCATCCAACAGATACACGTCTGCATCAGCGTACACTGCGCGTGCCAAACTAACGCGTGCACGCTGACCGCCACTGAGTGTAACACCTTGTTCGCCAACGAATGTTAGGTCGCCATTTGGAAATCTCCCGACGTCCTCTCTCAGTGCGCAGGCGTCAATAACTTCGGCGTACTTCTCTTTATCATATGGCTCACCAAATAATATATTTTCTCTGAATGTTCCGGAAAAGAGCCAGGCACTTTGTGGGACGTAAGATACATTTCCAGGGAATAGAACACTACCACGTGTTTTGGCCGCCTCACCAGCAATGGCAGCCAGCAGGGTTGATTTTCCACTGCCAACTTGACCAGTGATTACAGTTAGGCTTCTGCGAGATGAATCAAAACTGACATCTCGAAGAAGATACTTGTCACCTGATTTACAGGTAAGATTCGAAACTGATAAACTTTCATCCCGTAGTTTTCTTGCCAGTGGCTGCTCATCACCTGCATCACCGTCATGTAAGGAAACCTTTTGATTTATACAGCGGTCTTTGGGGCATGACTTTCGGATCAATAATTGATTGCTTGCGCCGTCATTGTAGTCTACGGGATCCAGGGCTACGTTATTTAAAAGGAGAAATCTCTCTATTCTTTGAAAGGAGACGAATAACTCGAATGCTAGTGGGGCACCATCAGCCAGCCTGAGAGACACTGAACGAAGAGTTTTCATGAAGGCAAGTATCATAAAGGCTCTTGAAGGCGAACGATATTCTCCTGTTAGAACAAGAGCTAGCATAGACAAAAAGGTCGCTGCTGAGCTTGCGAACAGAAAGCTACCAATGATCGACAAAAGGAAGCTCTTTTTGGTGAGCATCCAGATTTCATTCCTAGGAAGTAAACAAATAACAAAAATTTTGCAGACCAAGATCACACATTTCCCTACCCTTTTATATACTTCAACTAGTAAAACCCCTACCTCTTCTTATACCTGAAGCCTGAAAAAGGTACCCCTTTCGGGACGGGCCTTCCCGTGTAGGCCATGATAGGGAATACCTCCCAGGAGTTAAACATCATGATTCGGGAAAAAACCGCAAAGATAACTCATGTCGGGAAAAATAATCAGATGTTGATTTTTGCCATTGTGTCCCCCAGGGGTACTGCCTTTTAAGAGGTTGGACCTCGGAGCGGAGCCTCCCTGTATGAAATTTTGTTGAGAACCCCCTGGGTTTCGCCTTGAACATAATGTTTAACCGCTTCTAAAGCAAACCGATGCGATTTAGCACTGTAACAGAACATTTACCATTTCCATGCATTGCATTTCTAAGCCTACTTTCCCATAATTGTCACCTCTCTGCAATGACAGGTGCAAGTGTTATATTAATTTGATATGTACGTTATATTATGATCAATCATTTAGTCCAGTTCAACGAAGTGTTCGTTTCGTTTAACCCTCATTATGCTGCCACACGCTCATGATTTCCCGTGCATTTTAGTTCATTTGCGTCCAAAGGGCGAATTTCTCTGTATTCAACGCCACCTTAACTGATTCTCGTAATTTTGTCATGGGCTTTATCGCCTGGAAACTGATATCTACGTTGTCCCTCACTAAATCACCTTAATAAGTATGCGGTGAAATCAGTTCCAACCTCTCTCCTCTCATTCCCTTGCTATTTTTAAATTTCTTACTTACCTTCTTACTTCCTGCACCCTTTCCTTGTAGTTTTCTTCCCAAGCATGTGCTTTCAACGCACGTATTCCACAGACCACTTCGCTCATTTGAGAAATACGTCGGTCCGTTACTTTAGCGGTGTTCTTACGAAGTTCAGCACAAAAGTATGAGATGATCATACAGACAGGGATTAACATCAGTATAAATAACACTCCCATTAAAGGCTGCCAGCCGATTAAGTACAGCAGTAAGCAAACGACAGCAATAAGTTCCAAGGGGGTTTTAAAAAGTAAACTGGTAAAAGGTACAGGAGCCTGTTCAATTCTTTGGACATCATTTGATATCAAGTCAAAAATGTTGCCTGTTGTTGTTTCTAGAAGATCCTGCCGACTGACAAGAGGGATCTGCCAAAAAAAAATCAGTTAAAAACAAACTGTGAATAGCTGCTTACAGTATAACTGGAATTGTGAGTGGTCTGATCAGGAATGAAAAATTTTATAACCAGAGGCACCCAACGAGAATATAGTTCGAAAGCACTTAAACACAGCATTGTTAAAGTATTTTATTATTTAAAAGGTAGATATAGGCATATTTTTATCCCCTAAAAATTTTTCATCTGTTCGGATTTCCTAGCTGAAAGTCTAGTGATCCCAAAATTATAGCGATCAAAAGATTTCAGCCAGAAAAAAGGCTCCCGAAAATTCTAGGTGACCTTTTCAGGTTAAAAATCCGTTAAAAATGGGCAATAATACCATTTTGTAGATGTTCAAAAATCCAAGGATAGGCAGACAAGCAAGAGATTTTACAACAAATGTTCCGAAAATTCTAGATCTCAAATCGTCTTCCGAAGAGATATTTTCCGAAAATTGACGTTGGGTGCCCCTGTACAACTCTCTCCTCCGCATAGGCTCGTAGGAGCAAGGCGAGAGAAAGTGAATCTTTCTGGTTTTGCTCCCTACCCTTCCGACCCACTTAGGGCAGAGAAAATCCAATAATGCCTCCATCGAACCTCTTCGGAGGAGAGAAATGTCATTATAAAAGTCAAAAAAGAAGAAAGGAAAAATTCCCGTATGCTGTGTGGCGCTTAGATGGTAGTGAGGAGTCAGCCCATCACTGGTGATGGGCTCCTGATAGCAGTAGATTAAAAAATAATGGGGATATTAACAACGCCGCGCGGAGATACGAAATTTCCCTACGAGTGGTGCGAAAACATTTAACGAGTGAGGGCAGCGACCTAAATATTTTTTAACACGAGATAAAACCAATCATGTTGTACTTAGTCAAAACTGCGGTAAAACTAAATGGCTGCCGCAGAAAAGTTTTACGTGGACAGACGAAGAAATAGAAGGGCTACTCCACCGTCGTTTTAGATCATGTATAAAACGGAAGGTTCAGCCCTCCTTAAGTGGTGTTAAATATTAGCTGATGTTAGGCAATGGATTCTGAAATTTAACAATTTAGAAGTGCGGGCGAGCACAGTGAGCAACCTCTCAAGGCTCTTTCGGCCTGGAGTAAAGGCACTGTATAAGATGTAAACTACAAGCGCGCGACAAGACAGCACTTAACGCAAATTAAAAACAACCGGATATTAAATTTTGAATAAGCCTGCGGCCTGCATTGAGCAAAAACAGCAAGCATTGGTATAAAGGATAGATATCATTTAGAAGAAGGAGAAATCTAACACCAGAAAGCTCACTAATAATTCCGAGCTCCAGCCTGATAATCGAACTCATATATAACCGTTGTATTAAAATTGTTATATGTCTGGACTTACATCACAAGACTTTCTTCATAAAATTTACTACGTATCACAGCGGTTGTGACCAGAATGGATACCCTAAAATCAGATTGTCATCTTTACTCAAAATACATGATAGGAGTCTTAAGCCCCGTGCAAACGGACGCAACATTGTTGGCCAACAACTCCCAACATTGTTGGATGTTACATGTTGCGTCCGTTTGCACACCCTGTTGCATGTTGTTGCGTGTTGTCGCGCAAAGTTTGAAACCAGTCAAACTTTTCAGCCAACAACTCCCAACATTTCTTTTGTTCCCTGATCTCCGAAGCGTAGAGCAACAATGTTGGATCTGCTTGCACAGCTCTTCCAATATTGTTGGGGCCACGCACGCTCATTACGCATGGTACTTACAAAGACTTATGGGTTATATCCTTCCCACGATGCACTGCAGGTGCCAACATAGTTGGGAGTTGTTGCACGTTTGCACGCAGCCTTATAACTTAAAGTCATAAGTAAGAGAATAAAAAATGGAAGAAAACAGCAGTTAGTTTGTACGTCATGAACCCGCATCATTTGAGGCAAATTCCACATCCGTATCCACTACACCATCAAGGGCTAACTGCCGACACCGTTAACTGATTTTAACTTACTTACTTAACAAAGCTTTGATACATTTTTGAAACCGTTTTTAAAAGAGTGCTTAACCCTATCACTCTTCTTTGTTCATAAACCCAATATTCAACTCTTTTCCTTGCACAACTTTACCTTACTCTGATTGTCCTCACTTTTCTCAAAAATCTGCCCAATAAATTCGCATAAATTGTTCTCTAGGAGGAGTATATAGCGTTGTGTAACAAACATAAGGTGTCTATCCTCATTTTAATTAAGGTATCCATTCTAGTCACAACTGTATTATTACAGCGTTAAAGTTCTCACCTTGAGGTAGATGATTCCTTTGAGGGCGCTGCTTGTCCTCATGCCTAATAATTCAAGATTATAGACAGAGTATTGTTTGCCGAAGTAACAGAATCCAATCGATGCTAAGAGCCAACAGCACGCGTATACTAGGGAAAGATTTATCTCATTGGAACTTAACATGCTAAGGAGAAATCCGATTAAAAGCGGTTGTGTTATCCGAAAGAAGGATTCGAAGACCCAAACGCTCAAATGAAATAGCGTTACTTTGGAAACTAGTGTTCTTAAAACACATCTCCAAAGTCTGGGTTGTTTTCCCTGGGAGTTGTTCCATTTGAGGAGTTGGTCATTCCATTCTTTCTGAAGTCTCTCTGTTAGGTCACGTGCTTTGTCGTCCTCATGAAGTGGTAGAAAATCTGATTGGTTCAGAGGCCGCTTATTCCCTTTTGAAAATATATTGTTCATCCACCAAAAAGTCAGAAGAGACAAAAGATTTGCAGAGTTTGTAGGATGAAAAGACTGATTCGTGTTATCTTCATTGGTTGCTAGGGTCTCGTAACCCTTTCTTGACATTTTTCTGTTGGAAGAAACAAAAGGAATATTAAATTCTAGACTGCGGGGATACACCCTATGATGGCCAATACAGGTAGGCTCCGCCCGAAAAGGGCACCTTTTCCAGGTTTTGAATGGGTCGGGATTTCATCAGTTAACGCATATGAAAGAATATAAAATCTGTCATTTCGGCCTGTAAAAGAACCACAAATGAAACAAGGACTAACAGACGCTTTGTATGGATGTGAAAGAGACGAGAACTTCCTGGTTTAACGATTTATTCATATTAAAAAGACCATGCATTGTAACAGAAATTAGAGGGGATGCAGTGTGTTCTAAAATAAGTACGTGAAAGGGGTAGCATTTTTCAGTAGAAGGCATAAAAAGGGGTATCTTTCTGTCAAAAAAATGCTATTCTTGGGTTGCACGTGACGTCACCAAAAATCAAACTAAGAAACTATCGGTTCTTCTGAGTTTCTACTTTCACGAGGTATTACAGTAGCTAAACACCTTTACATAGAAAAAATTTTTGGTTCGAAAGGGTTCTTCGTTTTGCGAGAGAGGACGCTTGAATTTCCAGGCTTTTGCGTGACGCGCCATTTAGCTGGCGGCTGGGAAAGCTCTTATCTGGGTTAAAAACATTAACATCCGGCGGCCATATGGGTGTTCCTGAAAGGGACCGTAACATGGCATTTCCATACAAAGCTTTATAAATTAAGGTAAACCGTTTCTCCCAATATCTCGCATTTGAAATATTTCACAGACCTGATTCTTGGCAAGGGTTTTTGTATATTTATCTTTTTTCATTTCCCGGATTCTAGTCCTTCTGTATTGAATGCCGGTTTGCATTTTTATTTTTCGTTGCGTGACAGTGCAAGCCGAGAATATAAACTTAGTACTGAAAAAAGTTAGGGGTTGGACATCGGAACATAGCCTTCTCCGGCTATAAAACGTTGTTGACTACCCTGCTACCCACCGGGGTTCTAGATGCAGTTTCTTCTTCAGGACGCTTTTCAATAAAACTATTTTTCCGAGGGACCAGTCTTTAAGTGATTTGTTACTCTATAGCTGGAAATTCTGAAGGTGGAACATTCATTAAACCTCGCTGTAACGGCGGTGATAGGTCAACATTCGCGGGTAACATTGCAATATTACCCACTGACGTCATAGATTTTTTTGCAATGTTGCCCGCTCAGAAACTTTGGCGGGAAACAGTTTCATTGTTAGATGTCATGTGACCTCGAAGTAACCAATGAGACCGCGCGCTGTTGAGAAGAAATTTCCAGCTATATAACAATCTTACTTATACTCAGAGTTTTAATTAGACAATTTGTTAGTTCACCTGATTTATATCTGCTTAACCTGCGATCAGGCGTTTTGTTTTGTTTTTTGCCCCCACATTTAGACTAATTGGCTTGTTTGCGCGACTGACCACATCAGACCACAGCTGCCATGCTACGCAGGCTAGCTTTCTTTTTTCCTTCTGTCTTTTTTTCGTTTTTGCTTTGTTTTGTTTTGTTTGCTTATTTGTTTTGTCGTTGTTGTTTTATAAATATATACCTAAATGACTGTTATTTAAGAAAGTGCAATGAACAGCAAGAAATGTATGTGCAATCAAATAGTGACGAGATAGTGAAATAATTTAGGGAATAGTTTCACGCGCGTTTTGTCTATCATATGATACAAATTCCACATCCGTATCCACCACACCATCAAGGGTTAACTGCCGACACCGGTAATTAATTTTAACGTAGTTAATAAAGCATTGATCATTACATTATTGAAAGCTGTCTTTTTAAAAGAGGGACAGTGTCCCGATGATGCGTACGCGCGAGCGTCATCTGTTTTTTCTTCAAAAAGACAATAGAACTGTCATATTGACTTGACAAGATTTCCTTCCGGACCGCACCGCCAACGGAGATTTGTTGTTTATATTCTCAGGCAATATTTTAGACTTTCGAAGAAATCTTTCGTCTTATTTAAAATTTGGCTCGCGGCAAGAAGACTCATTGCGATTTTATCGCTAGCAGGGCCGCCTAGCGACCCGAAAATCTCTTTCCGCTCGCTTTAAAACCAGATTTTCTAATGTGAAACTTGTGTCAGAGGTCAATTGTTCCAAGTCCAGTAATATCTGCCTGATTTGCTCACGTTCTAGCCTCAAACGTTGGAAAGACAGAAATAAAAATGCAATCTCAAAGCTATGAATCATGGCAAAGGTTAGTCAAAAATTATATTATGATTTCATGGAACTAGTTTTTCTAAACATGTAGCGCCTGTTTGTTTGATTTTGTCGGCCGTGGGGCGATTCATTTAAAAGTTTACTAACGCATCGTTGCAGAACATTCTGCTTCAGGAAGCTCCCCTCCAAAAGATCTCCTCAGTCACATCAATGTCTCAATGGTTTTTTTCTTACAGTCTTTAGGAATTATCAATTATCGATTATCTGAGCTTGTATGGAAGCTGGCAGAAGAAATAAGCCTTCAATCGGCATCAAAGCGCTTCGCATCTTTTGGTCCTCCGGCCAACGGTCTGAACGGTAATAAAAGTAACGCCAATTAATCCAGATTTGGCCCAAATCGAAACTTAACAAGAACAAAATATCATTGATCAGTAATCCTGAGAAGTTTTAGTGTAGTATTGAACTCGGCCAAGCGCGATGCAAACGGATTTTTCAAGGTTCTCTTACTCTCCTCGCATCTTTTGATTTCGGGACATCCTGTCCAAAAATCAAAGTTTGGTGGATGCACAGTAACGGGATACTGTTTCTTTAACCCTAATCACTCTTCTTCGTTGCTAAAGCCTGTATTCAACTCTTTTCCTTGCACAACTTTACGTTACTTTGACTTCTCCACTTTTCTGCCCAATAAATTCGCACGAATGGTTCTTAACGTGGAGTATAACGCTGAACAACCTGATTTTCAGATACCAATTCTAGCCAAAAACGTATCATTACAGCGTTAAAGTTCTCACCTTAGAGATGATTCCCTTAACGGCGCTGCTTGTCCTCATGCAAAGTAATTCAAGTCTATAGACAAAGTGCAATAAACAGCAAGAAAATTTGTATGTGTAATCAAATGGTGAAGAGTGAGATAATTTAGGGAATAATTAATCCTAATAATTTCCCTAGCCTTTTCCCTAATTTCAAGAGTATGCCATTTGATTACCTATTAATATAACAGGTGACGAATTACGCTTGCAATCGTGGATTTTTGACATCTTTATCCTGGTTTTATCGCATGATCTGGGAACTCCACGCCCTCAAAAGTTTAGAGCTTAAATTTGACTTAAGTTCAGAATTTTTGAATGTCTCAAAAAATGACTGTTGGAATCCTTTTTGATGTGCTCTTTGGTTAGCATGAATTTCAGACGATTATTTCGAGGTCGTTTTAACTCCCTCAGTAACGTCTGAATCGACCGGCCGTTAATGCCGTCCAGTGACATCCCTACTCCTTTGGTTTAATAGCCCACGTTCGATCTATTAAAATTCTAACATGACTCCGAAGCTTTAGGGTCAAAACTGGAATCTTTTTACCACTCCATTATCTCGCAATTCCCCGGCGCAATTCCCAGAAGAGATTTGAGCACAAAGAATACCAAACCAAATATAGAAAAATGACCAGAAAGCCTCGAAGTCATGTTAGAATTTTGAAATATCGAACGCGGGCTATTCATGCAAAAAGTAAAACACGATTTCAACTGGCAAACCAAAAAATATCGTCTGGAAATGTCTACATGATACAGAATTGCTTTAAATTTTTAGATTGTAATTCATGTTTAAGGTTTAAACTGTCAACTGTATGCGGTACTCTGAAGGAATCTGCTCTATTAATTTCACTAGTCAAACTCGATCGCAATCACACTATGAAAGAAGCTATATATATTTGGTCTTTAACGAAGAGAAGAAAGAAAACAAGAAAGAAATTCAAGCAAAGCTAACAGAACCATTACACTTGACGGTGGAAACTCAAATCTCAGAAAACTTCACACAAACAATGTAACTGCCGAAACTACAAAGCGGCTCTAAATGAAAAACCTACCGTGGCATGCGATCCGCTGATTATCAAACCACCGTGATCCCGCTAAAATTTCTCATAATTATACATAATTATGCAAATGCTTGGACAATCAACCATTCAAAATCACCATCCGGTTTTCGGGTAGTGACGTCACTAGAAGGCATTATTCAGACGTTGCTGAGAGGGGAAAACGACTGGAAGTAATCGTCTGAAATTCAGGCTACTCTTTCGCGTGTTTAGGTTTTCTAAAGTCTTTTAATGTCCTGATATCTTCATTCACAATATTTAATGGCTTCGTCGCCACCTTGGCACTGAGACGTACGGAAGTTTGCCTTGGCAATTTTGTAATATCACATGTGAAATTATAAATTACCAATCTGAATTTCTATGCGGTTTCCTACAATTTACTGTGGAAAAACCAAAGTTGCTATAAACCATTATTTTCTAAACAACGTACCCACGAGTACTAGTTGACGATAGTCTTCCTTTGACTGAGTGTATTGCGAGAAGATCATAAGTCCGTAACGAGTTTCAACATGACTGACTCCTTAACGTTTTGGCGTTAACTACAGTTGTTCATTTCCCCCTGTACATTTTGTACATTCCTATTTTGCTGCAATATATTCTACAAAACTAAAACATTCTTTCAACGTTTTTCATTCTTTCACCAAAACTAAAACAGTAGCCACATGCAGTCACAGACTGCCTTATATTATGATCATTACGTTCTCTGATCTCATGATCAAAGCTTGAGCTGTAAAATCGCAAGGACCTTGTTAATTCATCACGCCGTGCAAAAGTTACTTATTATAAATATCCTGTAGTATAAAATCTTTTAGCATTCACCTGACTCTCCGCTGGGCGTGTCGTTTACCGTACGAGTCCGCAAAATTATCCTCCTCTGAAATCTTTGGGACTTTCTGCAGGTAGCGCCATCACAAAAAAAAAACAAAAAAACCAATCATGACTGATCACTGTATGTTGTCCGCCCGAGTCTCGGACTACTTATAGAGCGTTTTCACATGACGTCACGGCGGCCATATTGGTGTCCCAAAACAATGAAACGGCCGCTATGTTGGTGTCCCATGAGGACCCGCATACGACTTTTTTTGTATACCACAGGACACTGGCGTTGTTAAGGACGCTAGGGTTTAAGTGACAAGCAATAAACTTCCTACTGAGAAAAACATTTAGTTTGTTTACGGTTTGGTCCAATCATCAGTGGTCAGTTATTCGATAAAGCGTCACATTTTTTAACAAGATTAAGGCGGCATTTGGCGATAGAGTAATTGAGAAGAGATTACAATTTAACATAAGCCAGAGATTTGCGTTCTTAGCTCACGAGTTATCCAGAATAATCGCGCGTGGCCTACGACTCAAGCGTTGTTTTTCTGGTCTTTTCCAGTATTCAGTAAAATGTAGCGTAGTTCCATATTGTATTGAATGTACGTATTGAAGGTCGCAGAACTCAAATAGAATCGGGCGAATGTTGCTAGATAAAAGCGTTGATTCAAAATCTTTGTTATGTAAAACCCGCAGTCCTTGAACACACAGCATACTACTCATTGTAGAGGAAAGATGGATGCCAAAGCAGATTGCAATCATTGATCTCCGAGGACTTTTGTGCGCAGATTCAACGAATTTCTTTGGCGTGAGCTTGCTAAACTGCAGTTTCCGCAGTGAATCGCGTGTCACGCACGCGCTGTGTTTTCGTATTTTTATGGCATCTCTCTGTTGGAATCGTGTACATTCAACGCATTGTTTCCAAAACAATGGAAATATCAATTGACTTTTTCTTTGTATTGAAGTAGTGCGGGTTACTACTTCATGTAGGACCGTAGTGTGACATTATGATTTGACCTCTGATCGAATACATGTAAAGCCAGCATTGCATTCCTGAGATGAACGTAAAGGACGGTGTGTGCGTCTGTAGATTTACGAGAAGAAGACGGTCTTCCTATGCCTTCAAAATGTTTCTGAGCCTAACGATATTACGATAAACGTGTAAGTGGTAATATTCATCGGCAGTCTGGTAGACATTTTGATGTTGAAAACGTTAAATCTTCTAATCCGACTGCTTTTGTTTGGTGACTATTATGCATGATCTGCTGCTAATGATACAAAGCGTGTGCAAACGGGCTACATAAAAAATTTCCGTTATTTAATGACGACGGGTTGCGGAATACTATTGTTTATGTTAGTAGATGAAGATGTCATAGTAGAGGCAGAAAGTTACCGAAAATACAGAGACCAAGCCTGTGACTGCAACGCTATGCAGTCAGCGGTTTGCTTAGCTGCCGCGCCTGTTTTTCTCTTAGGAGCAACCCGCCATTTTGTTTTGCTCTCAAGATCTGTGCAGAAATCGTAGTTTATCGGATGCTTGCTGTCTTTTTAAACGGCCTAAACAGTAAGAACAGTTCAAGACGTATTGTACGGAACATTTTTTCGGTTTATTTTTTTTATTCAGGTTTCAAGATTAGTTATAGCGAGTATTCTTTTGTAACACAGATTGTTCTCTCGGTAATCAGAATTGTAAGTTACATAAGTGAACGGCATGTGCTGTACATCTATCTGACCTGTGAATAAACAAGTTTTGGCCTTTACGTCATTTGTTCGCAACTCATCTCATCGATCCTGTGTACGATGATTGTTCGATGAAGAAACAGCCTATCAGCACTGCTGTTGTTTTAGAATTTCGTGAATTATTATAATGAATTACAAAATGGTATTGAAACCTTAGCGAGTTATATGAATGTAAGCATATTTGTCATCGTGATCGGTTCACTTTTTATATTACGCTCTGAGTGTTTCATAATGCCAGCAAGTCTAAGTTATTGACTTTAATAAGAAAAGAATTTATGTTCAACTGTTCTACAAACTGTCTTTGTCCTATTCGCTTCGCAACTAACGGCAGCACTTCCCTTCTCACTGAGAACTTCTAGTTATAAAAGCTATGTTGTGTACAGCTCCAGGCTCAGGGTGACCTGGGTGTACAGCCACAAATCAAACCACAACGTTCTGTTCATAACTTGGCGTTTTTTGAAAAAAGATAGGAAAGGCCTGTAGTTTTTTTGTACTTTACATTGCAGAGGAAGGTTTTTGTGTAAATTGCTCTTCTTCAGTAGACCCCTTCATTGCTGTGATTGAGCTTGTTCCTCCATTGATTGCCAAAGAAACACGGTCAAAGTAGCCAGTTCCCACCTCTCTTTGATGTCTGTGAGCAGTGAAGCCATTTTTAGCTTCCTCAAACTCATCTTCTTGGATCTTAGTGTACGCAGCCATGCCATTGTCCCTATAGTCACGTGCAAGCTTGAACATGGCATGGTTTAACGAGTGAAAGCCAGCTAGAGTGACAAACTGAAATCGATAACCTAGTTTTCCTATTTCTTCTTGAAAAACAGCAATCTCAGCATCGCTTAGATTTGCTTTCCAGTTGAATGAGGGAGAGCAGTTGTAGGCCAGAATTTTACCAGGGTAGCGAGCATGGATGGCTTCAGCAAATCTGCGAGCTTCTTCTAAGTTCGGCTTTTTTGTTTCACACCACAACACATCGCAGTACGGCGCATAGGCAATGGCACGAGCAATGGCTTGATCAAACCCTGCCTTAGCACAGAAGAAACCTTCAGGAGTTCTCTCCCCTGTCAGGAATGGTCGGTCATAAGGGTCTATATCGGATGTCACAAGAGCCGCAGCGTAAGCATCTGTGCGTCCTACAATAACTATTGGAATGTCCAAAACATCACCAGCCAGTCTTGCGGCATTAAGGACCTTAATGAACTGTTGAGTCGGAACCAGAACCTTTCCTCCCATGTGACTACACTTCTTTTCTGAAGCCAGTTGGTCTTCAAAGTGAACTGCTGAAGCTCCTGCAGCAATCTGTTGAAAAATAAAAAAATCCTGAAAAAATATTGAATTTAAAGCATGTTTCGATCGATCCACGATCATCTTCAGTTGCAAGTAATACAGTTACTGTGATTTGAAATAACAATATATGGTGGTCTACATGATGAAATTGTACCGATTGACTGACTGGCCTCTGCCGGCTCAGGTTAGGAGATGGAAACGGCTGACATTTCAGACTAATTGCAGGGTGGAATGAATCTTAAGTATAGTAAAAATCTTGCCATTACCATAGACTTCGTTATTTCAAATGCATTCAGTGGCCCACCAAATCCAGCTTCGCAATCAGCAACAATAGGCAAAAAGTAGTCAATGTGACTCTCTGTTCCTTCCATGTGTGCAATCTGGTCAGCTCTGATAAAAGCATTATTAATGGCTTCCACCAGTCTCGGGGCTGAATTAACAGGATACAAGCCAAGGTCGGGATAGGTCTGAGCAGCTAAATTGTAATCAGCAGAAACTTGCCAGCCACTAAGGTATATAGCTTTTAGGCCTGCTTTAGCCATCTGCACTGCCTGGCCGCCTGAAATCACAATTTTGTTTAATCATATTAAAACTAAGCAGGACAAAAAAAGAAAGAATACATAAATTGAACTGATTATCTTCCTGTTTACTTAAGCTGTTTCATTTTTCCCTCCTGTTGGAAACGAGTCCAGAAATTTTACATTACCCGAAATTTATATTTGGTTGTCAGACTATAGGTCCTATAGAAAAGAATAACACAGTATCTACGATCTAAAAATGAGTCTTATTTGAAAATACGTAAGAAACAAAAGTTACATGCACTGCGCAATGATCATAGGCGCGTTTTGTCTGTAAAACCTTTGGACTGAAGTTTTTACAATAACAGTCATTAGTATTTCGAGACCATTCTTAAGCGCTCTTAGAGGTCCTTTGTCTAGAGACATTCCATCATTAGAGGGTTGTTTTCCATTCACAGTTTATTTCTAACAGTAGCTTTCATACATACGTCATATCTTTTACACATTTCATCCTACACCTTCTTTACATATATATAGCGCGCGGAATATTTCCTCATCCCTGATGATACCGTTGATCGGCGAAGGCTTGGATTTTGGATTTTACCTTTTTTATAAACAGCAGTTTAAAGCCTTACTAGAACAGTCTTATATAACAGTCATTGTGTTTGAAAAATAGGTGGAAATTGAATGCTCGTTTGTACGTTTCCTGGCTTTTCAGTCCGAAATTCTCAAGTGCAAATCGCTATCGCCAGTTTTTCATGGGTAACGGTTTCGACTGGAGGCATTATACAGGCCTAAAATGACATTTTTCACTCTCTGGGGACCCCAAAATTTATTATGCATGGAGCAATTTCATATTATTTCACACAAATATTGAATATGAATAGAGTCGAAACATGTAAGCATAAATTCATAAGACTAATATAATAAACGTATGGGGTTGTGCGGAAATGTAGTACCAAAGGCTTTCCAACTTATTCGACTCTATAAATCAATTAACGAGGCCTTAAAACTGTTTCCTATCAAATTTTATCCGCAGAATTCGAAAAACTTGTGAAAATTATTAAACATTTTAGTCTCGGGGTGGACTCATTTGCAGCATACGATAAAAAAATCCAGCCCAACCGAATTGCGCGTCATATTTTATTGTTGACCACACTAGGGAAAAAAGGTCTTTCACGTGGAAAACTTGGAGCAGCTGTCGGACTCTGTGTCAAGATATGTTTACTTCTGGATCCGTGATTTTAAATCTTTAAATTCCTCTCAATCCGTCTTACCGGTAAGCGCTCCCAGAGCTTTAATGTACGAGTCTCCTCCACGAGTTAAGTAGTCCCAAAGTTTTATTGAACCTCGCCTCGCCAGAGTGTACTCGATTTTCAGCGAGCCTCTCAGCTTCTCTACATCTTCTTGGCTATAATTCCTCTTGATTCCTTCGAATCGCTGTTGTTTGGAAAACATTTTGGATATGAATTGAATAGGAGGATGAGAAACTGTGAAAAAGTGTATAAACTGTTTTGTGCTACTAAAAGATCTACTGCAAGAACACTGTTAACGGTCGTTACACTTCTATGAATTTTGTCCTCTCACACGTGATATAGCCAATTATAATAAGCGTCGAACGCGAACGAAGAATTTGACAATAACTGCTATTATGAAACTTGAACCTTGAACTCCAAAACATTTCAAACTACCCCTTTCGACGCCTGCTACGCAGGCTACTTAATCCGTGTACCTCCGCCCTTGTCTGCTACACTTGTCGGTTAAATCCGGCCCGTATTGTTCTCAGCGTCAAGGGAAAATGAGTGTTGGACGTTGTATTATCTACGCTAGAAAATGTTTTGAAATTTGTTCAATGTGTTTGGCTAAGGAGAAGGAGTCGAGGTTTGTTCGAACCCACCACAAAAAATGTTTTCTAGGATTTCCTCTGTGCCAAAGCTTGTGAGCACTAGACTGTTGTATTATGCCGTCGAGCCCTTGGTCTCAGAGCAGAACAGAGTGGCAATCATGTCTAAAAAGTCCTACAAACTGATATACTTTAGAGCAAGAGGACGTGGAGAATTCATTCGCCTCGTTTTCTTAATCGCTGGAGTGGAATTCGAGGATCACCTTGTTGATTTTCAACAAAACTGGCCTTCATTGAAAGCAAGTAAGCCAATGCCCATAATCTTTTTTGTGCAATACTTGCGAACATAGGGTGCATATACCGTGACGATTCGATTTAGCGCAAGGGGAGCTTGTTTACTTTGGGTCCTTCAAGAAGGGTATGGTTAGCGAACTGGTGCAACATTCACAAGTTTCATATTCATTCATATTTAATGATTTCATTCTTGCTCACGAATATGTCATTTAACATGTACACAAATCCACATTCAACGACATATTTCTTAGTTACGAATACATTCATTCACATTCAAAACATATATTCATTTACATTCCGGGTCAAACTTTTTATTTTTCAGTCAAGCCAGGTCAAGCCCACCCCCCAAGATCCCATTAATGAATTTATTATTCGAAAGTTGTGCGTCAAAACAACGTACCAAGCGAGCGATAAAGAAATAGTCGAAGTGCCGTGGTGTAGCACTTTATGACAATTAAGTCTTAACTGGAAAACTTGTTGCTATCTGATGTGCACCTGTACAGTCTATGTTTGCAACCGCTGCCTAAAAAATCACTAGTTACACTGTACTCGTTGGTGCGCCACCTAAAGTACAGCCTATGTTTGTTAGTTCTACCTAAAGAATCACTGGGTTACACTGCACCCATAGATGTGCCACCTAAAGTACAGCCTATGTTTGTTAGTTCTACCTAAAGAATCACTGGGTTACACTGCATCCATGGGTGTGCCAGCTAAAGTGCAGCCTATGTTTGTTAGCTCTACCTAAAGAATCACTGGGTTACTGTACTCACGGGCGTTTGCCTCGCGCACTCTTCAAAGAAGAAAAAAGCTATATTCCGATTCACCAAAAATCAAGCTTTGTTTTCCCTAAAAATTTGACACTATATTGGGCCCCGAAAGACTTTAAAAGTTCCTCTATAATAGGAGGGTTTTTTTTACTGGGGTTAACAAGTTTGGCTTTCACGAGTTTCAATACAAAGGTGCATTAAATTATCAGCACAATTATAGTACACAAACATTGTCATCTAACTCCTGGTACGTAGCCGGCATAAGCCAAGTAAATAAGGCCCGGTTCAAACGTCGAACTTTTAATACATGTGCCGAACCTAATACCTATTTAGGTCGACCCAAACTATTAAGTTCGATTGTTGATTCAGACGGTCGAACTTTACATGTGCCGAGCCTAATAATACGTGGCGAAAAGAAATATCATCCTTACTGCTTAAAATAGGGAAATAAACTGAAAAAAGTAAAATTCACCAAGCTTGTAAATTCTTGTTTTGATTTTAATGTGATTTGTGCTCTGTTATGGCAAGGAGACAGCTGAGGAGATCGTGATCGTGATATTTGGACAAAATAAAGTAACGCAATAAATTTTAAATTACATTACGATTTTTTTATGGATATAATGAAGACTGTTTGAGCTGTCCAGTTTCAGTCTAAAAATCTATAATGTGAATGCTGGTAACCAGACCGTAACCGTCGTTACGCTTCTGTGCCAGCACAGGCGCCAAAACACACTAAATAGCCAATCAGAAGCGCGGTCATATTGAAAAATACGTTAACATAATTTATGCATTAAGTTCGGCACATATGAAGTACGACGTATGAATCGAAGTCGAGATCTTTTGCCGTTCTATTCGACAAGCTCAGTCGAATAAAACGACAGAGTCGACCCAAGTGCCGTTCCTAATTGATTCATACGTCAAACTTTACATGTGAACAAATTTAAAACTTCAATTCTTACCTTACAGTAGTCGGTTCTTTTACCTTACCTTCGCCAACACTAGAAAACGCGAACAAAGCGATGAAATCCGGCACTCTTCTTTCACAAGTAGCAAGCCGCACGATGCCGCATGAAGTAAAATCCACTCATGCACTGCATTCTCACTACAAATATAAACATTTGTCGTGGGGAAAATACGACGAGGAGAAAAAAAGGCCAGATCTTCGCCTCGACAATGTATTCGGCAGTTACCAAGCCGGCGTATCTCCAGAAGGTAGACTCGAAGTTGGACGAACCTTGTAATTTTCTTAGAAGCCCTTTGCGCGCAAACTAATTTATTCTGGCGTGAAATAAAGATTTTAAAGAAAATGTATCTGAAATCTAATATACGACAAGAAAATTTTCGTACTTTCCAGGAGAACGATAGGCTCGATTACCAGCCGCTGTTTGGAAAAATGAGCCCGCACTCATCAAAGACCGGACCCGGGAGACGGCGGAAATCGAGTCTAGGACAACGACATATAAATGGGATTAGGTCGGATTAGCTGCCCGCGAAGAAAATATCTCTGCGTGGGATTGTACTTCCAGTAAAAAGCCTCTGTCTCCCACCATGGGGATTGGGAAGTGCTGGTAAAACTAGACGTCAAGGCTAGAAATAAACAAAAAACGACAGCAATAGAGTAAGAGAGAAAGAAAAGTTTTCACCCTGCATGTGATCTTGTCAACTAGCGCGAGTTGTAAAACCTATGCCACTCGTTTCATGTCGACAATATTAGACAACTACGAGAACGGATAAATAAGTGCGCAAATAGTGTGCGCGCGTAAACCGAGGGCATTTTGGTGGGAAAACGTGGTAGCTGCCGTCAGTCTCCCAAAGGTTTCAGCAAAAATGCCGCAGTGACAGAAAAAAGTTAGCAAATGTTAGAAGTTTTATCACCTTGTGATCATGGAAGGTCCTAACTTCGATAAAAATTATTAAATCGTGTTAGTTTTTCTGGTGAAAGCTTTCCAAAGTGTCTATTTTCTGAGATTACGAGAAAAAAAATTAAGTTAAATCACCTTCTCGTAGGTCGTGCTCTTCCTCAAAACCAAAGGTATCTAATGTATGTCTTCTAGGTGGCATTGCCCCATTTGGTCAGCTCCCATTACTGGAAATAACAGATGATAGCAGTCCAAAGCCTATTCTCCTCTGTCAGTCTGTGGCCATTATGCGATACCTGGCAGTTGAATTTGGTAGGTGCAAATAGTTATCGAATGAGAAGCAACTTTGAAACATTTAACTATAAAAAAAAACTCAAATAAAAGATGGCTAAAATCATTTCAAGATAATTTTTCCACGTAAAAAAAAAGCAACATACTTAGACTTTACAAATACTTAGTAAAAGAGTAGTTCTTTTCAGTTAATTATAACAGTCACAATTATGGCGGACGTGACGTCATTTGACTAGAAACGCTCTATGGAAGTACCTATTAATGGCCTGCACTATGAAACAGCTCACTATTCTCTGTTTAAGGTCTGGCACCCGAAAGTAACTTAGAAAAAGCTTTGGCGGATATGGTTGTGGATGCAGTAATGCAAATCAGGGCCAAAATAAGAAAGTGCAGATTTACGACTGATGCCACACTTAAGGTACATTCAAAATCATGCTAGTCATTGTGCTGAACATTATGTATATATTTTTTATCTGCGAGTTAAAGGTCGCCCAATATGAGGGAATTCGGATTCCGGAATTCCGAAAATTTTTGATTGTGGAATCAGGAATCGAGCAAATATTTGCTTCAGAATCCGGATATCCTGGAAAATTTCTGCTTCGGAATTCGGAATCCTGGAAAATTTTTGAACCCAGAATCCGGAAATTTTTGCGACTTTGGTCTCCGGAATACAGCTCAAAGAATCCGGAATCCTACTAACGATTCGAATCCGGAATCGGCAAGTTCCATTGACAAAGTATTCGGTAGGAATCCAGTACTTGGAATCCGAAATCCATGGCCTGGAATCCAGAATCCAAGACTGTCTCGGATTCCCATACATGGGTTGGTAAAGGGCTCGTCAGCTTTTTGCAACATTTTCAGTTGTTATTTCTGCATCACAAGAATGACGATTTCGACATTGCTGATCCTAGCAGTACGCAGGACGCATGTCATGCATGAACCTTGTATATGGCCCAGCTCGCCCTTCGTAGCTCAGTGGTTAGAACATCCGACCGGTTCAATTACTGGCGGGGACTCATATTCTTTTTTGTCCCATGTTTGTGACATTCGAGCCCTGGGGAACTCCAGATTTCAATACTTCAGTATCAGATAAGGTTCCTGCAATGTTGACACACTGTCGACGGTCTAACAGGTAGCTTTTGAATCACAGTAATGCACGCAAGAAAACCTCAAATGGTACTTAAGTTAACAATTTAAGCTCAAATATCCATATTTAAATTTTCCAAGCTGAACTCCTTACATTTCCTTAGGGATTAGTTGAGATTATTTGATAAGCATTTTTTCTCAGGTGATCATTTCATAAATTCTCGAAACCATTTGGACATTGTTAGGAGAAAATTGATGTTGGTCAATACTGGGACTTAAAGGGTTAAGCTACGGTAAAATGGGCGAAACAAACTGGCAACTTGTTTTGAAACATTGCTGCAAAACTAGTTGGAAAGCGACACTGCGCGTTTCACCACCTAAGTTCAAACCTGTTTTGTAACAAATCAGTGTGTTGTAAGTTGCCTGAATACTGACTCTGAGTGGATAATGATGGGAGTTACTTGCTGCAAAACAAGTTTGCCTTGGGCCGGGAAAACCGGCAACATGTGCAGATTTTGTTGGAAAAAATTTAACTTTTGTTTAGATTCTGCAACAACTTGATTTGTCGCAAGACTGGCTTAATTCGAGGGTAGTAAAACGCCCAATATCGCTATTCAACTCGTTTTACAGCAAGGTTACAAAACAAGTTGCACTTTTTGTTGCTCGTTTTACTGTACCAAAAGCTTTTTATGGCTCTTGACCCTATCTCACACTTTATATGGAAAAACAACACTGCCGGAAGTCATAGCAAACTTTCTCTCCCCATTCTCCTATTTCGTGGACTCCTACACTAGAAGCTGATTCAGTTCACAGGCTGATTATTCTCCAATAGTTAATTAAAGATGTGAAGCCTGAGGTTTGCCGAAATAAGACATCATTTTTTACACCAAGGGGAATAAAATGTACATGGAATTTTCTTTCAGGAAAAATTACTAAAAGAATTTCAAGGAGCTCTGCCTAATGATCTCAAGAACCTTGAAAAGATTTTACAAGGCAATAGTGGTGGAAAGGGGTATTTTGTTGGCAAAGAGGTATGTACTGCCCATTTTTTTTTCAGATTATTTGCTCAAGGCAGTCCTGAGATAAGGGCGGGGCCCCGTCTCAAAAAAACATTTTTTCGGCCTCATTTTGGTCTAAAAATAAGGGGGGAGCCGGGCTCCCCGGGCCCCTTTCCTAGATCCGCCACTGCAAGGTTTCTTTACCCGCATTAAGACAGAATCCATCAGGAAATATAGTAATTTTAATTTTCGTTGGACAAAAACCTTGTACCAGAATAATTTAAAGAATATTGCATTCTTTTTCACATTTTTCAGGGGTTAGGGATGTAATTAGTTATCTGCAATAACACCAAAGAAAATTTCTTACGGGAGCCCGAGAGATAATTGACAAAATGACATCTTACACATAAAATTTTCAAAATTTTACCTGCGTTTTCAAACTTAGCCAAAAGCAAATTTCAACCAAATGTCCAAATTTCATATTGTGAAATTTTGAATGACTAATAGCATCATATTTAAAAATAGGCAGAGAGCTTTCATTTGAATGGTCACATCATAGGATTTCGTCCACAGACTCAAAAATTAGAAACACCTTACAAAACTCTATCAAGCACTCTAGCAGTGAAAGAGTTGAAAGTAGCATTTTTTTTCTTTCCAGCTTAGCTGTGCAGACATTTCTTTCTTTGACTTTATGAACAGCTGGGTTGCAAAAGACAAGATCAACGGTTACCCAACCGAATTGGAAGATTTTCCTCTGCTACGAGGGCTTTACGAACGCGTCCGAGACATACCAGCAGTTAAGCAACGTCTAAAGACCAGGCCAGATACAGCTCTGTAAAAGAGTGGAATACTACCGTATTTATTCGAATAAGCGCCCAACCGCGAATTAGGGCCCACCTCGAATAAGCGCCCATCCTAAAGGCAGGAAAAGTTAATAAGCGTCCACCACCACCCCCAGACCCTCCTCCCACTCAAACTCAAATAAGCGCCCACCCTCACCCCACCCACTTGAGTGACAATGAGATTGAAACTGAAATTGAATAAGCACTAATAAGAAGACTTCCCGAGGACGGAGTTTTCTTCAGAGTATTTTACAGAAACCTTCCTTTGTTGCTTCTTCGCGTTTTGTTATTAGCTTTTATTGTTTTGTTGCAAAATAAACATACTACACTTACTGAAAATGGTGAAAATGTAATAAGCGCCCATTCTCTTATTAATTATTATTCCACTATTATGTCATTTTACCATATAAGGTCAAGAGAAGGCGCAAAATACGAGGCCGTAATACACTGTAGTGTCCTAGTTTAACCGGTTTACAACAGGGCGAATACCGGCGGATGCAAAAGGAGCAACTATGGCTGACAGAATCAAGATGTTTTGGATACTCTTACTAGAAAATAGAAGCCAACACAATATTTTTCTTTTACATTAAAAAAAAATAACCTCTCATAATAACAATTTTTTTTTGTAGTGGAATAATAAACCTCTTATTCGATGGTTTAGCATATAATACGAGCGGACATTTTGCTCATTGCTCGTACTTTTCCACTATGCAACTCGCAAAATATCCGCACGTATTATACGCTAAACCATCGAATAAGGTGTATGTATATATGTCAGAAAGGGGTACCATTTTTAATGAAAGGTATACAAAAGGGGTCCTTTTCCTGTCAAGAAGTGGTATAAATAGGGCAGAGCCCACAACCCGGAGCGAGTAACTGCAATACTGGGCGTATGTTACGGCGTTTTACGGGCTAGTTTATTTTTAGACACATTTTAGGGCACTTTTTCCCTCGAAAATAGAATCTCCGCAATGTCTATAAGCGCATTCGAAGTATATGATAAAAAAGGAAAACTAAACGTTATTAAAAGGCAAAAAACTATCATTTTTTTAATTAGGTCTGTAGGTTTTGCTGACTGGTTTGTGGAATTTACAAGATTTTGAAAATTCGCGCCAAAACCGTTCTAAAAATAAACTGGTCCGTAAAAAAGGCCGTGACACGAGCGTATGGAAGTTGCTCGTTCCGGGTTATGGGCTCCTGGGACTCAGCTCCTTTAATAGTGGCGGGGAAAGGAGGTCCAAACCTACCTGATTCTAGCCTGTTCCAGGTGTTCAGATAGTAGAGCGCCGGAGAAAAATTCACAAAGAAACATAAAGGAGGGGAGACTCTTTTGTTTGCCCCCCCTCCCCTCTCCACGTTTTCTCGGTGTACACTTTAACTCGCTCCCCAATAACCGCCGCGCTCTACTATCTGAACGTCCAAACCTACCGTCTCCCGTACCTTGCATTTCCCACCAGCTTTATTGATTGCGAAAGTCTTAGCATTGTTGGGTAGCCTGTTCACAGATCCTCTATTTTCTCTTCAAAGTCCTTCGAACGCGCGTGATAAAAAAAAAAAACTAAAAACCGCGGGAGATATATTGACCGCCAGCGTAAAGGGGCAGGGCTGGGGCAAGAAGTTTTTTCTTTTTCTTTCTCGCGCTCGCGGAAAGAAAAATAAAACAATAGCCTGTGTCAGGCTACTGTTGCGTGGCTTCCCACTATTAATCCTGCTTCCCACCTTTTAGAACTCCACCTCTTCTCTTATGTTTTCTTGACACACAAGAAACAGAATTTCGTATGTCTTTGTAACTGGAAATACGTCTTTGTGTTTGTATCAAAATAATTATGTCAGCTGAATACTTTCCAATACATGCCTCAGCAACTGTCTTGCCTAAACCGAGGGGCCTACACTCATAGTACTACCATTTTTTGGACTTTAGATCTACGCTATGATCCCAATGAACTTCAAAGAGAAAACTGCTCTTGCTTAAAGTGGCTAAGTCTTGCTGTTTGCTATCTTTTTTAAAAATCTAAAACTTGTCCCCGGATCAATTGTATTCCGAAACCAATGGCCGAACAGCATTTTTATTGCCCACGAGGCAACCGAGCTAAGAAGCGAGGCTTCATCGGCGGAAGATTTATAACCCCACACGATGCAGGCAAAAACTCTCAAATTCTGCGTAACCCTCTAAAACTTGCATTTTTGACCATATTTGGGTGTAAGTAAGACCCCATATTTGCGTAGTGACGTCATGGTCTTGTATTTATAACTCGTGGTCCTAAATTGGGTGATTCAGTGGGCAGCTGTTCGTTGTCTGTTCAAGAGGACCTAACAGGTGAGCAAGCTCTAATACGATTTCTAGTTTGAAAGGGCAATTAGTGCTCTGGTTTGCTTTATAAATTGTGTTTAAAGCAGCAGCTGATCAAGGAATAGGGTTTTACGCTCAAATTTTTGTCAAAACCAGCTTATTCTTTGCAGCTCGATTTACAATGAGGTAGCGTGTTCGCTTCTCGACTCAGAACCAGGGTTTTCCGTGTTGTCTTTTGCTTTGTGAATTGAATTTTAAGCGGTAGTAGGGGTGACGAATGGTAAAATCCGAGACTCGCCGAGACGCCGAGATCCTAGTTAGAAATCCGAGCCCGAGACCCTTTGGTGAAAATTTTCGAGACTCAAAAAAGTAAAAACAAACCATGAAAAAACGAGACTTCGAGACTTATCAAAAACGCTTCCGAGATTTCGAGATCCTTCCAAAATTTTCCGAGACCCACGTTTTCCGAGGTACCATTTGGCACCCCTGGTAGTTGATCAAGGCATAGGGTTATATTCTCAAAACTTAATCAGAACCAGCGTGTTCTTCACAGATCGATTTACATTGAGCCAGTCCTCAACGTATTTTCGGACCTATTTTAGAAATTATTCATGTCTTTAGATTCTGTCAACCAGCATGTTTTTTTTATTTACATTGAGACAGCCCAAAACTCCCATGAGGAATGCAACGAATTTGAGGACCTTTTGTTTTGAAGACTATCATTATGCCTTTCAAGAGAATTTTTTGACCTGTGACACTCGCTCATTAGATCTTTGTATTTTATTTAAGTTTATATTTTTATACCTCTGATACATTGCGCCCCATTCTTGCGCTTTTCACATATTTTACTTTACACCAACTTTTTCTTACGTATATTACCACGCGAAATATTTTTCTTATCCCTTATGACGCTGTTGCTCGGAATTTAATTACTATTTTTAATTTCAGCAGTCAAAGGCCTCATTTGAACTACATTTTTCTTTCTAACGTTTATAGTTTTGATACAATGGAATTATCATCAAACACAAGTGCTAACTTGCTCATATTTACCAACAAAGCTTCAAGCTATGTTGCTATTGTTTAATAAAAGGGACAGCCTAGAGTGTGCCAAAGTTGTTGTTTTGAAGTTTGGTGCCATCCTTTTCTATAGCGGAATCCATTGTAAACCTCTAAAATTATGAAAAAAAATATCGCGAAGATCTGAATATTAGGCACAGTTCACAAAAGATAAACAAATTCGCCTCGTTGGCACTTGCCGGAAGGTACCCCTAGTTTAAAACTATATTACGGCATTGAAACTGTCTCCTGTCGTCGGTTGCTACGGATGGCGAGGAAGGACGTGGATTAAAAACTTGAAAAACTGGGCTAATTTGTTCACGTTTCAACGGCTATGACTGAAAAATTCAGCAAAACATTATTATGGACAGTGCTCCCTGATCAACGATCTCAGTTGCGCAACTGCTAAATATGAGTGATGCAGAACTTCAGTTCAGGTTTTGTACTTTCTACAAGCTATTATCCTAAAAAATGCTTTACGATAAAATCTGCTCATTAAACCATAACAGACAGGATGCAGGGCACTTGGAAAACAAGTCAAAGTAAACACAAGCCTCCTAAAAATATGACGCGGGGGCCAATACACAAATGCATCAACTCGAAATTCTAACAAAAGAAACTGAACTTGATATGGAATATAACAAATTACGAAGACTAACACCAAAGCATAAATCATTTTTAGGAGGTCGTTTTCCAGTTCAAATGTGTCTGGATATTTGTTGAGTTTATTCTTTCGTCGGTTTGTATCCTGAAATACTTGGGACTTCTGTTTACCTTCGTACTCGAGCTGGATATCTTCTTCGTTTTTGTCGCCCGGTTGGTTTATCAGGCCTCTTTGCCCTGATTGCAATTCCTGTATGCAAACTGAATTCTGTGTAACGCTTGACGATGCTCTCTCCTGCTCATCATGAAGTCGTTCTATAACAAAGATGTGTTCTCTAATCTTCTTGTCGACCAGAGCGTAGGAAATTATCATTATGACAAGTGGCAAGGCAAAGTTGATCACGAATAAAACCACTGAGTAAATCTGCTGATAGTGTTCCAATCCTTGAGGAAATTGTTCCGCGCAGAAACGCAACTCGCAATTATCACCCCATGAAGTCAGCACTCGAAAGTTCCCTGAAGGAAATGACAAACCAATAGATCCCATCCAACTGAAAAGAATAGCAAGACAAACGTTTCTTCGAGTTGATTTTGTTATCGCGGGTTTAATGAGCAGAGCACATCGGTAGACAGCAAGAATGGCCAGTGATGCTGTGATAACTAGAGAACTTGTTACCTGTAGAGAGGGGAGAATTTTGCACATGGCACTACCAAGTTCCCAAGACCAGGGTCGTTCATATGCGTGGAACATGAATACTATACAAACCATGTTGATAATTTCAGCAAAAGCCAAGTTGCTGACTAAGTAATGTGCGATCGGTTTGGTTCCATTGTGTCTCCAAACAGCTCGACACACCACATAATTTCCAGCCAAGGCGAGAACTGCTATCAGGCTGAACAACACCGTGCGGGTAATTCGTAATGCTTCGGGTTCAGGAGTGAAAGAAAATGAGCTGTTTGAGGCGTTGGATGCTGAAATGGAACACATCTTTAGAAACGTTCTAGAACATATGTCGACTTCTTAGCTGTCACAGGTGTTGAATGTTGAAATGGAACACATTCCAAGAAATTTTCTTGAACATACGTCGGTTTCTTTGCCTTCTAACAGCTGCAGTGTGTCTCCAAACTTAATTCATCGGATCAGCACTCTTCTCCAACCAGGGCGAGTGCTGCTAAGCTAAAAAAGACCGTAAAAATCACGGCGGGAGCTAACGAAAACTGCCCTTGTTTGTGACCGGCGGTGACAATGTCGAATTTACACTGATTAAATAAGCAATATCTTAAAAATAATCACCGTGTTCTTCTCTAAAAATGTTTGCAGAAAAGTCCTGCCGTGGTTTTAGAAAACAGGCGATGAATCTTGGATTGGGTATTCGTCAAATTTGTTCATTCGCTTGAAACTGATCCGGAGTGAACGTTCGTTCGTTCATGGCGATCCAAACTATCATTTGTTTTCGAGAAGATAAATAAATTTAGATTACGAAAAGCAAATATCGGCTCTTGGAATTCTGAATTCGAGTAACTGTTGGCTCCTTTTTAAAAATTGCTGGAAAAGCAAAACTGTTTTGAAAACACCGAAGAAAATCTCGTAACTGCTCGTCATAATAGTCTGAAAACAGGACTGAAGCTTTGGCAACAGTTTTAAATCAGTCTGTCGAACAAGTTTTGAAATAAATTTTGGACAGGATGTTTGAGCAATTAATTTAAAACTCATCATGTCTGGATCAAAATTTCGGCATTTCTAATAATCGTATCGATAGCCAGTGCCAAAAGACAGCCCGAATTGTCAGTCAAATGTCATATAATAATTCGCATTTATTGAGAAGGTTATCGGCCTCAAGCGATGGGGTTATGAGATAAACACCTTAGTTGCAATAACGTTGTCATAGGAGAATGAAGAAAAAACAAAATGTAAATTGTAAAAATCCAAGCAGGAATTACTTAGGCTTACTACTAAACTAGTTTAGAGTGCATTTATTTGCAACATACGCGAACAGCCGTCGTATTTTCATTTTTCTTTTTTTTTTCTTTGTTTGTTTGCGCCCTAAAAATGCCTATGTAGCAAATTAAGAGAGAGAAAGAGCACAATGCTTTACACAGATATAAAAGCGACGCTCAGGTTTCGAATTTTCAAAACCGCTTTGGGCAATTTGAATACGCCCTGAGGCTAAGCAAATTTGGGTTCTTACGCATATATGGCAACTTGAATTTCCATCACAAACAGTGCTCCAAGTGCTTTGCGTGTATTTACCCAGAAGAATACCGTGGATCAAACGTGTCACTCACGGCAGGAGCCTGTATGGGCTACTGCTCACGGCCATTTCAATTTATTCACAGTGTTGTCACGGTAATTCGCCACTTTAGAAACCAGAAGGGAATGAATTCCTTGTCCCTATAGTAACCCAGAGTCCCAGCCCAGTCGGCCCAGTTTCCTTCACGATAATTTTCGCCATCTTTAAACGATACGCGCAAGACCTACCGGGATTTATTTGTAATTCCGCTGACAAGTAGGCTAATCAATCCGTGAGATATAATTGTCTTGAGATCAAAATTAAAACTGCCGTGAACAAATTGAAATTGCCGCGACATGGCCTACTAAGTGTGAAAAAAGTGTTTATATGCTAAAAATAATTCTGATAGTCTCCCATTTGTACTTTACACTTATGCACTTTACACACCCGCATTTCAATTATTGATTGATCACTTTTTATTTAATTTTCTTCATTCATTCATTCATTCATTCGCTTATTTATAAATTATGCGGAATAAATCATCGCCGCATCTAAATTCTTGACGTAGAGCCTAATAGGGGGCGGGGGGGATTCAACGAAGTTTTAAAGGGGGAGACTCTGCCCCGAAGTCCAACCCCTTACTCTTGAATATACTATTTTTTACAGAAAAGGTACCCCTTCCGTATACCTTCTTTTGACAAACTTAGTTCAAAACACGTATCTCTTTTAACTGCTGTAGATGCACCGTTTTTATATATCAAAAAGCTCTAGACCACGAAGTTTTCTTGTCTCTTTCACAACCACAAAAGTGTCGCTTTCTTATATCTGAAACCTGAAAAAGGTATCCCTTTGGAGCGTAGTCTCCCTGTATAGGCGAGAGGGAGAAGCCTTCCCCCCCCTTCTCCGGGGCCTAACGAAAGTTAATAGGGAGTTTAAGCAGCGACGTTTTTGAGCAACTCACGTCGACCGAAAGTTGACTTTTTGCACTCTTGACCCGCGATTTTGAACAAATTTTTGGGCAAATCGTCTCTTATTTAAGAGTAATGACACTTAGCAATACAGATTAGGTAGCGTCAAGGCGTATTAAAAGAGAAAAAGGCTCATTTCCGATTGAGGTGCGTCGCTCAAAAACGTCGCGTAACTACAGGTAAGGCTACGGAAATAATTGTACACTAAAACAGAAAAAAAAAAGTAACTTGACTTCAATCTGTTCGTAGTCACCCTTACCAAGACCCATACTGAATAAAAGGAGCACCAATTCAGTTAGGATCCTAGACATACAGACTTACATTCACAGGTTGCCATAACGACACCTGAAGGAGGATCATGAGGTTATCCCTAGTATATTAAGATCTCTCCTTATAGATAACCCACCCAGCCCAGAAAAGGTTGGCCACACCACCGGGGTCTACTTCCCCTACTCTTTTCGAACAGTGGTGTGGGTTCTCTTACGTCCCACACATAAGCCGTAATGTGAAAGTTTTGTGAGACGGGACCTAAGGTTTTTCGTCCTTATTCGAGAAGAATAGAAAGTCTAACCGTTTGCAGATGTCATTACTACGGCAGCACTTTCTTCTCAGTTTTTTCAAGACCACGAATTTCGGTCCGGCCGGGGTTTGAAACCTCGACCTCCTGCTCAGCAGACTGGCGCTCTCCCAACTGAGCTAACCAGTCGGCGGTTGAACCAGCACTAGAAAAAGGAACTACTTGACCTAGAATACCAAAGACAACCACATCAAACAAGGAAGCAATCACATAACCACTCAAAGTAAATGAGAAGCAGCCTCCCTCGCAGACGTTCTTCTTCATCACGCGTTCCTCTGTACGAACGCATGACCACACCTTAGAATGAGATTCGATGTTGTAGTATTTGTTTCCTGTTTTATCAGTAATTTGTGCAATATCGTTTTCTACTTCTATTACTACTACCACGACCATCCGCACCGCCACAACCACTACCACCACCACCACCACTACCACTAACACTAACACTACCACTACCACTACCACACTATCACTACCATTACCACTACCACTATTACTATCACCACCACTACCACTACCACTACTACTATCACTACCACTCCCACTACCACTATTACTGTCACTACCACTACGACTACCACTACTACTACCACTACCACTACCACTACCACCACCACTACCACTACCACTACCACTACTTTACCTACTACCACCACCGCTACCGCGGTGAGTGAACATTTCAGCCGATCAAAAGTGTCTTTAGTTTCAAGTGGATGAGAAAGTAACGCGTGTTTTCTCGAAAGGGCAGTCATGCTAAATTTCAGCAAACGTTATTGATGTCCTATTACTGAGAGTCAACGCCTGCACATTACAATTCTGGAAAATGCTCTTGCAAAGAATCTGTTCATGGTGCCATAACAGAGAGGATGAATTGCACCTGGCAAGCAGGTTAGAATATAAAAATAGTTGCGCAAAACTTCATGAAAGGGAAAGCGCCAACTGCTAGGTCCTGTTGTGTATTCCCACAGAAAAAGGGCTTGGTATGGAGCATAGCATACTACAAATGAAATGATAATCACATATATCATTCTCAATAAGTCGAACTCCTGTTCTGCGCCGGTTCTGCTTCCTCTTGGCTGCTTGTTGTATTCCAATTGTACCTGCCTATCAGATCTGTTCGATCGACCATCGTTTGTGTCTCGGCTTTCATCGGAGTACAGCGAAAGTCGTGTGCGTTCAATGACGTTGTGTCGGATATGGCGCTTGATTTTCAGTGCAACAGCGCCGTAAGACCACGACATTATCAAGTAAGGAAATAGAAATGTCAGTGCAAATCTTATTATGTTGTATATCTCAATACCAGAAAATTTTGACACACACACTTTATGACCAGATGGGTATTCTATTAGAATCCTTGTAACAAACAAAGGAAACGAAATTGAAAGTGCTAGCACCCACATAACTCCAATAACCGTTGCCAAGGTTATTGATGTCATTTTCTTTCCAATTGAGGTTATGGTAAGAGCACGATAGCGATACACTGCAATAGCCGCTAGGTTGAAGGTGACTACAATGGTTGCTAAGACTTGGAGCGGGATCAGTAGCTTACAGGCGAAATCGCCGAAGATCCAGGTGTACTTTTCTTGATACGTCATCACAAATGGCTGGCATATTGAGCTGATTACTTCTGCAACAGCCAAGTTTGCTACCAAATAATAGGCGAACGGTTTGCAACGGAGATGCAGTCCGATCACGGCTTTCAAGACGAGCGCGTTACCAACCAAGCTTGCCAAGATGATGAAGGAAAAGAGCACCGGTCTAAATACTCGCGATCCACGCGGTTCTATGAAGAGGTCCACTGGTAAAGTTGCCTCCGTGGAGCGATTGGTCTGATTTCTTACGTCCATTTCATTGCTCTCTTTCAATTAGTTACTCGAGTTGGGCTGGTATTTTCTCCTACAATAAGAACTAAAGAAAGAAAGAAAAGAGATATGTTAATTTGCCTAATGTTTTCTTCTTTTTTAGGTCTTAAACTGTGACTCAGTGCTACCTTTTAATAATGCAGTTAAGGGTGTATGTTTTGTTGCCCTCGTTTTGCCTGCAGTAACCTTGGCAATAAAAGTGCTTTAAAAGCCCGCTCCAAACGTATTCGTCCTTACAAACGATCTGCGCCTGAAAAGATCCTCCGTTAATTGAATCGTTTCCGATAGCAACCGAGGTTTAAAGAGTATTAAGGCAAAAATTGGGTCAGTTAGGCACTTTCTAGTGCAATTAGTATCGAGGCAGCTATGTCAAGAAAAGATAGCCTTATATAAACAACGTCCGAAAAAAGATATGATATTCTTGTCAAAAATGATATTTTCTGTCAAGGCTTTTTATGAAGAGGTTAAACAAGCAAAAGCTGAAAGGAACTGAAAAGCAAGTACTCGACAGCAAAAGCTGCAAAAACTCCGCGAGAAAAACAACGAAATAAAAAGAACAAAGAAAAACATTGCTCGGTGTAGTTTTTAGACGCTTTACTTTCACGACTCGTTTATAGTAAGGAGTTTTACGCACAGCCGATTGTTAACAAAACATATTACAGTCAAACTTGTGTTTATTAAGCAGAGCTGTGTCTAGCGGTCAACCACTGTAAACTCGTTATTCTAAGGCAATTTTAAAAATCACCGAAATATTACTGATTTCCTTAACTATAAACTACTTGTGACAAGAGGCCATACCTCACATAACTATTAACCGGTATTCCCCCCGCTCCCCACACTGTGCGAAGGAGTCGCGGTTGCCTTCTATCGATATAATTTCGTTTTCAATCGTATTTTAAAAATGCGTTTATCTGATGTATGATCTTAATTTCGTCTCTTTTATAGTAAATGATTTCAATCCAGGAGTCATATAAGTAAGTGGTATTTGATCGTCCGGGGTTGACGTTATGACAACCTGTGTGGCAAGTCATCTACCGTTTCATTTAACAAAAGGAGATGAACAAAACCATTTCGGGTTATAGTGGAACCTTTAGCAAAGGCCAGCCCCCTCCATTCCACACACACACACACTGGTGATCCCTACAGTTGGCAACTCTTCACCAAAAAAGGTGAATTAGGAGAGCAAAAATCTTGCAATTATCGGTGAGAGACTCTTGTGAAAACATTGTTATCCAAAGGGATAACAATGTATTTAGAGAGATTCACCTGTTCAAATAGACGAAAACGCAATTGAAGAAGCTCATGTGGTTATCAGCTATTTCATTTAATTCGTTGGAGGTACTCAAGTATAGATTAAGGCCTGGTTCTTTACAAATTTCTCAGAATTTTAAAGGGGGATAGTCTAATGAAAATAATTTTCAATATATCCCATGACTAATAATTTAACGCCAATCATAACCAAGAAATCTTCAAATTTCACTTTACTACAGTTGACTCCCGATAACTCGAACCTTCAAGGGAAATCCAAAAGAGTTCGACTTATCGTGTGTTCGAAGCAAATTTTGACCGGAAATAAGGAGATAAGTAAATAGGATGGAGAAGGAATGCAAGTATCATGGACATGGACAGACAAACTGAAAAGTGAAGACAAAGAGTACACGGTTGTTTTGAAAAAAAAAAGTTCAGTGTTTTGGAGTGTATTATATGTTTTTTTTCCTGGACTTGTCACGAGCTGAAAGTGGTTCGAGTTATCGGGGGTAAATTATATAGAAGTGATCTGAAGGATTCGAGTTATCGGGAGGTTGTCGAGATTTCGAGTTACCGAGAATCATTACAGTTTTTGTGTGAAAGAAATCCAGGGAAAATCAATTCTGGTTTGAGTTATTGGGGGTCAACTTTATATGGACAGTCTTGCTTTCATAGATTCATATCCAATCCGATCTGAACAAGAATAACAGTCAACGATGTGCTCTCTTAGGATTCAGATATAGCTTCTAATTTAGGTTCTGAGAAGTAACAGAAAAGACTGAAGCAAATCATTCTTATTAGGAAGCAAGATCTATATAAATGGAGAGTAAATTATTACGTTCGGATTACGTTGTTACTTGCACTAACTTCATTGGTTTGCCAGGCGTACGGCTTTGAAATTGGACAACAAACATCTAGGGTGATAGATAGAGGATATTACATGCCGGGCGGAGATACGAAATTTCTCTTCAAGTGTTGCGCTCACTCGAGAAAAATTTTTTTCAACACAAGAAGCGACAATGTAATATTCTATTTATTGATAAACACCAAGAAATACCAAACCATTTTACTTCAATAGTTTTTTGGTGTAAATGGTACGATTTATCATATTATGCAGCCATAGCAACGGTGATTATTTCACATGTGAAGATACCGTAAAATTCCGAAAATAAGCCCCTCCATATATAAGTCCCTCCAATTATAAGCCCTCCAAACCGGTGACGCAAAAAAACCCTCCTTTAAATAGCCCCTCCAAATATAAGCTCCCCGGGGGCTTGTACTTGGAAAATTGCCCTCAAATACAAAGTAAAACAAAGCAAAAACGGTAAATTTACTTCGAACCATAAGGCTAGCCCAATCGATTTGTAAACGCAAATTCCCCTCAGTAGATAAGCCCCTCAAAAAGGGTCTTTGAAAAGTATAAACCACTGGGCTTATTGTTGAACTCTTACGGTATCAAGTTTTCGCGCAAAAGTTCACTTGGTATTTCATTGCTGTTTATATAATAAGGAAGGAAGCTTCCTGTACATAACAAAAAATGGGAACTCAGGCCACACCTATCCTTAATTAATTATTTCATCGGAAAGTTCCGAAAGTAGCGACCCTCCGTTTTACTTTCGGATTTAGCACCCTTCTGCTATCGCTACTTTCGGGGAGTCGTTACCTTCGGATGGCTAATACGTTTACTCCACACTAGGTGCTTCAAAAAAATAAAATCGAAAAAATGTGAAAAGAATACTTTTTGAAAAAAGATAATGTATATCGCGTAATTTAAGAAATATGAGTAGGAATGTCAAATAATCATTATTAATAAACTTCTGATCAGTGTGCCATTTGTTCAGGATATCTATCATATCCGATATTTTTTGCAAAAAGGGAGATTCGTTTTGAGGTCTGACGTCTCTGCTTCGTTTTGAGGTCTCCATTTTCGGGAGATCGCTACTTTCGAGGATTTGTTCATTGTTTCACGATTATATACACTTCCACTCCTACATTAGTTTCGCCGTATGACTGAAAACATCAGCACATTCTTTTGGTAAATTAATCTACAGCATATTCGAGTAGCCGTTGCATTTGTCCGTTGAATTGTTTTTATTGTTTTAAGTTCATTTGTTGCCCATTAGTCGATGCTATATCAAGCTAAGGCCCTGGTTTAAAGGTTCTACTACTTTTAATACAATATGGCCTACTGCAACTTGCAGACGTACGTGTGAGCAACGGGACATTGTTAATGAAATGATGAATAGAAACTGTCACAAAATAGACCCTTGTGGAACTCCGATATCGTTGGAATCGAATTAGAAAACAAGCCGCTGCCGCTGTAAGCAGGCTCAGTTGAGCGGGCTTGGAGAGAAACTTGGCGGCTTCGCCGCCAAAATTTTCCACGAACTCTCACAAATGAGTAACTTAGACACCACAAACAGCATACTAATAGATAGATCACTGTTAGTTGCCAAACATTTGTGTGATCACCTGCCTTGAATACTGAAGTTACTTCTGCTATTCTCCGTGAGGCCCGAAAGACTCTATTTAAAAGGCATAGACTGATAATTTTCGCCAGTGGCTTTGTTATAGCCGGCTTTGTTAGAGCTCTGCCTGGGAGAGACGCGCAGTTATCCCATTCAGGCTGAGAGCTCTGGTAACATCAATTTGAGTCGTGTTGGTTGCGAAAACAATGTTATCTCTGGGATGTAAAACTTAGAAGCGCTTAAAATTCTTGTTCACATAAACTCTTTGAGAGCTTTTAGTTCGAACACTGCATATCTTGATGATCGATGATATTCGGATATATTATAATTAGAAAATATTTATAAGAAAAAAGGAAACAATCCTTATTAACACTGTCACCTTAATTATTACATCAGCGGTGCTTAATACTGTGACTGAGGAGATTTTACCTATAAAAAAACACACGCGCCTCAACTTAACGGGGTTACCATCCAATACTGACTACAACGACTTGGGGGGCGGAAATTATTTTTTACGTTTCGGTAAAATAATAAATTGGCACCAGTTGTTTGAAATTGGCAAATTCTTATCACGCGAATTGAAGATGATCGGTCGGGCAGAAAGAAATTGGGACATTTTATGAGATATATTATTGCCCTATTTCTTCGATCTAACACGCTACTACAACGACTTGGGGGCGGAAAGTATTTTTTACGTTTCGGTAAAATAATAAATTGCCACTCAGTTGTTTGAAATTGTCAAATTCTTATCACGCGAATTGAAGATGATCGGTTGGGCAGAAAGAAATTGGGACATTTTATGAGATATATTATTGCCCTATTTCTTCGATCTAACGCGCTTCAGGCGCCGGTTTCATTTAATATCAGCTGCCTTAAAGAGACTTTAATCCCGAAACCTACATCAGTGACAAACAGGCTCATATTTAACATTTGGCTTAAAAACAACTATAGTGCTTTAATAAGATGACTTTTTAATAAAAGTAAACCTTCTTCAGTTAATTATGAAAGGCAAAATGTGTAGGCACCTTTTTCAACATGCACAATAATATTCGCTCTCTTTTATTGACTTCAAGTTTCCGTTAAGTATACCGGTTCAATTCTTTAAAAGCGCAAATTTCTCAGTTTCTGTTCCGTTTACTTTCCCTCTTGGAAAAAGAAGTCGCGCCAGTGATTTGACAATGTTCGTTAACCTGTACTACACACTCAAACCGCACTTCGCTCAACCCCTTTGGTCCAAAACAGTCACAACTCTAAAGCATTGTTAAAATTATTTTATGCACTCAACATACCTTTCATTTGTATAGTGTTCCTTAACCAGCCTAAGTCAAGAAATCATGACATGTTTCCCGGCTTGGCTTGGTATTTGATCTGGGCAGCCTGGAAAACAAAAGAGTTCGTGAAAAGAGTTCGTGAACGTGAAAATGCGGGATTTTAATTAACGTGAATGATTTTTAGTAGTTTTGAAATTTGCCACCCGCCCCCAGAATATTAACTGAGGACACAGAGTACGCAAACAAACGAGACATCGCGTCTCTATCTATCAATTAACATTTTTAGGTTGACGGTGTATTCCATGCAAATAATAGAAATTAAAGCTTTAATATCGCAATGCAAAGGAAATGCGACCTTCAGAGTTTACTTAGGGAATATTAGATAAGTTTTATTGGCTATTCTCGGTGGCCATTATAATCCTAAAACCCAGGAATTTTTTTCTCTTTTTTGACGGCAGAGAGCAAATAAACTCCCTGTTTCAAACACAGAATATCATTGTTTAGTCACGGTTGCAACTCGCTGAACAAATTAAAAGCAATATTTTCCCCTTTCAGCGGTAAGCTTAAAAGGTTTATTCAGATGGTGCATGTTCAGTATTGCGCTGACTTTCGTTTATTTTAATTTCTAATTATTCTAAATTTATCAGTCTGGACGTTATTTTGATTCTCGACTTTACTACTGGACCATAGGTGGAAAATTCAACTGCAATGATCCTCTGTACGTGTTATTGTGGAAAACAGTGTTAGGTTAACGTACTTCGGCCTTAGTACTGTTAGTAATGACAAGTTGCAACGTAAAGTAATTAATGCGCAATATGAATCATTTCACCGCACGCAGTATCTTGTGAAAAAGTCTACTAGTATTTTCTGGCGAAAACATGCAGTTGAAGTTATGTTAGGTCCCCTTGAATACATTCATAAGAAAAAGATAGAACAATTACTGTTTCATTTTTCAAAAACCTTAACCATCAGAACACTGACAACCTGTTACTACAAAAAATGGAAAAATGAAAACAGAGATAACCCTTGGTGCGGTAGGATTTGCCATTTTGCTGTTTTTATAAAGATAGTGTGATCTCAAATGAAGCAAATATAAAAGCAATGACTAAATCAGTTTGAAAGCACCTGCTCTGAGATATTTATGTCCCCATAGGGGAGGGGTGGTGCTCGGTTAGAGGCTAAGTTGAGTAAAACAGGATCTTGAATACAACTGTTTTCTGAACAATATTTCACTGAATTCATCGTAATCTCTTTTCGATTCCCTTTTCCCTGTTTTTTTTTCTTTTAGACATCCCGGCAGAAATTCTAGCATTTTCTTCAAGCACAAACAATAAACTACTGATTCAAACCCAGTTTATTAAGCACACTGAGGAGGCCACAACGTGTTCGTATTATAAATGGGCTGCCCGTATAAAGCGGGTTGAACCTAGAGAAACTGTTAGGGTGAGGGACAAAAGGAGAGCTGTCGGTAATAACGAGGTGTCCGTTTAAGTTAGCCTGCGAACAGCAGACGTATTTCCGGTCGTCGCTTCTCTCCTTCCGAGCGGGTCAGTCCATCAAATGGGGGTTCGACTTTACGTTGATCTGCTAAACGCGCTCAGCGATACTTTTAAGCAGAAATCTTGGTTCCACTACCATAAATCAGAGCTGTTTAAGGCTTTCCAAGGAACGAAGCAGATGAAAGAGCGGCACATCTCAAGGGGGAGGGGAAGGGGAAGGAGGTAGGCTATTCTTGCGCAAAGAAAAGCTAACAGACACTCACTTACACCAGACGAATATCGTTTGTTTTATCAACTTAATCAGTAAGAAACATTATATGTTGAGATTCATATCGCGCTCACCAAGAAGGCTTTTAGAGAAAACACTTTCCACTTTCCTATCATCATATTGTTTATAGGGGAACTCCGCTTAAAAACTAAATAAATACAGTTTGGTCGGACTGTTTTCTAGTTATGCAGAAGTTAGGTCTGTAGATAAATTTAAGGTGAGCGGAGTGAATGTCTGTTTTAAAAAAAGAGAAACAAATAGTAATTTAAGCAATTTTGCCTGTGTCGGCCTCAGTTTTAGTTTTAGTTTTTCCGGTGAGAACTCTAGAAGTAGATTAATAGATTAGGCTAAAAGCATGGTCACGAAAAATTATAAATCTTTCCCGATGAGGAAAAATGGTGAACCATTCCATTGAGAGAAATACAATAAAAACAGGCTTCGGTTTCTTGGATTTTTTTTAAAGCTGGGGTTCACGATTATGAATAGCCATAACTGTTTATTATATAGGAGGCTAACTCTTGTCCATCTTATCCTGAGCTAGTCAGCTGTGCTGTTGAGCATCGGGGCAAAGATGGAAAAATATTGTTCTCTCTTTGGTCGGTTGTGATGTGAGAAACGTAACCCAAATCTGAAATATTGCTTGAAGGGTTTAAATCACCTTTTACGATCTAAAAATAACATAAACTTACTAGCTTAAGTGCGTAATGTAAATGTAACTAACAAGGCCACAAGAACTTAAAGGCACTGACCAAAAACAGCGATGCCTTCCCTCCGGGCATACATGTCCAAGCAACCCTACGGCCGGCCGCTTTCAAGTTTAACACAAAAGAAAAGTAAGAGGTTCCAGTTTTTGTCCGCTCCCATATAACGCAGTCAGTTGTCGCGTGCAGTACTCCCTTCAATAGAATTTCCTGGTTGCGTTTGCAACTATTACTTTAATATTGTTTCAAATCTGTCAAAGTTCCGTATCACAAGTCGACATAGAAAAGACGTTTCAGTCTGTGATCATTGTTTGCTGTCGCAACTCATCGATGGTTAAGCTTTTGATGAATGGTTATGTTTACACGATAAAACACTTAAGTGTTGAAACGTCAGGTCTTAAATAACGCAAAGGCAAAATTTGTTTGTCATTCTTCTTAAACCGTTGACAAACCTTTTTAATTTTTGTCAGCTGCAACATTTTTTCCTTCCTGTTTAGTCATAAAACACTAAAATTTAGTTTTTCAATTATTTTCTGCGCTAATATTCAGTAACCTAAATTAAAAGGGAGAAATACCAGGATCAGAATTTGGAATATCATCCTAAGTAATATCAATATCAGGCATTTCATGATTTGGCCGTCTTTCCTTAGCGAGCGAATTCAATTAACGTGTACATATAACGTGAATGTGAACTTGCTATGTTAAGCCATATCACCTGTTTCGGCTCTAATTGTGTCTAAATCATGTGGCCGAGTAATGTTTGCAACAAATTTTGTCTTTCTCTATTGTAAATAATGCATACTGTATTTCAGCTTTTCTCACGAAAATAATATAATCGGCGAATTTTGAATGGTGTAACCCTGGGGGGTACTCCTGGGAATTCTTGGTGGGGGTGCCAGTGCCACCCGGTTCTCCAAATCCTAACCCTCTTTCCGATCAAAAAATTGTCATTTTCCACGCCCGTTTTCAGACCTGCCGGTGGTCACAAGACGCAACATTACATGTTTATATAAAACATAAATTATGTCATCACTGCTTAGATTCTGCACAAAATGATTTCCGAAAATCCTTTTCGAATGTGGCTGTTACACTTTCTTTCTCATTCATTTGGAATTGAAATGGCGAACAACCGTAGTTCCTTTGTAAACCATACTCGATTCCAGACCAAAATGGGCAAAATCTATACCCGTGTTCAGACCAAAACGACGCAAAAACCATACCCTTTGGGGTGGCATATACCTATATGGCTTGTATAAGGGAGTACCTCCCCCAGGGGGTGTAGCGAGTACCGTAAACTGCCGGTTGCAACCCCCGCTCCCTCACTTATTAGCCCCCAAGAATAGGCCCATCTACCTGTAAACAAAAAAAAGGAACATACGATTATAAGCCCCCCGACGAATCCCGCTATAACGAAGAGATTTTGATGGTCCCAACGCACAATTTACTTTTACCCCTCTGTCCGGTCGCTCGCAGCAGTCAGTTTCAGTAAAAACGACAAATTTGAGTAGAAATCACAGCTTGCTTTAATTAAACGTGTTTTTGAATTTAATGTGCAGTCTCGATTGCCAGCGCTTCACACTTTCAGCTTACAGTACCAAATGAATAGAAATAATGTTTCCTACGTGCCGTATTGAATTTTTGGTAATTTTTCTTTATTAAATTACCCCACTATAACGAATAGTTTTGCTGTTGACCAGATAATTCGTTATAACGGGGTCTTCGCTATACGGAAGACCCCGCTACAACGAACAATATTTTCGGTACCATGGCCAGTTCGTTATAGCGGGATTCCACGACTGTATAACCGCCCTTGTAGCTCAAGGATGAACCCCCCTCCTCTGAATTCGTATTATAACGCTTTGAAGATTAATTCAAACCAGCAAATGCAAAACTTATTTTGATCCACCCTGGTATAGCTTGTTTAGAGGCGCTGTTTCTATTCCAGTTCAGTTAAGACAGACGCAGATATGAGCCCCTCCTCCTCCCAGGCTATGCGGCAGTTTTACGGTACTTTAATTTTAGGATTGTTGCTGTATAACGTAGAGGATGATATAAAGAAACGTGATCATGGATTTTAAACTCTAATACAACTATGGTGGTAATAAAAATAATATTTATAAAAAGCCTTAGTTAGAGACAGTTAATATTTTGCTGTCTAAAGACTGATATTGGGACCTTAATTTAAGATTTCATAAACAGTGAATTAGTTCATACTTTATACTCACAAAGGATAATGTTTACGGTGTAGTGGTACCTTCTCAATTTTTCCCTCAACTTTAGACCCAGGTGCTTATAAAGACGATTACCTTTTGTAAGATCTTCACAAATAAGTTCAGCGTTTATAATCCTTAATGGCACATAAGTGTATGATTTTTGGGGAAGCAAAAACATTAGACCAATTCTACTCGGCTATAATCAGCGAACAAAGGTGCCTTTGATCGCTCTATTTGATTCTTTTTTGTTCGGCGTCTCGTGAATAATTCATTTATAATATAAACAAAAATGGTCACTGATAAAACACTTAGCTGGTTAAGGTAGTAAAAAAGATAAATCGCCGAATTGTGAATAATGAAACACGTACGCATTCATCGCATAATAATTCGTTATTAATACCCTTGTTACAGCATATTATTTCTTTAAAATCTAGAAAATCAGCCAAGTTTTGGTTAGAGCTCTTTAGTTGTAACAAAGCCTTTGGGGTTACCATAATACCATAACTAGATCTATGATCAGCGTCTCGGATTTATACAGGACAGAGGCGGATCCAGACGATCAGATAAGGGGGTGGGTCCGGTTATCAGTAATTGGAAATGAATCTAAATTCAATAAGGTAACTGAGCTGGACACAGCGGATTCTTTAAGTACTGACCCCATCGAAATCAGTAATATACTCAACACACATTTCTCCAAAATAGAACCTTCCTTAACCTCTGAAATTCAAAATACATCCAGTAATTTTGCTGATTATATTACCCCTGCAGAACAAATTTTTAAGTTGGCGGAAGTATCATGCCAGGAGGTCTTCAATTTAATTCAGGAAATACCGAGTAATAAGGCCAGTGGTCTTGATAACATCTCAGCACGTCTTCTGAAGGAAGCATCTCCCATAGTTACTCTTAGATTAACTTTTATAATAAATCTCTCAATTATCACTGGAATATTTCCAAATGCTTGGAAACGAGTTAGAGTTTCGCCAATATTTAAAGAGGACCTCAAGACTGATCCTAACAACTACAGACCTATCTCAGTTCTGCTTGTAATAAGTAAATTAATTGAAAGAGTTGTTTTAACCAACTATATGAATATCTAAATGACAATAACTTGTTAACTGAATCACAATCTGGCTTCAGAGCTATGTTTTCTACTGAAAAAGCTTTACTTGAGGCAACGAATGAATGGCAACAATCTCTTGAATGGTGTAATATTCCTGGACTTGAAACAAGCCTTTGACACCATGGATCATGCTATCCTACTGGGAAAGCTTAAACTCTATGTGGTCAGTTCTCAATCTCTTAACTGGTTCCGGTCCTATCTATCGTAAATGTTTAAGAGAAGATACCAGGAGCCCATCAAATGGGCTCCTGAAGATACCTATTTCCATGACACTGATTTATTTCGTTTTGACCGCTTATTGCCAACCTTAACCTGCGTAGCAGGCGTCCAAAGGGATAGGGGGTAGGGAGAAAGCGAAATAAGGATGGGGATTCGCGATTTTCTCCCTCCCCTCCCCTCTTTGCGCCTGCCGCGCAGGCTATGCCAACCTTCACCCACTTTGTTGTTAAAGACTTCCGGTCCAAAAAGACACCCAATTTAATACTGAAATTGTATACCCCGTCAGGAGCTCCTGACCCTGTAAATGACTCAAGAGCCCCATCTTATCCAAGACCTGAAAACCATACCCTTTTCAGCGGCACATACCCGTCTAGGCGTAATCAGGGAGTGCCCCAAGGCGGGGGTGGTGAGAGAACTGGCTTGTAGGCTACAGGTCCAGGAACTTCTTTCTCCCGGATCTCTTTTCGTACAAAATGTTTTTAGAAATGCGCATACTAGACGAGTTCAAGGTCAGCACAACGGCAAAAAGATAATTAAGATATCATGAATGTTAAAATTAAATTTTACCTAAATTATTCTGAAAGCTGGTTTTCACTAGTGACAGAATTGGAGTCGGAATCGTAAGCGGAGTATGACCTTGTGAAAATCAAAACGGGGTCATAAGCGCGACCAAATCGGAGTCGGAAGAATCAGAACGTTGCCATTTTCTTCCGGCTCCGTCATTTAATTTTACGATCTAGTCAAGGGTACCCAATGGACCTGTTCCTCAAAATATCTGTTATTCAGGCAAATTTATGCTGGCTGGGAGATTTGGAAAAAAATATGTCCTTGGAAAGAATATGTTGGTGGGAAATGGACAATTCAGGGTGTCTGAGGGGATTTGAAGTCTAGAATAGCTGATATGTGCTATTTGCCATAAACCTCTTGCCACAACCCCCCGCCCCTCCCCTACACACACACACCACTACCACTGAAGGAGCTGAATTTTCCCCTATGACGAAAAACAAACTGACCAGTAATGTCTGGACATAATATGTCTGCTGGGAAACTTTCCACTAAGTCTGGTTGCAGGTTGTATATAGTCTTGCTGGGAGCGAGGAATAGATAAATTTTTTCCAGCAGTCTCCAAAAATGCTTAAAATGGCTTCAGAAAGCTTTATTCATGCTTTGTTGTTATGTTTAGGTCTTTTTCTCAAAATTTCCCATTGGGCGCCCCTGTCTAGTGAAAACCAGAATGAGATTGACGGAGTCGTAAGCAGATCGAAGCAGCTTAGCGGAAGGCAATCACACGTGTCCACGCTTTGTGATTCAAAGTTCCTCTGCTTCTGCTTGCTTCTCCGACAACCTTGTTTTTACTTGATCGTAAACCACGACGTCGTAAGCAGAATCAGAAAGCTGTTTTCACCAGATCGTAAATTCTACGCTTCTCGATTACATTGTGACTGAGACTCCGGTCACGGTGTTTTGGTCGCAGACAACGGACGGAGACAGTAGATTGGTAACTAGAGTCTGGCCCAGCTCTCTCTCTAAATAAGTCGGCCATTTTGATATCTTGTCTGGACGCTTCTTCCGTCGTGTCTGTTTCTTGTTATCGTTTTAAAGCCGTTTTTGTCATCTCCCTTCTCCGTCATGTCAAATTTTGGCGACAGTGAAGCGGAGGAAGATTCGCTGGATGAAAGTCTGTCGAACAAAAGCGACGATGAGGAAGACGAAGACGGAGAAGAAGAAGATGGAGGAGAGGCTATGAACGACGATGCGAACGATATTATAAATGACGAAGAAGAAGAAAGTGGCGGCGAAGAAGAAGAGGCGGAGGCTCATCATCATCATAGAAAAAGACCAAAAGGTACAATAAATACGTTAAGCTGTCCTCAAAGTTTCCCGGAAAGTATTCTTTATTGTGTCGAAGCGTATTCAGCTGTGCTGATTAAACTTTCGTTGTGATTGTTACAGAAGATGACGACCTGGACGAAGAAGATTTGTCTTTGATCGAAGAAAACCTAGGCATTAGTATAAAGCGGGTAAGAAGATTAAGTACTGTAAATTTATGTTGAAAGTGTCTTATGGAGTCGAGAAACTGTATTTTTCTTGAATAAACTACACCGTAGGTATCATGCTTTGTCAACAATTCTGGCACTCGATCCTTGAAACACTTACACAAACAATAACTCCAGTTCAAGGACACTTCATCGCTGGCATAATGATACCTGTGCTATACAGCAAATCTCTGTTCTGTGATTTTAGAAAAAACCTCGGTTGAAGAAAGTGAAATTGCTTGACTCAGATGAAGAAGAGGAGGACCAGGATGACAGAGAAGCAATTGCAAATGAACTTTTTGAGGGGGATGAGGATACACCTGAGGTAATTTGATTAAATGTTTTTCATATTGAGTTGGATACAAATAGTTCACATTCGTTTCCATACAAAGTTGTTTCGATACAAGACATTTCGATACAAGCTTATTCAGTCAAGGTGTAAATAGTTCCACTTCCTTGGCTGAAAGAAAGAAGAATATTCACGAAATGATATTTTTCTCGCTCATGTGCAAACTACACATATACGTGAAGTGAACAAAATTTTTGTGCAATTTTACTGCTTGAGTTTGCATCAAAACCACTTGTATTGAAATGATTTTGTGTCAAAAGCAAACTATCCAACTAGAGAAAAAACTATCCAATCAGAGAATTCACCTGTCCGATATATCACAGGTTAAGTCTGGTCTGAGGTTCAATCACTATTGAAGTAGTTAAATTTGTCCTCTTTCCCCCTTAGTAAGTGTTTAATCTAAGAAATAAATTCGTGCACTCTTTGTCAAAATTTTAATAATTTCTCGAGCCTTTAGGTGAGGGAAATTATCAGAATTAGAAGTTATTTTCTAATTCCACCTACTATTTGATTACCAGATAACATCATGGTTGACAAATTACTCTTACAGTAAATTATTGTGAGTGTGTTATTTGTTTATTCAGGGCTCGAGATTTAAAAAAAAGTGAAGTCGCATTTTTGCGACCAGTTAAGAAAAGTTAGTCGCAAATTCTCAAAATTTAGTCGCAAAGCATAAGTTAATTATTAATAAGTACTTTGACTACTAAATTAATAACTCTTTGATTTCAGCAGCTTTTATTCATTTTTAATGATGTCTGAAAAACAGTTTCTGAATTACTTTGACGGCACAATCAAGATCATAAATTACAACATTCAATCGATTTTGAAAACGTACAGTCCACACAAATAATCCTGTTAAATGATAATTTGCACTCAAGTTAAAATTCAAAAAAATGAAACAATCATTAATCTTGTCGTCTCTTAACGATATGAAATCCCCGTAATGTTTCCCCTCGCTAAATACACCAAGCTCTAAATTATTAAACATGCTTACAGAAATAGCGCAAAGCTTGTGTATACATTGACATTTTCATTACATTCACCTTTCTGTTCCACTTGTGCCTCAAAATGGCAAAGTTTATGTTTGACTGTGAGTTATATCTTAAAAGAACTCTAGATAAATCAAGCCAAACTTCAACTTCAACTTCAACTTTATTTAATAAAAATATTGATTACAACAGACTGGCCTGCAAAATAGCAATTGCTAATCTAGGCGGACCAGTTAAAAGAAAAATAAAGTGAAAGGAAGGAAACTATTTTAGGTTACAATAAATAATATTTGTATCATAGTTTTATTTTAATATTAAATCTACTAAGGAAAGACCAAAAAGGAATTGATGGAAAAAAAAAAAAAAAAAATACTTTTGTACAGAAATCACTTAACTGTTAATCAAACTTTTTCAACTATTAATGACGTCTCATATAGTCAACTTCTCTTTTTAAGATAACGGAAAGCAATCTGTGAAGCATTTTGATAACAGAAAGATATCGGAATCCTCACAAAGTCTTTGGAACGAACACACATGCCACTGAAAAGCCGCCATGTTTGTTTTCAGTGATTCACAGCGATCAAAATTGTGCACAGTTCCCACCAAACTGCCAAACATCATATTTCTGACACCTCTTATAATTGTTATCTATCTAGTTTCCAGGCTCACAATTTTGTTGCACATCACTATAAAATTGTTATAATTTTTTCCGAAAAAAAGTCTTTCACATTTTATTGTCAAAAAATGAGGTTCAGTTTTTGGGTTGCAGAAATCAGTCCCCATACATGAATTACCTACGTGTTTATAACAGAACCGCTGTAATGGCATCTCATCAAGCTAATCGTGTAACGTTGTATATACATGGTGTTGTTTGGAACTTGAGTAGGATTTGCCTTTACATTGTCCAATCTCCACAACAAGTAGGACACAGTTTATTTCTTTATTAATGTAGGTGAAAACTGGTCACAAAGTTGGGACCTGCTGAAGACGTTTTAGTCACAAAGGGAGAAAACTTAGTTGCAAATGCGACCGATACAGTCGTAATGTCAAGCCCTGTTATTGTCTTGAGAACTCCACATACTGAAAAGTTGAAAGTATGTATTTTGGTGAAAGTGCAAAATTTTCAACATTTTTCAACAAAATATCCATTAGAAATCTTCTTATTGTGCCCGCAGGGATTTCGCCTAGAAGGCAAAATTCTGAGGAGGCACTCGCTAGTAGCTCGCGCATATAATATTAAGGTCTTGCTCAGGTCTTAAACCCTTGACATCTTAATCCTTAGCATTGTTAAACTGGGAGGCCATCTAGGCACTGCAATATGTATACACTATGCCCCCTTAGGGATGTTTTGAGGGAGAGACATCTGCGATTCAGCCCCAAAATTGACATGAATCAGTGTTTACATAATTAGTCTAGTAGTCACTGGGATCCAGATGTAAAGTGGTTTGAGTTTATCTTTCTTTTGGTGTGTTATTGTAAACTTTTGAGTTCTTCTGCCAAGGAATGGCAGCAAAACTCAAATGCTTCTTGTACATGAGTTATGACTGTGTTTCTGTAGATTCAATCCATCTACATTTTGATCTTTGTGACCTCATGTCTTTTGTCTGTCATTCATAAACAATAGCTCAAAGAATTAAGTTACTGCATTGACCAATCAGCACTTATGGGCCAGATTCTGGCAACAAATCTACAAGTGTATTTCATCAGTATAGCATTTTGGGGACTGAAATGCAGTTTTTCGATGTTTGAGAACCTGACCTCTAGCAGTGAGGTTTGAGGTGGAGATGGCTGCATTTTGTGGGCTACACAAAATGTTCAAAATATTGCCCTAGCAGTTTTGTAATTCTGATTTTCAATATAATAACTCAAGTCTTGAAAATGTATGCTGCAAAAATTTCAAATGGTTTTATACAGTAGGACCTCGCCACTACTATAGCAGTTTTGATTTTTCAACCTCTAAATAATTATATATTGAAGTCCTCAATACAACAAACCATATTCCCTGCCCCAGTAATAGTAAAGGATAGTGAAAAAAACTCGATATAAAGAATCCTGGTTATAGCAAACATATTTTGCCAAACCCTTGACCATTTATTTACTCAAAGTTCCCCTGTACACAGGAATTTGACATGTTTTAGTTTTCATTTGCTTTGAGGTTTTAAAAATACATTATATTTCCTGACTAGTTCATTCCCTGTTAACTACCCTTGAGTTGTTTATTGTACATTATTTGGAAATCATGTTTCCACATTTGCTCCAGGTTCCAGCAGAACCAGCAGTCCAGCCTCAAGCTGATGACACCTATGCAGATATTGAGGACTCAGAATCAGAAGAAGGTATAATGACCTAAGGACAAACCTATGCTAGCCTGCAGTGTGGGCGTTTTCTTCAGACACATGGATGTTTTTGTTCCTGAAAGCACCATGTTGAAACTTAAGGGTTGCTATTTCTACTCTTCCCCATCTTCCTCTGTCATAAAATCAAAGATGGCAGCTACAACAATACATGTACGAATATAAACAAGCTTTCACCTACCTAAAATACACCTTTTGCACTGCCCATTTAAGTTTTCCAAGCTGCCAATTGTACAGTTCTATGCATTTACTATCAGATTAAAAAACAATTGTTCCTTTTAAATCTCTATGTGAAGTGTTCCTCTTCTTAAATTCAAGCTGTGCATAGCTATTTGTTTTCAAGGACAGTATATTAGTCCCATTTTACCGTAACCCACTAGTATTTAAGGTGACGGTTGTCAATCACATTAAGTTCTTCTGTTTTTTAATGACAAATGGTCATTCATATTTTTTATGAGTTACAGCAGCTCACAGTGATACTCACGCTGGCATCACTCATTGATATTAATGTGCCAACCGCAAGGGCATTGGGTCTTGAAACTAAATATTCTTTTTTTTTATTTGTTACACATTTAATAACAAAAACAATGTTTGAAAATGAAGAAATGATCGTTGCAGTGAACGCAATTTATGCAATTGCGTAAAGAAGCCTGTAAAAAATTCAGGACTTTAACGGGGTTTGAACCCGTGACCTCGCGGTTACCGGTGCGATGCTCCACCAACTGAGCTATGAAGCCACTGACACTGGGAGCAGGTCAATTATTGTGGGTTCATATGTTCCCGTGAAAGAAATGAGTGTTAATGATATATGAAATAAATCATATATGAACTGCGGGAATGAAATGAAACAGTGTTTGTGAACAGTGATTATTGCTATAAACACAATCACTTTATTTCTTACATTAAAGTTACGACATATCTTTAATTATGATCTTTGCTCAGATGTGGATGACTTTATTGTGGACGATGAAGGAAACCCTATCAGGCAGGCCAAGAAGAAGAGGCGTCTTCATGGAGCAGTGCATGATTCGTAAGTATATCACTGCATCCTTTCTGAATTGATTTAATGTATAGAGCGATAAATTTATTAATAGTTTTTATTATATAAACACCAATGAAATACCAGGTGAACTTTTGCACGAAAACATGATATCTTCACACATATGAAAATATTACCGTTGCTATGGCTACATTATAAATTACGCCGTTCACCGGAAAAAACTGTTTCAGTGAAATGGTTTGGTATAACATTGGTGTTTAAATAATAAATAGAACATTACATGGCCGCTTGGAGATATGAAATTTCTCTTCTCGTGTTGAAAATATTTCACTCGTTTGCTGTGCTCACTCGTGAAATATTTTTCAACACTCGCAGAGAAATTTCGTATCTCTGCATGGGCATGTAATATCCTCTATTTATTATTTGGTATGTGCAAATTTCAAAACTCAGAGCAAATTTCAGAGCAACAGTTTAAAGCAAATTGAGTATTTTGCTCAAATCATTTGAACTTCATCAGTAAAATGTAAAATGTCAGGTTACGCAATAGAAAGGTTGTTGCATACTCCCAGGAGAGGATTGTAAATGGCTGGGAGTTCCAGTCTCTCATCATTATTCAGAGAGGGTTTTCTTTGTTTGATGTGATGGCCTCCTTGATGCAGCACTTGATGGTGTGAGAAACGTACAATGGTCCCAGAAACGTACAATGATCCGAAATCTGTATTATTTCACTGCCTGCATTGGGTGCTTTGAGAATAGGTGCTCTCTTTGCTATTATCAATGATGAAGTAATGATAATGGTTTATCACAAAGGGTATGATGCAGTGTATACTGTACTCTGTAGTAGTAGTAGTAGTAGTAGTAGTCGTAGTCATAGTCATATCATAGTGGTAGTGTTAGTGGTAGTAGTCGTAGTGGTAGTGGTGGTGGTAGTGGCAGTTGCATTGCAGAGACAGTGCAATAATATCTATGTGACTAATGAAAGTTTTTTTTTGCTATGTTAGAGCCCTCATGGAAGCGCAAGACATCTTTGGTCTTGACTTTGATTTTGACGAATTTGAAAAGTATGGAAGAGATGACTTTTCGTCAGAAGAGGATGAAGATGAATATGAAGAGGAAGATGGGGAAGACGGAACATTAAGACAACAAAAGAAAAAATCCACAAAAAAATCGATTTATGAGGTGAGGTTTGCAAGGGCTTTCTTGGTATTTAAAGAACATTATTTTAACGTCAACTTGTCCAATAGAAAAATGTATTATTATTTTTGTTGTCCTCGGAGAAAGATTTGAAAAAAACAATTAGTTTTGATTTTTTGTTTGGAATGCGACTAACAAACTGAAACCTTTTAATTTCTAACTTGCATGTACAGACTGTATTATAATTATCATCAACAATACTATTATTGAATTAGATTGAGTATGATGAGAAGAATTATGCGGATCAAGAAGAATGTTATTCACCGAGGCTGAAGCCGAGGTCGATAACAGCCTCTGAGGTCTGCATAATTCTTCTCATCATACAAGAGCCAAATTCAATAATTTGTTTTATTGTTCATTTATAACATTAACTTAACAACCTGAACTCCTTGTTAACTTTCTTAATGTGTGACCGGGAAGACTGTCTATACTTGAAATATCTTAGGAATGTTCATTGTGTTATGACCAATCACAGCAAAGATCAGGATATGCAAACAAGCCACAAAACCACAAACTAATTAACACTCTTGCTTATGGTTCAGTTTTCTCATTCCTGATTGGCTTTTTTCTTGCAACACGATATCATTCACGGTTTTCACGATTTGACTGTAAACATTGGCCTATTTTTCGGCATTATTTTGGGATACAAAAAAATGTTTTTTCATGCAGATACTCCTCAAAAAGTAGATAGCATCTATTGAGCAATGTTTTGCACATTTTTGCACTTTTCTGTTCAGTTTTAGCAAGAAATTCAGCCATTTTTTTTCATTCCAATCAGAAATAAACAGGTAGGCTACTCGCTTACAAACAAGGTTTATTGATAGGTTATTATGCAAGATCCCATCAAATCTATGGTATATTGCTCGCATCTTCCAAATTTGGTAAGCACCATCTGGTTATGAAGAATAACCCAGAGTATTGGAGCCAATCAGAACTGGTGAAATATTTTGAATGAATAATAATTGTTATAAGAAACTTCTGTTAAGCTTATCAAAGATGTACACTGTATCTTCTTGAAGAATTTCATTGACAGTGTTACATCTTTGATAAATGCTGACAGCTTCGATGAAGCCATCTTTTCTTGAAAAACATTTAACAATTATTAGATCGAACATTGAAAAATATTATCAGCTTTCGCCCATGGACACAAGTGATCCACCCCCAAACCAGGGGGAGGGGCATCTAAGACATTAAGACTGGCTTTTAATATGTTTTGATAAAGATGGCTGACAGTCATCGAAACATTTAAATGTTTTAAGAACATTTAAATCGACGTACACTGTATCTGTGTACAAAGGCAAAGCAAGAATGTCAGTTTGTCATTTTGTCTTCATAGGTGTTTGAACCAAGTGAGCTTGAGAAAGGAATGTTGACCAGCAAAGACGGTGAAATCAGAAATGCTGATGTGCCTGAAAGATTTCAGGTCAGTTGTGAAAGCAACAACAGGTTATTTGTAAAAGATTTGATAATGACCATGTTATGAGTGTGGGATATAAAAAAAGTCATGAGATTCCCTGACAGGGTTAAAACCTAGGACAGGGCTTAAAAAAAAGTCCTGTCCCAGGGCTTGAATTAAGAGCCAGGAGCTATTATGAATGTGGCCCCTGGCTACTTGCATAGGAAAATAGGAGAAAAATAGAACCAAAAGAAATTCTTAGCTGTTTGATTCCGTGTCTACTTATTGTATTTATGCGGCAACTTAAGATCTTAGTGACATCCCTGTGTCCAGTAGTTTGGGACAAGTAGGTTTTCTTGCTGGGCAAGTAACTTTTAAAAATTACTTGCCTGAGGGTTGAGCGTCTGGGCAAGTCATCCTCTAACAAAGTCATTAACTAAGATAACCAACAAGCGACCCTTGGCAAGCAAAATGCAAGAGCTGCTTGCCCAAAGGACAAGCTGGAATTCAAGTTTTTTTTATAACCCTGCTATGATTTCACAAACACTGAGCAGGTGCTCTATACAGAGAGCAAGGTTGCACACTAGGTTCATATTATTTTTAACGTGCATCTTGCTGGATAAGTAATGCCAAAAGCATACTGTCTAAAATAAGGACTTCGTACTTTATTTATTATAACAGCTTATTAGGAAAAAAAATGCACACCTAGGGTACAGGTGACAAATCCAAATTGGTAAAACAATTAATAACAGCACCATGAACATCTAGAGATGGTCATCACAAACTCTCAGAATCTTAGGTTGTTTAATTTGCTAAAGAAGCAACAGATGAATGAGTAAAGAAAAAGAATTTTCTGAGAACTTTGTGGTTCCAATGTTCAGAATGTGATTTCACTTGATACTTTCAGAAGGCCAACCATCTTCAAAGATGAAACAAGTTCATTTGAATCAGCTTATAATTGTTTTTTTTTTCTTACAGGTGCGTGATTTTTCTGTCAAATCAACTGAAGATGGGGAGCTTGACGATGAGGCACAGTGGATTTACCAACATGCATTTCTGGAATTTCCGATATCACAACAGCAGGTGTGGCTTGTAACAGTACATTAAGCAAGCATGTATTGGTTTGGCTAGCGTAAGTCAAGAATAATACAGTCAACGGCCAAGCATAACTCCCAAGATCACATTAATGAATTTATTATATATGAATGTTGAATCCACTGGTAGTTGTAGATTTCAGATACATCTCTGCATTCCTGCATGTGTAATAAGCAGTGAATAATAATGCTTAACCTTGTATGACTGGGTTCCATTTCTGCCTTTGCCACTCTTCAGTAAAATCTTTAATAGTCTGCTACACAGCCGTTCTTTGTGTCATCACTAGCCAGGATGATTGGAGAACTGTGGAATCAAGGCAGTGCTCTGTCAACGGCTGGTGGCCCCTGGTGCATAACTTTTTATCCCGGGTGACTAGAAAATCTTAGTAATCATAGAAGTGATATGTTAGGCGCTGTGGATTTCACAGGTTTACAGCAGTGGCTTAGAGTACAGTATTGAAAATCCTTGATTAACAGGAATTTTCTTGGATTTTTAAGAGAGTGACCAACATCAATTTTAAAGAAAAGTTTAATGAGGGTAAATAAAATGATCACCTGAGGGAAAAATGCTTTGATCTTTTAACAAATTCTCTCAACTGATTCTGTAAGGAAATGTATAGAGATCAGTTTGGAGAATTTGTATGTGGACCTTGGGGCTTAGAAGCTTATTGATGACTGTTCTTCACTCTAGGATATTCTGGACAGTGATACCCACTCTCGCACCAAAGCACCCAAACCATACTCTGCTGTCAGCAAGATTAAAGAAGCTTTAAACCTGATGAGAAATCACCTGTTTGAGGTTTGTTTATGTTTTGTTACTATTTTCTATCTACCAGCTAAAGCTGCAAATAACTTTGAGGCATTGAACAATGTCCTACCACAGGTAGACCACCCTCTTTTCCTGAACAGAGGGTGGTCTTCCTGTGGTCCTACGAAAAATTTCCCTATGTCGGATGTGAGACAAAATCTCTAGATTTGGGGCAGTGTGCAGCTCTTACAAGGCAGGCCTCATAAGGTTGCCTGAGAAAACAATGAAACAAACTTAAATAACAATGGACCCTATCCTAAGAGCAAAGGTGCTGCGTGCTATTGAAGTTCCAGTAAAATAAGGGCTAGATTCCCTATGTTCTAGAAAATACTGAGGTTGACACTTTCTTATTCTGTAAAGTGCATTGTGAGCAAATTTAAATTTGCTGTTTTACATCAATTTTTTGTGTGTGTCAATTCCCTGTTTCCTCAGTCTAGGCTAAAATCTTCAACCACTTGATCAGTTTCCTGGAAAATGATTCTTTATTCTAGATCCAAGCTTTCCGATCTTTTTACCCTATCCCTGTATAAACGGCTTGAAAAACCATTCATCTGTACCCTTTGCAATGGCACATACGTATATAGCCCATAATTGAAATGGCAGTACCCCCACCCTTCCTAGGAATTAATACGTGCCAGATTTTGCCTTCTGTGGATTTAGCATCACCAACAATCACTTTTGCAGGTTCCATTTATAGCCAACTACAGAAAAGAGTACATTGAGCCTGAACTTAACACAGAGGACTTGTGGAAAGTCTGGGAATGGGATGAAAAGGTGAGATATCTCAGTTTATACCTTTTAGAGATGCTTACACAATTTACCGCTGGATACCAGCAGTCTACTGTCTCCCACCCTCCAATATTCCTTTTCTGACATTCAAATACTTTGATACGTGAAATGCCATCAACACCATTTTTTTTTCACTGCTTGCATGTTCCTCAACACTCCAGATGAAAGTTTTCCTACATGAGTGAAGTCTCCTAAAGGCTCAACAAACAAACAAAATTAAGATAAATTTTAAGAATGGGGGAGAACTTGATGATTATTATTTGGTTACTTAGTGGTGTCAGCTGCGCACTCGCAAGGAGAACCTCCATCGCCTGTTCCAAGAAATGCAGGATTATCAGTTCAACAAGATCCAGGAAAGTGGAGATAAACCTCTTGATGATGATACAAGGATTCTACAGCCTGAGGATATTGAGAGGTAATAAAAATATATAGAGGATATTACACAGTGGCGTGAAGATATGATTTTTATTTTTGAGTGGTGAAAAAATATTTTACAAATGAGTGCAGCAAGTGAGTAAAATATTGTTTTTGCCACAAGAAAATAAAATTCATATCTTCAAGCCGCCGTGTAACGTTCTTTTTATTATATAGACAAAAAGACATTGATAACATAATAGATTTTTATTCGCCAAAAAGAAAGAGGCCTACAAATTTTGAGGGGAAATTACCGAAATTACGTCATCGATAAACTCACGTGTGAGATTATTGAAAATAAACCACTCGGGTCCCGGATGTAGTTTTTATGAATTTTACGAGTGTTATATTTTCCGATAAAACACTTGTGTCTATATAATAAAAATAAATAAATAAATGAATAAAATATTGATTTGAAGGTTGTGTATCTACCTAGTGTTCTTTGTCTACCAATAATTAAATAAATGAGCTAAAATAATGATTTGGAGTTAGCACATCCACACAGCATAATAGTCATCAAAAACTCTTGAGAAATATGCCAAGGGAATAGTCCAGTTTTGAATTTTGTCATGGCTGCTGAATAAAAGCACCAAAGACTTATTTGTACAGGGTCAGCCTCAGCCCAATGTAAAATATTCACAAGTACTGGCTGTGGCAAGAAGGCACCTGAATTTGGGTTTAAGACAAAAAGTTGTACACAGGTATTCTTAGGTCGTGGCTAACCCTGTATAAATGTGTCTTCAGTGCTTCTATTCAGCGGCCACAACAAATTCAGAACTGAAGTACAGCGAAACCCCGCCTTACAGCCACCTCAGTAATACAGTCACCTCGTTGTTATGGCCACTTTTTTTGTCCGCCCTGCGAAACGGCCATACATGTTCTTGCAAATAACCACCATTAATTACGGTCACCCTTTAATACGGCCAAATTTTTTGGCCCATTGGTGACCGTATTAACGTGGTTCCACTGTATTGAAAAACTTTGTCAAGTTGACAGTAGGGCAATCTGTATTGAAATAAGTTCAAGAAGTACATATAATCATCACTCACTTTCTTTGTCAGGTTGGATGGAGTAGAGACAATCGAGGAGCTCAAAGATGTGTACAGTCACTTCATGCTGTACTACAGAAATGATATTCCTGCCATGTGGGAAGCCAAGAGGAAAAAGAAACAATCTGAAAATGAGGAAGCTGAAGGGGAATCCAAGCCAACTCCACCCAAACATAAAATGCCAGCCAAACGTGATCTGTATACCATATGCAGACAAGCAGGTGAAACACACAACAGGCTTTTGACTGCGCTGGATTTTAGATAGATCTTTTCAAAACAAAGAGATCTCAAAATTTCAAGACATTTTATTTCAACATTGCCACATTAAAAACAAACAAAAAAAAAAACAGAGGAAAAAAATTCAGACAGGAGTGTTGTTATAATTTTGTTGTCTAAATTTTAGATACAGTCAAACTCCATTGACTCCAACTCTATTTTCAGCTGAGTTATACCACAGTTTTTGTCACCTCCAAGGGCTAAATCTCTCCTACTTGTAAGCACACTGAATCCCTGCCCCACCTCCACGGGATCTCTAAAGTTTTACCACCACCTTTATTTTCTTGTCAGTTCTATTTTAAGAAAATTCTCTCACTCTCCAACCAAATCATGGTAAGATATGTAGTCATTCCAATTTTTAAGTCCGTGGATGAAATCCTTTGGTGTTACCATTCAAACAGAACTCTTTGTGAGGACTTTTGCCTTCTAATGTTTCTTTTTTAGGATTTAAACCAAGAAATTTGAAAGAATAACTTAATAATTGTTATAATTTTTTGAAAGTACTCACTTAGGGGTGAGAGGGTTGATATTGATATTTATCGTATTCCTCTTTTCATAGTTTCACACTATTATTTCAGGTGTGAGTGGATTGGCGAGAAAGTTTGGCTTGACACCAGACCAGTTAGGAGAGAACTTGCGTGACAACTACCAACGACATGAAACGGAGCAACATCCTGTTGAACCAGATGAAACAGCTGAAAATTACCTTAGTAGGTGAGAAGACATTCCATTTTGCCTCAAATCAAGACCTTAGAACTACATGTGCAGGTCGTTTTACGAATAATTTGTTCATTTTTACTAGAGGAATGAACTTTCGAGAGTTACTGATAGCTGTATGAGTAATATTGTTTATTTCTTTATTTAGATTAACCTAACCAGAAACGATACTTATAACAGCTACAATGTACATAAAATTATTAGGCAGGGAGACCACTACAGCCTAGCCAATTACCACATTAAAAATAATAATAATAATAATAATAATAATAATAATAATAATAATATGAAATGTATAACTAATGACTAAAGCCACTAATAGATAAACAAGGAAAAATACAAAAATGGCAAAAAATTCAGCAGGAGTGCAAGTGCAGGAGAGTCCTCACTATATTGCACCTCTGACCTGGGACAGATTGTTCTCCAGGTTCTGATGTCGTCAGCGTCCTACAGATGTAGAGCCTCATTATAGTATTGGAGTAGTAAACATTTAAAAGAAGCTAGAGAAATGGGATTTGTGCGTAACTCACGGGGCAGGACGTTCCATTTGCAGCACACGTACATGTATGAAAAATGAGCGTTGATAAGTAACAGTTCTACTTTGCTTAGGGATAGAAGTAACAGCATTGCTGCTCAGTGACTTGGTGGATCTGGTTAATTGTCTAGTAACAGGCAGAGCTTCACTATCTATGAAAACTAGGTTAATTTTGGTCTTCTTCCACATTTTGCCTTCCCCTCACCTTAAATCCTCAATCCTCTTTATTGCTGATGGAACATTTGTCCACCGTAAATGCTTGCCATCTGACTCCATTTTGAGCAATGAGTTTTGCCTTATGCCAAGTATTAAAGTCCTTGACCCTCAGGGTCTAACATCCTTGCATGCCTCCACATTTGTCAGGGACTCCCTGTCTGACCCTTACCCTGTGGCTTCCATTCAAGGACTGTTTTAGCCACATGTCCATCATTCTGGTCACCTCTGTGTGGACAGTCCATCTACCTTAAATAACAAGTCATTCTAAAAATGAAACAAATAAGAGGTAATTCAGTCATGTAGGCCATGTCCAATTATTTGTCGTAAGGGTGAAGTCTGGTATGATGGCTACCATTCATATGTAAACAGAACTCATTATCACATAGTGGTTCTCCTTATGACCTGATTTTGAAGAAAAGGGATTTTAGAGCTTATATATGTAAGCAGCTGGTGATTTGTCCAAATAGTTTCATATTGACTGCAGAATTCGTTATTTTCCTTATAGCACTTTCTCAACTGTCAATCAAGTTCTGGAAGCTGCTCGGCATATGGTGGCTATGCAGATTGCAAGAGATCCGTTGGTTCGTCAGTGTGTTAGGCAGACGTTCTATGAGAGAGCCAAACTAAAGATTAAACCTACTAAGAAAGGAAAGAAGGTAAACAAAGTTGGCAGTAGCTTTCAAACACTTTAGGGATTTTGTTTTGATAATTTTTTATTTCAACTTTAAGGCATAAAAAGTAACAAATTAAAACCATGACATTTCAGGGACCACATTTGTTTGTTTTCTTTATCAAGCGGTGATAACGATGCCTTTTTTTATTTTATTAGGAAATTGATGAATCTCACTCGTGCAGCACTTTTAAGTATATTAAAAACAAGCCTGTTAAAGACTTAAAAGGTGATCAGTTTCTGCGCATGTGTAAGGCAGAGGAAGATGGTCTACTGACAATTTCAATTGGAATCGACCTGGACAAGAGTGCAGGGTATAATAATAATAATAAATGATAATGATGATGATGATGATTATGATGATGATTTAGAGGTAGGACATCCACAAAGTGGTTCTTTGTCTACCTGACTCCTGGTCAAATTGGAATTTGGAAATGTTGGGTTTTGAAAAGAGGGGAAAACCGGATTACCTGGAGAAAAACTTCTTGGAGCAAAGGAGAGAACCAACAACAAACTCTATGCACATAATTATGGCATCAACGCCAGGATTTGAACCCAGGCCCCGTTGGTGGGGGGCAAGTGCTCTCACCACTGTGCCATCCCTTGCTCCCCATATTTTGAGGCAGAAATCTTTAATTCTTAGTACAGTCAAACTTCCCATAAGCAACAACCCAAAATGTGAAGATTTAGTGGTTGGCTATAGGAGGTGGTCACTTAGGAGAACCAAACTACAGGAATGTCTTCTGAGAAAAGGTTCCTGAGACATCTACTGTTTGGTAAAGAATTTATTACTTTCAGTTGGTAAGCTACAATATCTGTAGTCCCATGTTTTTTCAGTGTCTAAGTTACAATAATATATCTGTAGTTCCATGTTGTCAGTAAAAGCTCTTTGCACACTCTTAGTCAACCCTCCAAGTTGCGACCATTTTGGTCGCCATGGCGCCTAAAATGTTGCAGCTGGTGCCTTGATTTGTAAAAAAGTCTCCCTAAACCAAAAGAGTTGGTTGCCAAATGGCGACCAAGCAAAAACTTTATCTTGGAGGGTTGTTAATGGCATTTATGATAGTACATGCTTCCAAAAAAGAGGAGAGAGAGAGAGAGAGAGAAAGAGAGATCAGAACATGTGTCTATTGATCCCCTACAAGAGGTTAAACACAATAGAAAATTATAAAACTGTCAGCTCAAAAAGTGCATGGTCGTGTTCCTTTATGAGTGGTTCCAACTTACAGGGCTTTGACTGGGAAAATTTTGGTGCTGTGGATAGATGGTCATTCATGGGAGGTGGTCGCTTATAAGAGGAGGTTGACTGTAGTAACAATAATTATGCTTATTTCTTGAAGAAATGAGCATTATTTTATTTATATTTTATTTTGTCTTAAAAAAGACACTTGCTATTGCTTATATGTGTTTTCAGATATCAGACTTACTTTGATGAAGTAAAGCAACTTTATTACAGGGTGAGTGGCAAGAACGTGTTCTGCTCAATAGCCATTGTGTTCTATTATCAGGTTACGGCTGTGGTTCTTCTATACACAGCATTAAATCGTAGTCACGTCTTCTTTTAGACTTCATCTTAACTATCAAACATTGTTGTTGAACATCTTGTTTGTCAAACACAACATGGGATACCGGTGGATAAACAAGAGAAAGCGTTTGACCATACATTGAACAACGTGAGCCCATTTTTATTATTATAAACACCAATGAAATACCAGGTGCCGGAGCTTTCGCGTGAAAACTTGATGTCTTCACATGTGAAAATTTCACCGTTGCTATAGCTTCATAATAAATCGCGCCTTTCACACCAAAAAACTATTAAAGTGAAATGGTTTGGTATTTCATTGTAGTTTACATAATAAATAGAACATTACATGGCTGCTTATAGATACGAAATTTCTCTTCTCGTGTTGAAAAATATTTCAGTCCTTGTTCGCTGCGCTCACTCGTGAAATATTTTTTCAACGCGAGAAGAGAAATTTCGTATCTCCACGCGGCCATGGAATGTCCTCTATGTAATAGTGTGCATTACAATCAGGAAATTGTCATTAAAATGTTTGTCCTCATTTTTCAGGATGAATTTAGTCATCTGGTGCAAGAGTGGAACACTCAGAGGATGAATGCTTTGTCGCGGGCCTTTAACCAGATGCTTTATCCACTATTTGAGAAGGAACTTAAGCTAAAACTTTTAGAGGAAGCCAAGAATTTTGTGGTTAAGGTGAGTTTGTCCCTGTTTGGAGCAGACAGTGAGAGATCAGGAGTGCTTACCATTTACACAAGCCATGAGGGTGGAAATCTTGTGTATAGACATAAAACTATGGTATATAATTTGATGTTTTAGAATGACCTGTGACAAAGTATATCCAAATTAGCTGAACAGACTGAAATGAGTAGAGAAATTGCATCATCTCAAATCACAGCATTTTCTGAAGCTTTCCAAACAAGATGGCGTAAACCATTTGATTTTCCAACCGGAGTTTCCAGTTTTCCCATTTTCTCTAGTTGCCCGCAATAATACGCTCTGGGCTTTCAAAACCGGGAAAAAGTTGTCTGATTGCTGTTTTTTTTTTTGCTTTAATGTTACCAGTCATGCTGCCGCAAGCTGAGGTCATGGATTGAAGTTGCTCCGTATCAACCTGAGCAGCAGGTAGATGAACAAGACTTTGATGACAGAACAAACTCTGATGGGCTGCGGGTGCTGTCATGTTCCATCTCACCCAACCCTGATACCCCTGCCTTCTTGGCCATGTTAGATGGCGGAGGACAGGTGACCGACTACCTCAGACTGAAATATTTGCTGAACAGGAGAAATGCGACAAGAGCCAAGGAACGTGAAGATAAGGTTAGCCATCTCCTTTGTTTTGGTTGTTGATGTTCTAATAGTGGCCAAACAAAAAAAAAATTATATTTCTTTTTGTTAAATGATGAGAAATAAAATTTTAATAGTATTATGCATAAGTTCTGGAAGGGAGGTTTCATTTAAATGGTAGCATCATAACTTTTAATAAATTTTTTTTGAAAGTCTTGCCCTTTTCTTTTATTACATGTACTTTGACCGTCTTTGAAAAAAATGTGAGATGTTGCTAATAATTCTGCACCCGTAAATATCAAGGAGGTTTTACTAGGATTTCTGATGTGCACTCATATTCTTCCCCATCTTTGCTCTACAGTGACTTTTTACTAGACACTCAAGACTCAGAAACTTACCAAAATATAATACTTTTGGCTTCTGATAAAACAAAGGGATTACTGATTACTGTCTTATGCTACCTGCAAGCAGACGCAACAACTCCCAACATTGTTGGCAGACAATATTGGGAGTTGTTGTGTCTGTTTGTAGTAGCTAAAAGTTTGACCGGTTTCAAACGTTGTGCAACAACACGCACAGCATGCAACAGGGTGTGCAAATGGACGCAACATGTAACATCCAACGATTTTGGGAGTTGTTGGCCAATAAAGTTGCATTCGTTTGCACGGGGCTTAAAAGTTACAGAAATCAGCAATCAATTAAAATAAAATTAGCTCAGGAACTCTGTCTAGTCAAAATATAAACCTACATAATGTGGTTTATGAGTGACAGTCTGTGGTCGTGAGAGCAAGGAATTCAGGTAACGAAAAGAAATAACTTCTACAAAATGATAATTTATGTGATGAAGATTTTTCGCTCCTACACCTAAATATTCGTAGTCTGCAACGTAATCTAAACAGCCTTTCTATTCTTTTGACATGCTTGAATATTAAGTTCTCTTTAATTGGCGTTTCTGAGACTTGGCTAAACGATTATTCCCATTCAGTAGACATAGATGGTTTCAATTTTATCCACAAACATCGCCCAAATAGAACTGGTGGTGGTGTTGGATTATATATTTCTGACAATCTCGATTTTAAAATTCGCGCTGACTTGAGTTTTGACGATATTGATGTTGCAGAATCTTTTCTTATTGAAATATCAAGACCCCATGGGAAAAATATTATTGGTGGTGTTATTTACAGGCCACCTAATCAGAGAGTTGGTGACTTTGTGTCAAAACACAATGATCTGTTAGCGAAAATCTCTAGAGAGAACAAAATATGTTTTATTATGGGTGATTTCAATTTGAATTTAATTAACTTTCAACATCACCAAAACACTGGCGAATTCTTGATGACTTGCACTCGTATATGTTTTTTGCCATGATAACACGTCCCACCCGAATAACTTCTCACACCGCAACATTGCTAGATAACATTTTCGCAAACACATTGTTTGATCACTCGAGAAGTGGTTTATTGACTACCGATATCTCTGATCACTTACCTGTTTTTCGATTCATTCAAATAATGGCTCTTCCAACAGCCACGCTCGTGACCCAGTGGTCATTCGAAACAATAATAAAGAAAACTTAGCGAGTTTTCTCGAAACGCTAAAAGAAATTAGCTGGTCCTCCCTTGATGGTTATCGTGACCCCAAAAACGCGTATAATAGCTTTATAAAGAAGTATTCTGAAAGTTATAATGTGTCCTTCCCTGTCAAAAAATTAACTAGAAAACAGTCCCGTTTAAATAAGCCGTTGCTATCCAATGCGCTTATTAAGTGTATAAAGAAGAAAAATAGGCTTTATAAAAAATATCTGCGAAATCCAACAATGGATCGTCAATCAATTTACAAAAGTTATAAAAACAAATTAAATCATTCTCTGCGGACAGCAAAACGTCTATACTACGAGAAGAAATTGAATGACGTTCAATCTAATACTTGTGCTACTTGGAAAGTTTTAAATGAAATTCTAAACAGAAGCAAAAGAAATTCCAATAGATGCTCAACATCTAAGGTGGCTCGACTGGATTTTTTGGGGTTGATACCTCCCAACTTTGAGCATTAACTACGTCGGCATGAGTAAAGATATGGAAAAAAGGTTACCACAACTGTATTATATAAAGATGAAAATTTCTTATGATCTGGGTTTTATTGCAATCGGAGTCACCATGGCAACGTAATGACGCCATTACGTTTTTCATTTATCTTTGTGTTTCTCTGTTCCAGGAGTTTTTTTGAAGAAATCGCTTTAGGGAGTATGTACCTGCTATAATTGCCTCCATTATGGCAAAGTTTGAACAAATTCTATGAGAGCGTTTTCGAAATATTTTGAAATGTAGTTTTAAGAATAATAAAAACAGCGAAATAGCATGCTACCTACGCAATTCGCTAATATTTTAAGAAAATGATAAGCTTTGGGAACGATTCTTCATCTCATAGTGGTTTGATTCCATTGAAAACTGCCTACGAAAAAAGAGGGGAATTGCTCTGGGCGATCGCGAGTAAGAAGAATTTTATTAACTTGCATTTAGCTGCTTTTTATACAGTTTTTGGACGTAATTTGGTTCATGCCTAATAATTTCGTATTTTTCCAAAAACCGCTCGATAAATTTTTCTATAAATTCGACAATCCCGAGATCAATCGTCAAGAAATATTCCCTGCAAGTTTTAAGAACATTGAAAACAGGGAAGGCTTTTAAATAGGGCCTCAAATATAGCCAATTTTCCCCCCAGATTTTGTGTTTACAAGTGAGCGTCCTCATTATTCACTAGCATTGTTTTCAAGTTTCATATACACGTGCACATTTAGCAAAAAGATAGAATTTGCATCAAAAAGGACCCTCGGTTAAATCTCCGGGATATGCTAATTACTGGGTAAAGAGATTAATGATACATTATAACATCAGAGCAACTCTTTGTGAGAGTTTCTGTGATGTTATAACCCGAGGAAGATAATTAAGTATTCCATCCTACACGATGAGCCGTGACGTTCACGTTCACCGTTTCGGCTCTCACTGCTATCTGTGACGACAAGCCAATTATTAGCATATTCCGGATATTTCTTCGGAAAGTAATTGAGAGTTCTTTTTGATGCAAATTTATATCTTTTGCTAGTTGTGCATGTGCATATGAAACTTGAAAACAATGCCAGTGAATAATGAGGACGCTCACTTGTGAACACAAAATCTGGGGGGAAAATTGGTTATATTTGAGGCCCTATTTAAAAGCCTTCCCTATTTTCAATGTTCTTGAAACTTGCAGGGAATATTTCTTGACGATTGATCTCGGGATTGTCGAATTTATAAAAAAGTTTATCGAGCGGTTTTGGGAAAAATGCGAAATATTTAGGCGTGGACCAAATTACGTCCAAAAACTGTATCAAAAGCAGCTGAATGCAAGTTAATAAAATTCTTCTTACTCGCGATCGCCCGGAGCAATTCCCCTCTTTTTTTGTATGCAGTTTTCAGTGGAATCAAACCACTATGAGATGAAGCCTTGTTCCCAAAGCTTATCACTTTCTTAAAATATTAGCGAATTGTGTGGCTAGCATGCTATTTCACTGTTTCTATTATTCTTAAAACTACATTTCAAAATATTTCGAAAACGCTCTCATAGAATTTGTTCAAACTATGCCATAATGGAGGCAATTATTGCAGGTACATACTCCCTTAAGTGATTTCTTCAAAAAGCTCCTGGAAAAAGGAGACACAAAGATAAATGAAAAACGTAATGGCGTCATTACGTTGCCATGGCGACTCCGATTGCAATAAAACCCAGATCATAAGAAATTTTCATCTTTATATAATACAGTTGTGGTAACCTTTTTTCCATATCTTTACTCATGCCGACGTAGTTAATTCTCAAAGTTGGGAGGTACAAACACCAAAAAATCCAGTCGAGCCACCTTAAAGCTGATGGTCGTGAAATTACTGATCCTGTCGAAATTGCCAACAAGTTTTGTAGTTATTTTTTGTAGTTATTTTTCAAGCATCGGTCCTAATTTAGCAAGGGGTATACAGTTGTCAGCCTCACACCGTAGTTTTCTTAATGGTTTCTTTACACAGTCAATATTCTTCAACCCTACAACTCAAGATGAGATCGCTGAGATTGCGAAAACTTTTCTTTCAGGCAAAGCAGCTGGCTACGACCAGATTCCAATGAGAGTCATTAAGGAGTCCATTCTACTTGTTTCTGAACCACTCACCCATATCATAAACTTGTCAATCCAGCATGGTATTGTTCCCGATGAAATGAAAATCGCTCTCGTGATACCTATTTTTAAATCTGATGATCAGTCGCTTTTCACCAACTACCGACCTATCTCGGTGCTTCCCAGCTTTTCAAAATTCTTTGAAAGAGTTATCTACAATCGTTTAATGCAATATCTGATGAACGTCAACATCCTCTGTAGTAACCAATACGGCTTCAGGAAAAATCATTCCACTGCACTCGCGCTAATCGACTTGCATGATACGATCTCCACGGCCTTTGACTGAGGTGAATTTTCCGTAGGTATTTTTCTTGACCTCTCAAAAGCCTTTGACACTGTAAATCATATCATCCTTTTTGATAAACTCGAACATTACGGTATTCGTGGCTTAGCGCTGGACTGGATAAGAAGTTACTTTTCAAACAGAAAGCAATATGTTGAATATAATGGCCACCGTTCGTTAAGAAATGAAATCTCTTGTGGGGTCCCTCATGGTTCTATCCTCGGACCTCTATTTTTCTTACTGTATATTAACGACATCAACAACGCTTCTAATCTATTAAATCTGATATTGTTCGCTGACGATATCAATGTATTCATGTCATATAAAGATCTGAACTACCTCTCAGATATGTTAAACTTGGAGATGGACAAACTGTCAACCTGGTTTGAAGCAAACAAGCTTTCTCTAAATCTTAAAAAGACTAAATTTATGGTCTTTAAACCAAGACAAAAGCGTTCAATTTGTAGTATTCAAATAAGTATAGATAATCAAAATATTGTTAAAGTAAAGGAGACAAATTTTCTAGGCGTAATTTTGGATGAAAACCTAAATTGGAAGTCGGAAATATCGCACGTTGCAAGTAAAGTTGCGAAGTCAATCGGTATAATATCAAGATGCAGCTTCTTTCTTCCTAAATCGTCTTTACGTATGCTCTACTATTCCTTGATTTATAATTATTTTTACTACCGCAATATCGTTTGGGCTTCGACCTATAAAACCAATCTCCGCCGCCTTGTTATCCTGCAAAAGCGCATTATTAGAATTATTAATAAATCACATTTCAATGCTCATACTGACCCCATCTTTAAGGACCTCGGTATACTAAAATTTAATGATATCCATTTGCTTCAACTGGGCCAATTTATGTATTCTTGCAAAAATTCATTCTTACCTCCAAAGTTTAATAACAATTTCTCTCACAGCAATCAATTCCACTCTTACAATACAAGAAATTCCCAGGCTTACCGTCTACCGTATTGTCGTACAAACACGACGAAGTTCTCGCCCGTTTTTCAAGGGCCTAAGTTTTTTAATTCACTTGACAACAAGGTCATCAACTCTCAATCCCTCTCCTCTTTTAAGAAAAAACTGAAGATTAAATTATTGAGTAAGTATGAAAACAGTTTATAAATCTTTCCATCTTCGACTTTTCGCCTTCTTTTCTTCAATTGATGTGAAACAGCTCTAGCTCATAGTTCGAGGAGGCCTAACCTCTCATAAGTTCCTATAGTTTCTGTTAGGTCTCCTCGCCACTTCTTTTTTCTTCTTTTCCCATATTTTTTGTAATTATTGTGTGGCAAATAAAATAAAATAAAATAAAAATAAATGAAATTTGGAAATGCTGTTGCGTTTTATTCCTTACTTTAACCAGTTTTCGTAGTGAAAGGGTTTAAAAATTAATGCGATCGTACTCTGTTTTCATAGGAAAAGGATATGGCAACTTTGAAACAGTTCATCCTGAAGAAGCGCCCACAGGTTGTGGTTGTTGCAGCTGAATGTCGTGAGGCACTCTCTGTTGTAGATGACATGAAGATGTGCATTGCAGAACTGGAACAAGAGAATCAGATTCCAACCATCTCTGTTGAGGCGCTTGATGGAGAAGTGGCTCGCATTTTCACGTCCTCTCCCCGATCCGAAGTAAGTTACATGGAATAGTACTGTTGTTTTGTTTTCCTTTTCTATTTGAAATTTCACACTGAAATGGAGGAACGTTGCAATAAACAGAGAATGATGGCAAATTTCACGCTCGGGTAAGAAACGAGAAATGATGTGATCAACATGTCACGAGCATGGGACTGGACATTTTGGGCTGAAAATTTTGGTCGTAATGAGTGACCTCTCTATCGTAGTTCATTTGAACTGTAGAATTATCTGAATCTTAAGGATACATATAAACAACATGCTTCTTAATATTCATTACATGTTTCCAAAGAGCATTAATAGTTTGATGCTGCTGCTTTGGAAATACTGTAGACACACTGTATAAAATAATTGTCTTGTTTCTGCATTATCGTAAAAACATATAATATATAGTACTACTTTACATACCATTGTCATGTATTATTTGTTTTTGCTATACCTTCGGAGATAGGAGCCTTAGTCTTATGCTATCTTTGGAATGCGAAGTGAGATAAAGATTTTGATTTGATTTGAAATATATCATAAGAAGTAATCGAAGAACTGAACAAAGGTTCCAGTCAGAACAATGTGTTCTGAAAAATTCAAAATAAAATGTATTATTGGAATTAAGATCTCAAAGAAGGATACATTGTAATCAAACAACTACTTAGTGTTCATTGTTCTTTCACTTTGAACTAGTATCTACCAATGTACAAAAGTTGGAAAACACGTTGTGTGACATAAGAACCAAGATATGATTGTTGCTAGTACTCATTTCTCCAAAGTTTAGCTACCATAAACTTGAGCTAGCGAGTTTGAAGTTCATTCCACAATGAGTTAGTTTACTCCAAAAGTAGGGACTATTGAAGTTCATTCCACTAGTTTACAAGTGACTTGAATGTTCTCTAGGGGAGGCCCCCCCCCCCCCATTTTTAGACCAAATCGGCCGATAATTTTTTTTTGGAGACCAGCTTAAGCTTCCTTTTAGCTGAATAGCGTGTTTCCCCAGTAACGATCGCAGAATTCTTTGTGAGAGCTAACTTGACCCATAATCCTTCTCGTTTTTTTAAGTGGCGGATTGGCAGCAGAGTAAAGCAAAACAAAATACATTTGATTAAATTTATCTTTTAAGACTTATTTTTCATGATTCTTATTTCCAGAATGAGTTTCTTGAGTACCCATCCCTGCTACGTCATGCTGTGTCACTTGGCCGAAGAATTCAAGATCCTCTCTCTGAATTTGCTGCCTTGTGTGTTGAGGAAGATGAGCTCCTTTGTTTAAGGCTGCATCCTTTGCAGGTATGACCGGGACCGCCAGATGACAAATGTAGGATAGACATTGTATGTTTTATTATCAGTCTGATTTTAGGTTGAAGATCACTTCAGGTGCTAACTGAAAATTGTTAAATGATCTGTAGTTTTCATGTTGAGAGTGCTGTGTGTAAATTAAGAAATCTTTTACCAAGGTTGGGGCGCAGGTTTGAGACCTTAACATGTTTCTTTTAGTACAGTGTGTGTTGTGGTTTTATTTTTTAATCACACGTTCGTACAAATCATCATCATCATCATCATCATCAACAACAACAACAATTTATTTGACTTATTGAAATATTTACCAGACTGTTACAACTTTGTTTTGACAAGGATTTCCTGATACCTCGAGAAAAGGGACCATTAGGCTTATGGGAGCTGTCCTTTAAACCTTGGGATAAACTGTACTTTGTCCCCAGTTTTGCTTTTCCTTGTTCCCTTTTTGCTGTTTTGTATTTCTTTGGTGTTCTACAGTTTAAAGTATTGTTTTAATGCGTCGGTCAATTGTGATACAGTAGACTGTATTAGACTGTATCACATTCCCCTATTATTCCTTTAGATCGCCTCGATCGGGCAGCTACCTTGGTTTCAAATGTACAAAGTCTACTAAGGGGGCGGGGGACGGTTTGGGAGGAGGCGAGAAACCCCGGGGCACGCCCCCCTGCTCCCCCCGGTACATTTGAAAGCAAGACGACTGGTAAGCGCTTGATTCCGATGATCTTTCTGAAAAATAGGGGACTGTGAACATTCTAATTGCATGACGGTTGATTAGTGCTGAAATGAGCTAACATTGCGTGACCTTCCTCTTTGAATAAGCAGCAAGACATGATTAGAGTTTGGTTATTCTGGGAAACTTCCCACCCCTCCCTTAACCCAGTGTTAACACTACCTCTTACCTGAGAGAAAATGCTGGGTTAAGGGAGGGGTAGGTGGGCATTTCCTAAGAAACGTGTGGTCTTTGTTTTAGGACCACGTACCCAAGGAGCGTCTCATCAAGTGCCTTCATGAGGAATTCGTGACAGTGGTAAATGAAGTAGGCGTTGACCCAAATCGCTTACTGGAGCATCCCCACACAGTGGCTCTGCTACAGTTTGTTTGTGGACTGGGACCAAGAAAGGCCACTTCTCTATTGAAGGTACATTCTTTTACCAAAGTTACTGTGAATTGGGTGTTACCAGTGGCAGATCCAGAGGAGGGGTCCGGGTCCCCCTTTATTTTTAGACCAAACATAGACCTGCAGGGTCGAAGAAAATTTTTTTTGAGACCGGTGCCCTCCTTATCTCAATGTGTGGATGACCGCCCCTTCCTACCCAACCCCCTCGCAAAATTTACGGATGTTCTGTCAAAAGGCCACTTACTCTTACGCCCAAGATTTCCTGGAAGGCAACGCTGAATGAAAGTCTCGTTCTTTATCTTGAAAAGTACATAAAATCAAAAAGCACCCCATAAAGGAGTACTGAAGGGGAAAAGTTAAGGTTTATCGACTGAGTTGATTGCGTCCATTTACTTCTGTAATAGAATAGAAAAGATGGCATTTCAAGCAGAACTAAATAATCAACTCGTGCAACTACTGAAGAGGTTTCATTTGACTGGTTAATCAACAGGATTTTATTGCCAGACTCCAAAGTTAGAACTACATACTAAATGAATGGTACCATGTGAAAGTACTGCTGAAGAGGTTTCATTTGAATGGTAACACCATAGGATTTTATCCACAGACTCTAAAGTTAGGACTACATACTAAATAAAATAATAGTACCATGTGAATGTACTGCTGAAGAGGTTTCATTTGAATGGTAACGCCATAGGATTTCATCCACAGACTCCAAAGTAAGGATTACATGTCGTCATATTAGTGGCCCCCAAGTAAAATGATGTAATGGTGTTGTGGGGATGAAAGTTGCCTTCAGGTTAAACCTTAGGCAGATTGGGTTTCTTTGTTACGGATAGTATAGAGGTCAGAAGCCTCCTAGAAAAGTTCAAAACGTTGTAGTTGACAGGTTAGTTAATAGTTTTTGCTGTGGAGTTTGTTTTGAGAATCACTTTTTAACCTTTTTTTTTTCAGAGCTTAAGGCAGCAGTGTACCAGGTTGGAGAATCGCTCGCAGCTGGTGACCGTGTGTGGACTGGGCCCTCAGGTTTTTCTAAACTGTGCGGGATTCATTAAGATTGACACAGCAGCCATCAGCGACACAACTACAAACTACATAGAAGTGCTTGATGGGTCTAGAGTACATCCTGAAACATATGAGTGGGCCAAGAAAATGGCCGTTGACGCGCTCGAGTATGACGAGGTAACGAAATTAGCCTGCGTGGAAGTTGCGGGGGAACTGCTGGGAATTAAGGCGCGCGAGGAAGGAGGAAGGAGGAAATTCCCTTCCTTACTTACTTCCTTCCTTCCTTCCTTCCTTCCTTCCTTCCTTGCGCGCCTATCGCGTTCTTGCGCGATGGCTGTTGACGCGCTTGAGTATGATGAGGCAACGAAACCAGCGTGACAGCAATTTGAAGTTGAAAAAGGGGAATTAATGCGCGCGTCCCCTCCTTCCTCACGCGCGTTAATTGCGTCTTCCCTTCTAAAGCCGGCCATGCGGACTATAAGTTGTAAAGCTAAACGATATCGATATCAGCGAAAACGCAAAAGCGCAAATTGGCTTTTCGCGGACAGCGCTGTTTTGTATGGTGTATTCAAAGATTGCAATGATGCAGAGTCATTACAGCAAGACCTAAATACACTTGTACACTGGGCAGACACATGGCAAATGTCGTTTAATGCAAAGAAGTTTACCATCCTTAGAGTCTCGTGCTCGAAATCTCTAGTTGAATATTTGGAAGCTGTTGATCGCCACAAGTACCTTGGAGATGAGCTATCCAGTGATCTAAACTGGGATGTTCATATTGCTGGAATGATAGGCAAAGCCAACCGATCAGTTGGCTTTAAAAGAAGAAACCTAAATAAGTGCCCAGAAAACGTAACAGAGCAAGCCTATCTTGCTTTAGTTAGACCGTAGCCTATCTTCTGCCGTGATGGGATATTCCCTTTGCAGATAACATGATTAGAAGTAGAATTAGAGAAGCTTTAACTCAGCCAATGACAGAGATGTCGTTTTGATATTCTTAGCAGCTACAATTGCAAGTGAATTATTAACAAGTTTGTTCTCTATCTACAACGCAGGCCACAATGGATTCAAACCCTTCAGCAGCCTTGGAAGAAATTCTTGAAGCTCCAGATCGGCTAAGAGACTTAGATCTCGATGCTTTTGCAGAAGAGCTTGAACGACAAGGATATGGCAACAAGGGATTGACATTGTACGACATTCGAGATGAGCTGTTTGGTCAGTATAGGGAGCGACGCCCCCCGTATCGCTCTCTATCAGTAGAGGAGCGCTTCAGATTGTTGACAGGAGAAACGAACGACTCTCTTTATGTTGGCAAACTGGTGGTGTGTAATGTAACCGGGTTTGCGAACAGGAAGCCACCACGTGACGTTATTGATCAGGCCCAACCTGTCAGAAATGACGAGACTGGCCAATGGCAGTGTCCTTTCTGTCTGCAGGATACCTTCCCCGACATAAGCGAGGTATGAACTCCACCCTGGTAGAATTAAGTGTTCCCCCTGCGAAAAAAAAAAATTAAGTACAGTAAAAAGAAATTGTCAGGAATGACAAGACTGGCCAATGGCCAGTACCCCTTCTGTCTACCGAACACTTTCCACGATCAAATCGAGGTAGGAACTCCACCCTGATATAATTTAGTGCACCCCCAAGCTGTGTCTACAGGACACCTTCCCTGATCTAAGTGAGGTAAAATCTCCACTGTGGTGGAATTTAGTTCGAAGCAACCCCCCATCCCACCCCCAGTATAACCACATTTCTGAGTGCCAGTTTATAGAGCGTTTTGTCATGACGTCACATCCGCCATGTTGGTGTCCCAAACCAATCGTATTGAATTTACAAAGCTGCTGTCCACGCGAGTGACTTTCTTTGGGTCTCCTACTGGAGACGAAAAGGACCGCCATTTTCTGTGGTCATCCGAACCACGCGATGGTCTAGGCATTTACAGGGAAAAGGCAGCACCTTTATTTCTCAGCTTTTTTAAGGTGATGTTACACGAGACGATTCGCAACGACGATTTTTAGCACGACATAGAGTTGCAACGTTTGTGCTACATTGTTTTGAACAGTTACTACGTTGTTCCAACATTGCAACGCTGTGTTGCGCTAAAAATCGTCATTGCGAATCGTCCCATGTAACATCACCTTTAAGACCCTGACTATTGGTCCTGTCCCAGGAATCAAACCCGTGACCTTTCATTCTGCAGTCAGTCAAGCTCTCTACACACTGAACTAATCCTGCCACGTCCAACTTGTGGAAGGTTGGCTCCGTGTGGCTTTGAGAAATCTTGCAGAATTGTAAATTTTGGACTGAGTATAAACTTGAGTGTTTCTTTTTGTGTACGTGTAGGTGTGGACACATCTTGATAATGGAAGCTGTGCTGGGCAGGCGATTGGGGTGCGCACAAGAATGGAGAATGGTCTGTCAGGATTTATCGCTACTAAGATGATAAGCGATAAGCATATAACTACCCCTCATGAAAGAGTCAAGGTAACCTCAGTCACGTGATTGCCTAGAAGCAATTCTTGAATAAGAAGAGTATTGAAATTTATTCTGTGAGCAAGCTCTCCATTTCGAGTGGTGAGAGAACGTGCGTGCGAGCGAGCGGCGCAGCCACGAGGGTCTAGCTCTCGCGTCTCCTTTTGCGTGGTGCTCTTGCGTGACCTCTGGCGGTATCCCCCAAAGCTTCCTCGCAGTTTATCTAATTACACATGTCCACTGTTTCGCCTGATTTTGTTCTTTGGAACTCGATCTGAGAACGTGCTAGAGTCACGGAACCTTATTTTCTTGAACGAATTCATGGCTCATGAGAAATGCGACCCACACAGTCAGACACAAAGAAAAAACTCGTCCCGTAACTCACACTCAATCTCCAACTCCTTTAGTAAGAAGTATTGAACTTGTTATTATATTCCTGAATCCGCTCACGGGCAAGATGAAGCGAGTCCTGCCATCTGATTGGCTACCGAGCCCATCTTGTTACCTCGGGATTTCCCGCTTTAGTCCCGCAGGATAAAGTTCTCCTTATGGCCATATAATAAATCCTTCATTGACCAAGCGTGAGGTCAACATGTCTGGTTATTGGCCTCGTTCTTTTTGGCTTGGTCAATAACTCATATATCATACCTATAACAAGTATAGATGCCAAGACACCACTTGCTTCATGTTACAGACACATTGTTAAGATATTTTTGTAATTTCAGGTGGGCATGACTCTGCATTGCCGAGTGACGCGCATAAACATGGAGCGGCTACAACTTGATCTGACCTGTCGTTCGTCTGACCTGGCCGATAAAGAAGGAAAATACAGGTACCTTGATCACATGTAACCATTAATGAATATTACAGAACATACGCTTTGGTTTCCACTGTCGCGTAATTTTTCCGTGCGAACGTGCGTAAATGAAACAGAATGTATGAAAGGCCACACGTAAACGTAAGAGTTGAACGAGGTTCAACCTTTACGTAAACGTGTAACCTTCCATACAATATCTCTATTTTATTAACGCGCGTACGCACGGAAAAATTACGCGACAGTGGAAATCAGCTCTAAAGGAAGCCTGTTCCAGCGTTAAGATTTTTTTGGTGGGGGGGCTGGCGTTGGTGCGCGGAGTGAAGAGGGGAGCAAGGAAAGAATCTGCCCCCCAACCCGTGCTCTTGGCTTGCTTATTTCCGATGCCTCTAAGATCTCTAATCTCCTATAACAGGCTAATATAGCTGTCAAAAGGTTAGCAAAAGTGTTATTAAAGGTTAAGTGTTATTAGTCTTAGACAATTTCTCTCTGCCAATGTCAGATAAAGTGTGTGGGAGAATATGTATTTTGATATTAGAACTGTGAGGATGAAAGTAAATGGATTTTTTAATAATGATTTGTATGAAAAGTAGTATTCATCGTGGTATGTGTGTAACGGGTTCGTTTATGTGTGTAACGGGTTCGTTTTGTGTATATCGTTTGTCTCATGATAGTCACCTGCGTGGTTATTGATCGCGACCTTTCGATGGCGTGCTCCAGGCCTTTATCAGGCGGTAGTGTCGATTTACTAAGTGGGACTATTAGCACCAGCGAAGTTGCTAGCGATTGATGTATCACGAACCACCAACTTTTATGTAGTTATAGATTTTACTTTAGGTAACCATGGGCTTTGATATGGGTCTTCTTTCTAGGTCTCTGTAACTTATAAAGGGATCTGCAGTTATTATAGTATATGATATTGATTATTTTTTCTGCTCAGTCCTCTTAAAGATTTGTATTATGATCACGATTCTGCTGATGCTGATAAAAAGGAAGATGAAGCGGCTAAAAAGAAAGCAAACAGACCAAGTGAGTACACACCTCCACTGACAGACCTGATAACTTGCTCTTTTCTGTCCTTACGTGTGTAATAGACCTTACTCACGATACCCGCCATGTTTGCACGCGGTCAAGGACTGATGGGATAAAGGCAATCAGTCCGGAATATCCCTAAATTTAAGGACAGGGCCAACTGGTCACCCGACACTTTTCAACCAATGAGAAGGCGCGCTTGTGTTTATCAACAAACAAATCAAAACATCGCCCCAGTGCTCAAAAATTTTCAAAACAACGGACGGAGTCGACGGACAGAATTAAAGATGAGCTTACAGTACTCGTCTAGGTTTCACATTTAATATTTCAAAGAAAACATTTTATGTAAGAGAATAAGAGCATTATTCATTGTAAGGAATCATTGGGGTGTTTGAACTGAACCGGACTGAGCGCAGAGGTCGTAGCTTCACTGGCATGGCTTGCAAGATTTTTGATAGAAGCAAACTGGTCTCGTGTAAAAATAGCCTTACAGAGAGTGTGAAAATTTGTTGAGATCATACAAAACAGGATCGGTACTACCTATTAGCTTCTACAGGACAAGAATCAAAGAACCAGTCATCATAACAAGAATAAAAAGTAGTTCAAATTTATTAATTTTTTTCTTGTTTGTTTTCTGGTGTTGTTTCGTGTTAACTTTACGCGTCTGGTGCTTTCCTTGCTTGCTGTAGTACCTGAAATGTTTTAATTTTATCCCAGATTTAGTGCATGTTCAATGAGTTGCGAAATACATCATTTACACTTGAAATTTGCCTTCTTTCTTTGATTGTTTTTTAACGGGGATGAACATTTGGAGAATCCAGCGACATTAAATCTTTCCAGATTTGGTGAATTTCAGAAACAAAGCGGTTAGTATCTACCTTGCGCTTATGATCTTCAATTTCATCCCCGCAAATTCGGCAAAGTGAGGCGAGATGTAGGACGTGAATATTCATAAGACTGATAAAGTTGTTTTGGCCTTGAAAAGAAAAAAGGCAAAGGCTCGTACTAATGCGAAAAAACGTAATAACACGGCTCTGTGACAGAAACCCGGGAATGGAAAACGTACGTGTTTTTTACCTCGGAATTCAAAACTGGTCTACCAAAATTCTAGGTTGTCTACCATCCCCACATTCAACATGATAAAAGTTAATCGATATGACAATCGAGGAAAAATATCTAGAACTTCGTAAAAAAAATCTGTGAATCGAAAAAATAATAGATACTTGATCACCTACCTTGAAAACCGACCAAAATCTCGCCCATACATCGCGTTGTTTAAAGAAGAATTAAGCCACAAAATGTGCTGAATATTTCACGAGACACTTCCAATATGGCTTCCGATACGCTGTCCACTTAAAAAAATTGTGTATGCCTCATGAAAAGTCTTAAAAATATGCCTGAGAGCCTCGAAACGATGACTGATTCTGACCAACTCCGTCCGCTGTTGTTTTGATCACTGCGGCGATGTTTTGATTTGTTTGTTGATAAACGCAAACGCGCCTTCTCATTGGTTAAAAAGTGTCGCGTGACCAGTTGGCCCTGTCCTTAAATTTAGGGATATTCCGGACTGGTCACATGGTTTCTCATGGGGCAAACAAGTGAAAAAAATGGCCAATGGAAGAAATCGCGGTTGAGTTTGTTTATTCTAAACAACAGGAAGTGAAGACCTTTTCATCTTAAAGATGGCAACCAGTAATGACGTAAATCTTGCCATAACTTGATACCATGAAATCGTCGTCTCGTTTTGATAGTATAAACAAACTCGATCGCGAGAAAACTCGAACGCCACTTTCTTAATTCGTAAGTTTGCTGAAATGAATGAGTACAGATCTTTCGGCTTTTCCTGTTTGCTTTCCTCTATCACCATGGTCGTTTTTTGGGGCAGCTCGCCAAAACAATGTTGTGTGCAGGCAAATGAATAAAGAGTTCGTTGAAGTGATCATGCTTGTTGGTCATTATGCATTAGTTTCCTCTGCTTTTACTCGAAGTTAACTCTGTCCTGCTATTACAATCTTGCTATTTAGAATACGTGAAGCGTGTGATTGTACACCCGGCATTTAAGAACATTTCATTCAAGGAAGCCGAGAGACTCTTAGCTGAAATGGACCAAGGAGAATGTATTGTGAGACCCAGCAGCAAGGTAACCATGACAATCAGTCAGTGATATGTAACGATTTCCATGCACGTTCACGGGGGACCACACAGTTTTTCCCGCTTGTGTCGCTATTGCGTTGGACTGTCTAGAGGCTGAGTCACAACGCTCTAATGGGCGCAGCCACAAACCGAACATCTAGGCCAGGGCCTGTTGTTACCCTGTTTAACATTGCAAATTGATGAGCTTGGGAACTGATGCCTTAAGAGGTAGCGGGGTAGGGCTAAATATAACCTAGAGATAGCACGGATTTATCCATAGCAACCCCACATGCGAGAACCACACAAGCCACTCTCCGGTGTTTCGAGAGCCGAAGGTTCCCGACAGCGGGGTCACATGGAACTTTCGACACAAATTCCCCCCTTTTGTTACCCTGTTATCATTCAACGTCACATCCTGTTCATGTTTTATTAACATCAATTAACTTAAACATCGACATGTGGGAAACTATAGAATAACTAAGCAACGGCCTCTTGCTTAGCTTGTGCACACCAATTTCCCTTCCCTTTTGTACCTTTTGCTAAACGCGGTGAATAACACTCAAATACACTTCAATTGAAGAGACTTTCTTAGTGGTGTAAAGTGGAAACCGCAGTATTAGCTGGTTATGACAGGGTCTTGCTATCATTTATCCAATATGCTTGTCTCTCTTTCCATCAGGGCGCCGATCACCTGACCGTCACGTGGAAGGTCGATGAAGGAGTTTACCAGCATGTGGATGTGCGAGAGGAAGGCAAAGAGAACGCTTTTAGCCTTGGTCGGTCACTTTGGATTGACAGTGAGGTGTGTATGGGAAATCCTTCTGATATGTCTGTAAAGGCTCTTTCATTTATTTGATTTGATTGCTGTGTATATTACGAGCCTCTCACGCAGAGGTTCTTAGGATTTCGTCGCGCGTCCCTTCCCGTAGGACGGATTGCGGACGAGCAAAAATAACGTTTGTTTGGGACTTAATGTTCATATATAGTCTAACATGCTGCAACAGTAAGTGAAAAGTGCGCAGTGCTTAAGAAATTACTATTGGCCATTTTGAGGTTGCGCCACCGCGTGGAACTGGGTCGATATTGTGTCGAAATGCACTCTGGGACTGTTTAGGGGCGCTATCATTTCTTTATTGGCTACTATAAGGTTGCGAAGAGGCTGGGGCTAAGGCTGTGTTCACACTGTACTGGATAGCGTTTGCGCTTACGCGAAAACCATACGAAATAGGGCTTCTGTTAACACTTAGGAACTGTGATTTCTGCAAAGTCGCGAAGCTGCTTCGCTCCGCGCCGATGAGACACATCGAGATAGGTGTTCATACTATACGGACACGAAAAGCAACTAAGCTAGTATGAAAATAGCGTAAATTGTTCCCCCTGAAAAAGTCACACAGTGTTGTTTGATCCAACACAGACCCAGATTTACACGGTGCCTAAAAATAGCCAATAAAATTGACTCTAGTTCACTGCTGTAAATTTAGAATATTGTAATTTGCTTTGTAGGAATTTGAAGATCTTGATGAGATCATCGCGCGGTTCATTCAGCCCATGGCGTCGTTTGTTCGAGAAGTTCTCAACCACAAAAACTACCGCGCCGTGGACGGCGTCAAAGCCAAGCTGGAAGAGTTGCTTGTTGCGGAGAAACGGAAACACCCGCAAAGAATTCCTTACTTCATGAGTACTACAAAAGACTTCCCTGGGAAGTTTTTCTTGGGGTATCTTCCTCGTATTAAGACCCGTGTAGAGTACGTCAGTGTGACACCGGATGGGTTCCGATATCGGGGCAGAGCACATGCTACTTTAAATGGTTTGTTCCGGTGGTTTAAGGAACACTTCAGAGACCCTATACCAGGTAGGCGTTAATTTTAGTCCTAGAATTGGCTGAACCCACATGCAGGACCTCCTGTCAAAACGTTATAGTTGGAACTTCTCGTTAACTACTTCCTCTAGTAAGCGACCGCAACAAATTTTGTTGTGACGTTTTTACGGTTTTCCATTGTTTTGACGGTCTTTTAAGCGACGAATTGCTACTTAGAGTATACGAATAAATTCTGTCGAAAAGACCCTCTCTACAGTTGTTCGACTCCAGTAAGCGACCACTAAATCTTGGTGCTCACTTTCGGGAGGTTTAGATTGTATATCAAGTGTTCTCTCGATTATCGAGACTGTGGTGCCGCCAAAATTTTTGCGGGCGACAAGGGGGGCCCGCAATCCTAATCTCTAGGTTGTTATTACGCATGCGCCGCATGTATGTAGCCAGCATTCGTTTGGACTTCCACTAAGAATGAATTGAATGTACACAAAGCAATCTGATCGCGCGCGTTTTGACCTTCTGCCCCTTGCAATCTGATCACGTGCGTTTTGACTATCTGTCACGGGAAACTTGCGCAGAGCACAGCGATGGAGCAAAAGCGTTGGACCTTCGATTGCTGTGGCCCGTTCTCCCTAACCTTTGGTTATTACTAGTTACGTATCAAGAAAAGCGACCTGAATTCGAGAACAATAGGTATTGTTATTGTTGTATTGTTGGTATTGTTGTATTGTTATCGAAGGTTTCCGATTATTTAAACAAATTTCGGCTTGGTCTGGGCAGGTGTCACCTGGAACAAAGGGCCTGTTGTTTGAACGTTAATTGGCAAATTCAGGTCGGTACAATGGGCCATTTCTTGATAAGCCTAATTGACCTACAGGGGTCTGTGACACTCAATCACCGACGGCAGAAACATCGTTTTTCCCAGATATCTCGAGAGTGAAGTATGATTTAACCCCTTTAATCCTAGACCATGTTATGGGGAGAAGATCTATCTCTCTAACGTTTAGATATGTGGACGAAGACCTATGGTGTTACCATGCAAATGAAACTTCGCTGGCGGACGTTTTACGTTGTACTGTCAGTTTCGTCAAATTTTACAAATAGAAATTTTGATTTCTTTGAGAATTTTTACCACTCTTAGAAGTTTAAGAGCTGTTGACGCTGCACGTGTACAGTGTCGAATCTTCGCAAAATTACTTCGTTTACCATAGACAAATATACATCCTTTAACATGGAGTAACAATAGGCTTTATATTATTATTTCCAGGTACTCCTCGTCATCGTGGGATGCCCATGTCAGAGAGCAATACCCCCTACACACCGGGGGGTACCCCATCGATCAACACCGACGTTGACCCCTCCCGACTGTTACCCCAACTTCAACAGCACTTCCCTCGGGGAATCAATGATCCTAAAGTGTACTCAGCTCTTGCGGCGGTTGCTAGGCAACAACAGCATGAAACGCAAGCGAAGGCAACGCCTACTCAGCTTACCCCTGCACAGTGGGGCGCGGTCGCTGCCCAGCACATACAGCGGCAAAACAAACAGCGCAGTCAACTCCAACAAACGCCGACGCAGCAGACACCTTCAAACCAAACTCCAAGTCAACAGGGATACCAACAATATCCACAGTACGGGTACTATCAGCAACATCAGGATCAATCGCAAACTCCTACTCCTACCTATGGTTACCAGCAAACGTATTCAGGACGCAAGTCAACTCCAAAAGAAGGCAGCAAGAGCCGGTCGTAATCTCAGAGATGTGCAGTTTTCTGATTGGTGTGGATTGAACATATCTGTCAAAATATGTTTTCATTGTGCTGTCGGCGAAACAATTTAAGATTTTCACAGGCCGCTAGAAAATGTGATAATGGCTGGAGAAAACAATTACACAAAGTTTTATTTATATCAGTTTTACTGCTAGTTGGACTCAACCGACCAACATAAAGCAGAAATATACAAAATAAGTGATATGACTTAAGCACGTTGGTCATTAGTCAGTCGTCTTATTCCATTCACTTGTGTTGCTCGGCTCCAAATCTGCGTTCCATAAAATTACCAAAAGAAAAAAAAATTATAAAAAGAAAAGAATACAACTAAATAAAAAGACCACCAAATGGATTTCACACTGTTCTACTAGAAAAGAATGCGTTCTTCGTTGGAAGTTTGTTTGCTTTAGTGTGTTTTTGTGTCTGCCTTAAACTCAGATCAAAAGTCGAACTGGACATAAATCTAATGCTACTACGCAAAATCTATTGTTTTTCGTGCATTATTGTTAAGTTCGACACATGTTAAGTTGGTCGTTTGACCTGGAACTTACAGTAAAAACCCGCATATAAGAAGAACCCCTGATTTTCAACCGATAATAGGTTTAAAAGGTTATTCGTTAGAATAGAGTGGCCTGTGATTCTATATACTGCGTATTTTGGCCAAATTTCAGCCCAAATGTTCTTAATCTGCTGCTTCTTAGGTTTTTTTACTCTATCCTGTCTCATCTAAGGTCACTTGAAAAAAGTAGTTTTACTGTGAGAAAAGTGTTCTGAATGACTAAGTGTTTCTGATTTGGGTTTAAACACTGTGGCAAAACAGGCTGATCCGCTTTGTAGGATAAATTAACACTACAATACTATAGATTTTTTTTTCGTCAGGACTTAAAGAGAAACCAAAAGTTTTTACTTATGTCTCAAGTTACCTGCGTAGCTGATGGTTTTGTCGGGTGGAGTAAAGAGTGAAGGAGCGTCAAAACCACAAGGAGAATGGGGCGGGAACAACGAGAAACGTTTTTATTTCACCCCTCATTTGCACGCGTGGTTTCATCGCTTATTTGCGCGCTCGCGTGACAAAAGCGCCCGCTACGCAGGCAGTGCCTCTAGTGAAATCAGGCCATACAGTTTGCGATCTCTCTAAGCGTAAGACGTTTGTTCTGTGGTCGTGAATGTTAACAGTGTCCTTTATGTACTATTTTTGTAACATAGTAGCTATCATATTGGTAAACGATTTTGTAACTATGAAATCTCTGTTATAAAATAAAATGAAAAAAAAAATGTAATTTTAAAGAATCATTTATGTGACTAGGATACTCTTAATTATTAACAGAAAAACTTCTTAAGCACCTTCCCTCAAACAAGCGCCCGGGGAACTTTGATCGGCTTGCCGGCCGGCTGAAAGTTGTAGTTCTGTCATCTGTAGGGTATTTAGTAGCGCTTTCCATGTCGACAAAGTCCATTAGAATGTAAGTGGGATACTAGTGACCAGGGAGAACTCATATAAAAGTCACGAGGATGTTTGTCGGAACAATATTGCCCTTAAAGGGGGCCGACCTGCACCTATTCCAAACAAGGTTTGTGATTGGCTGGGAAAACAATAAGGATGGTGACATAACAATGCCCCTATACCTGAAAACAATAGGTAGTGCAGGTTATAGGGACCAATGAAATGAGAGGTTTGGATGGGTGAGGGAATTCGCCCAAAGGAAACCAATACGGGCGTGGCTCAGGTTTTCGACCCCCTGTAAAGGAGACCATGTTCCAACACCGCCTGAATGACGGCGTTTTCCTTTTGATGGGCACTTCTTTGCGGGCAAAAACTGTTGGCTCTGATCTCTGTCCTAAATTCCCTAAGTGACGCCAAAATCTTCCCTGCTTTTTGTCCTTAAGCGATATAAGAAGCGTCCACGTTACTTGTCAATGTACAGACATTGGTCGGTAAGTTGCGGGGAGACCCAGTTTATTTGAATAACCTGAGGGATGAGTCATTAGCAGCATAGATAGTTCTTGCTACAGTTTTTGTGATAGTCGGACGTAATAACTCTTTAGTATAGACGATCTTTTAAATGTTTAATTGACCAATTCCCCTACGTTTACTTGTGCAATTTCTTCCAATTATCCTTTCGGTCGGAGCCCCCCAATATAGGCCTGATGAGACTTTAAAAATAACTAAAAAGCTTGCGATCTTTAGAATTCCAAAATTCGGTTAATTTACCATTAGCAAGTAATGTTTTAGTGACCAGAAAGCGTCCCCACTAGTTTCAAATTAGCCTGCTCCAGGCGTTTAGATAGTGGGGAGCAAGTTAAATCGTACGGGGCAAGGTTAAAAAGAAACACGGGAGGCAAAAAACGAGGGGAGACTGGGGCGGAAGCGAGAAAAAACTTCCCTCCCTTTTCCTGCCCTATTTTTTCCCTCGTCAATGTTTCGCCCGCTCCCCACCATCTGAACGTCTGGAACAGGCTAGTTCCAAACTGCGTTTTTCGATTAACCTTTCAGGAACGAGTAGGTTAAAAAATACATTTGAGCACTATGATTGTGTAGGATTTCGTGGCCGTATGGCATACGCTGATGTTTACCAGGTTTACAGTTCCGGTTTCGATTCTCGGCTACCTAATGCGATTTTTTTCTGTTCTTTTTTCTTCTTTCTTTCTTCCTTTTTTTTAATTTCACCCGTTATTTCATACTGTTGGCTCTTTCCCTAGCCTGCGCGCAAGGTCTCCATTTGGTGGAGTCGTGCCGAGGAAGTCACGTGAGAGCAGCACGCGAGTGCGAGGGGAGGGGAAAGAGAAGGGAGCCTCCGCCCCTCGCGGCTGCGCAGCTCGCTCTCGCGTTCTCTCGTGGCTCCCTTCACTCGCCATAAAACCCGGTTTCCATATGATCGCTGCAATCGCTGAAAAAAAGGTTCAGTGATCGTAACAATTATATGAAAATTGAGAACTTGGTAGCAGACCACTCTTTCCCCCCGAGTCTCGCAAGGGATTGCAAGCCAAGTTTTTCTTGTTTGGCAATAATTAAGTAAGATCAGATATGGCTGAGTGATGATTGGGAATGGATGGGCGATGATTTGGTATGACTGGTAATAATAATTAGGTAATGATGATGATGGGAGCTTTATAAGCTTCGCACTCTTATAACCTTCCCTTTAACTTTAACTACTAAGCACTTAAATATATAGCAGATGAAGATTTCAGTTTATTGTTTAGTTACATATTATGCATTCAGTTAATTCTTTATTAAGCCCCTCCTCTTTAACAAGCTTTGCCCCCTTTCATTACGAAGAAAGTTTGATTAAGCCTCATCCTTCCCCCCTGATTTTTTACAACCAAATTGCACAAGATAGACTGTATTAATCAATCACGACTGTTCACACTTCATGTAGACTCAGATCCGGTATGCCTGCACTAAACTGGGTTTGTTTTCGATCCTCGACTGCACGATCTCCAAATTCCTGTGCTTTGCTTTCATGGAGAATCAAAACCATCTTCTGGTTGCTTGACAAGGCAGTATGACCATCCGCTTCGCTAAAGTCAATAAGCCCCGTCTCTATTTAGCCCAGCCTATTCCCGGAGTTAATTCAGGTTCATGGGGACGGCGCAAAAAGCTCTGAGCAGGAAAAATTGCGAGAGGGTAGGGTAGGGGGTGGTCCTCTCGTATCTCCCTCCTTTTTTTTCCTCTCTCTTTTTGACTTCGCGCCACACTCAACTATCTGAACGCATGGAATGTGCTTGAAATAAATAAAACCCCGAGGGGCTTAATAGAGAATTAGAATATCTCTGGTTGGTATTTGCGGGTACGTAATTCAGTGTGACGTCATGGTGCATTCGTTATTTTGGCCATTTTCTAATCAAGAAATAATTTTATCGATGAATTTTGACGGCGGGAGAGTGAAAATCGAGGTAAGAGAAACTTTGTTTTGCGTTTTTGCAGGAAAGTTTTATCGGCTCTATCGGTCCTATATTCTTAAAGGAGATGATATATGTTTAAGTTCAGGTTTTTTCCAATCAAAACTCTGCTTTGCTTATTTGAATTTGCGTTTAATACGCCCTAATCAACTTGAAACGACGTTTACCGGCAAAAAATCCACGAGAGAATGCCTTAAATATAATATTTTTGAATTCGTCTTCCGTATATTCTTCCGTGGCTCAATGGTCTTGGAGGTTACGTGGCAGAAAGCGAGCGGCAGTCCGGGTTCAAGCTTCAACTGAGCCTAGTATTTTTTCCTGTTGTTGTTTCTTTTTTCCGTTTTTTAATCTCTTGGTATCACATGTTTTCCTTCTTTTTTTCCCCTTTTTTTAATCTCTTGGTATGTTTTCCCTTTATTCTCACTGTTGGCGCTTTATCTGAGCTTCACGAAGTTTGTGATAAACGTATTTCTGAGTTATTAGGTATGATCAGGTGTAATAAAAATTAATAATAAAATATTTATGTAGCGCTGATACTTAAAGTACTAAGCGCGTGAGTGTGACTAGGTATGGATAGATACAATTAATTATCCCTTGGTATGATATGACCTGATATGATTAAGTTGCGCGCTGTAGTTTTTATTTTTTAGTTGTCTCGCTTTTTAATTTACTGCCATTAAGTTTAAGAAACATTAATTCTAAAGCTTTATTTAGGAAAGCCTTGGACGATTTTTACTTGTAACTTTTAACAATCTTTTTACCAATTGGCTGGTTTCATTTTATTCATGCTGCTGCCCCTTTCCAGCTCACGAGGTTTTGCGTTAAACGTATTTCTAGTATTTGCGTATGAGGCCAATGATTGGGTGATGATTAAATTTTAATTTTAATTTTTTTGAAATAGAAACCGACGTGTGGTATGCCTAACGCACTCGCTCCCCACTGTCTTACACACTCAATGGGCTTAGCGCTAAAATTTAGCTAGAACGTCCGTAAGAACGTGGTAAAGTGTCCGCTGACAATCTCAGGAAGGAAGGAAAAAGGAGGAAAGAACCAGGCAGCTTTTATGTATACTTTGATTTATTTCTTATCGTTCTATGATATCGAGGGACAAAAAAGGAGCGCAAATGACATCGACATCAAGAAAAAGGATAGTCTGAGTGGCAGGCCTTCGAAAGGGAACTGGAAAGGAATTCGGGCGCACGAGCAGGCGCGTGCGAGGGAGAAATAAGAAGGTTCCCCATCCCTTCTCTCTCCCCCTCCCCTACTTAAATACCTTTCCTTTCCCTTTTGAAAGCCTACTGCGCAGGCCAAGGAAAAGATAGCAAACGTTTGAAATTATTGTAAGTGCGCGCCTTATTGCTAAGAAAACGTGTGAACATGTCGAGTTAAAAAACGCGAGGTTGACGTTCCAATTACATTAGAAGACTGGATTAGTTTTCGATCCTCTGCTTTATGAAATCCAAATTGTTGTTCTTTGCGTTCATGGAGAATCAAAACCATTTTCTGGTTGTTTGAAGAGGCAGTATAAGCCCCTCCTCTATTTAGCCTAGCCTATTCCAAGCGTTGACTCAGATTGTGGGGACGGGGCAAAATTAAAAAGATGTGAGCAGGAAAAAGAGCGAGGGGTAGGGTAGGGATTGGTTCTCTCGTATCTCCTTCCTTAAAATTTTTTTCTCTCGCTCTTTGACTTCGCGCCATACTCAACTATCTGAACGCATGGAACGTACTTGAAATAAATAAAACCCCGAGGGGCTTAATAGAGAATTACGGTATGCAGTATATATCTGGTTGATGATCGCGGTTACGTCATGTAGTGTGACGTCATAGTGCATTTGTTTTTTGTGGCCATTTCATAATCAAGAAATAATTTTACCGATGAATTTTGACGGCGAAAGAGTGAAATTTGGAAAAAGAGCAAATTTGTGTTGCTTCATTGCAGGTGAGTTTTATCGGCTACGTCGAGCGTACGTTCTACAAAGGTGATGATATGAGTTAAAGTTTGGCTTTTTTCCAATCAAAAACCTGCTTATTTTCTGGAAACATCTTTGAATTTAAGTTTAATTCGCCCTGATCAGCATTAAACAGCGTTTACCGGCAAAGATTCAAAGGGAAAATGCTATAGATACAATATTTTCGATATAGTCTTCTGTGTTTTCTTCTGTAGCTCAGTGGTCTGGGCAGATTACCGGGCCAGAGCCGCTTTTTTTTTCGATTGTTGTTGTCTGTTTGTTTTGTTTGCTTTTTTTATCTCTTGATATGTTCTCCTTTTATTCCACTGCTGGCCCTTTATTTAAGCTTCACAAGCGGTTTTGTGATAAACGTTGCTAACGGTTAGTTATTAGGTATGA